TGTTTGTTTTGGTGTGTGTTTGCTTTGGTTTTCGCACCTGCTCCGTTTCACCTCTCGCATTAAGATTCCTAAGAACGGCCTACTGCGCTGCTAATGTAGTAAAGAGGCAATGGTCCAAAAAAAAGCCACATTGTGCTTGGCTCCGTGACATATGGCACTGAGAGGAGCCCTTCTGAACAACAACACGTGACGTGACATCCAGCCACTTCCAGATTGACTCTTACAGAAGAATTGATTGAACCGACTAAGATGGCAGTTTCTGGCTGCATTTTGTGGCTACATGTGGCTACAGTTTGTGGCTGCAGTTTGAGGCCTCAGTTTATGGCTACAGTTTGTGGCTGCGCCGGTCGTCGCCTCGTCATCGTTGCTCCCCTCACATCGTGTTCTTGCCGCTCTCCAGCCACACTCTTTTCTTTCATTTCTCGTTGTTTCTGCAATTTCGCGCGGCTTCTGCTTGTTTTGTCCGCTCTGCTCATGTGCACATGATTCAATCACCCATGGTGCTGCACATTGAGTTGCGAATGTTTGGTTTTTTGTGGCCGTGAGTTGTCAGAGGCTTATTTATTTTACTCGCAACGAGGAGCTGTAAAAGCATGGCTCTTGCATGTTCCACAGGAAATCCAAAATCTCGGCCTGTTTTCGGTGCCCAGAATTGAGCTGCTTTTGGAACCATTTGAGTTCAATAATAATTGAAATCAACTCACAGAGAAACAAGATTTGACACTGTTTGCATCGAGTCGAGCGCACATTGCAGGGACTGGACGCTGGTTCTCCTTCCGTTTTGGAGGTAAGTCTGGCCAACAGGTGGCCTTGGTGGCCACTCTGCTTGCCCGTGGCAATGAGGGCAGCACTTTCACTCCTTTTCCGTCAAGTGGAGTGGTTCTTCCCTTCCGATTGGAGGTCAGTTCGGCAGTTCTTGGCTTGCTAAACTTGTCTTTAGCTGGCATCCAAGACAAGCAGTCTTGCATTGTTCGCGTGCAATCTTTCTCGCGCAGTGGATCTCTTCAACAAAGAAATTGGCACTTCGATTCTTGTTGGTGCTCTTTGGCTCTTCTTGTCCCTAATCAATGTCAGTCCGGATCAAGCTGGTCTCATTCTGGAGGTTTGCCGCACTGTCAGAGACTTGTTTGGGGAATTTTCGCAAATGGTTGACGCCCATTATTGACCAAGCAAAGGCTTGGACAACAAAAGGTTGCTGGGTTTCATCGGCCTTGTTTTGTCCGTTTGTTAAAGTGTTTGTGTTGCTTGGATATTTTGTAATTTGGACAAGTTGACGGCTTCCAAACAAGGTGAAGAAGGCCCTTTTTGAGCATCTAGGAGCTGAAAGACACGATCGTGAATTCCGCAGGAGCCAGCCGAATCGCCGTTGGCAGTGTCTGTCACAGACAATGCAAAAACGTACAGAAGCTGGACTCTGAAGAGCCATTGCCATGTTTGTACAATGGAGCCTTGAAGGACCTTCTTTTGCTCAGAAAACTGGCGCACAGCAACGTCCGACACAAGCCAGCCCACCAGAGTTCACTCGAAGGTTCAAGCTCAGATCTTTGATGGGCGACAATAAGTGGAAGAAATCAAAGGTTGGGGCACTCAAAAGTTGATGGGTTCTTTGCAACTTTTCAGAGGTCGGCAAGCGTCCATCAACACCACAGCTGAGGCAATGGAGACACAAATTCATGAGCGAGCGCACCTTTCAGTTTTTGCATTGGTTTGCCTTTACAGATGATTTTCAAGTCTTTGCGGCCCTGAAACGAAATCTGCGGAGGAGGTTCCTGCTGTTTTGGTGCGATCGATCCCGAAGAAGAAGAGCTTATTTTTGACAACAAAGGAATCAGAGTCTTGAACTAGCAAGCAGAAAGCAGAAGCTGCAAGAAGTTTGCCAGAGTTGCCGTACAAAAAGAGCCGTGCGTTTTTGACGTGGTTGTTTGGCAGTGTTGGTCTTGTGTTGCCTTGTGTTTCCGTAGGGTGGCTTGTCAGCTTGATGGGTGGGTTTGCTAGGCCAGAGGACAGCTTCTTCAAGGATGGTGGCCTGGAATTGCTGCCTTGGAGCGGCGTGTTGGTGGCCGCATTTCCACTTGCGGACTGTGGGTGCCGATTTGTGAGGCTGCGTACGCCTCCTTTGAAGACGTGACGCCTTGAGCGGCGGTCCGCTCTTGCTGCGAGGCCCCTTAAAAAAGGTCGCGGCGCCTCGAGCGGCCGCGGCTGACGCCGCGCCGCCCTGCGGGCGGTGCGGCGTTTTGAGCGGTTAAAGTTAACCGCGCGCGACACCGCGCCCGACACCGCGCCCGGCTTCGACTTTCGTTGACAAAGCTTCGATTGTGTTCTCTTGTCTTTGATTTTCCAAAATGGCCAAACAGAAATTCAAGGCACACTGAAATTTGATAGAAGATTGAGCAGAAGAAACTCTGCTTTCTTTCAGGCTGGGTGCCTCAATTCTTTGTCTTTCGTTTTGGTTGCGTGTTGCAATTCTTCCCTGGATTCAGCACCATTCAACGAATTCTCAAAATTTCTGAAGTCTCCGAACATGTTGAAAATAAACCCTCAAAATCAACACTTGATCAGTTAAATTTGTTGAATTTACTCTGGTGCTTCGCTCGCTTCGCTCGCACTTACTCACATTCTGGTAATACACTTTGCAATTTTCAAGTGGTTTGGCTTGGGCGTCGCGCGTTAACGAATCAACGCCACGGTTGAACTCGTCTCGTCCTGCAGTTGATTTCTGTCCAAACGGCACTGTCAGAGGCTTTTAAAAACGCTTGCTTCAAAGCATTGAACTTTTCCAAGCTGCAGTTTCCACCGATGTTGACTCTGCACCCTTCTTTTCTTCTCTCTTCTGCCTTCAGGCCTTGCACCAAAACCTGGAGAATCTGAAACCCAAGATGAGGGGCAGCAAAATTGATCGAAAAGGTCGGGAAGCTCCAGTGACCTCCACAGTAAATCATCGGTGTGCTGCAAGAGTTCTCTCGCCTCATGGAGACTGGACAAGTTGTTGTATGTTGTGGTGGATGCAGTGCTGACGAAGCAACGCTGTGCTCCAATTCAGATGTGTTGTTGCTTGCGTGGAGTCATATTTTTGCCATGTGTGCAACCTCACGTTGCAGTATTTCTCGTTTGAGCAGTTCTGTTCGTACTTGATTGTTGCAGTTGCCGTCTCAAAATGGTGTCTCCAATTGCGCTTTGTTGCTCAGCTGCATCTGTCTGAAGTTGAACATTGAGCCACGCAGAGTGGACTTGTCCAGCGGAGTGTGTTTCTTGTTGTGGGCTGTTCTGATTTTGGGTGGGTGCCTTTATTCCAAAATCGATGTCAAGGCGTAGGAGCAGTGTCTTTTGATATGATGCGCGCGCGCGCGTTTCATAAAGGTGGGAGTTTGAGTGTTTTTCTTTTAAGGAATATGGTGTTCTGCTTGTCGTGCGCGTACTGTCGCACGTGCGCAGTGCGCACCTTGTGTCCATTTGACGAAAGACTTTTTGCGAAGTTGTTCTTTTGTCTTTGCAAATTTTATTGATTGATTGATGGGACTTGATTTGCTTGGACGTTGTGAACGTTCCGCGCATGCTCAAGCTTTCAGGCAGCAAGAAATTTTGTTGATGTTCATGTTGGCGGGCTCTTAAGCTGCTGCCGAAATTTCGGGGACCTTTGTCGCTGTTGTCATGTGATCGCTCCTTTTTGGGCCTGCATGTTGCTTTCTTGCTTAAATCAGGAAAACTCGTTTCTTTGAGTTTTTCCTTTCGGCCTCACAACCCCGAAACACAAAACCGTAAACTAACTGCGGGCATTGATTGTACGAAAGCTAATTGTTTCTAGGCAGCATTATGTTGGAACTTAGCAAGAATGACCTTGGCTTCCAGGAACAACGGGCTCGTGTGACAATTTGCCAACGGAAAAAACTTGAACAGCATTGCTGTCTTGCTTTAACATTTGCATGGAGCTAGCGAAAGCGCCGAAGAGGATAGCAAAGTCCGCGTGCAGCTGCCTAACAGTGAGACCATCAAAAAGCAAATTGCCGTACCTTGTATTTTGTGTTGCGCTTGTTGGCCGAAAGTCAGATGGACAACATAGCTGATGACCCATCGTGGTGCAGTTCGAGTACGTAGGCCTTCAAGATACCATGGATTCCATGGGTTGATGCCTTCGAAAGCCTTGGTGAGGAAAAGTTGCTTAATTGCAAAAGGTTTGCCTGCGTCTTCTTGAAGGAGGTTGAGGAATGCTTGCGCTGGTGTGGACGCCGCGTCCGTGGTGGACACAATACCCTACACGAGGGTGGCTGCATGGGGCAAGGGGACACGCGAGGGACTCTATGTTACTAGCCCCCGAGGAAAGTGCCCCAGTCGGAATTGTAGCCCAAGCCCTCTCGTGGCGCGTATGGCTTGATCAAGGCCTGTAGTAGTGATGATGACCGCACCCTGCGCGTCTCTGACGTTTTGTTCCCAACACTTGGTTTGAGGGCAGATTTTCCGGAAAGCCTGCCACTTGACGTTTTCACCAAGAGGATTGGTGCTTGCAGATGATAAAGCAACAACCTTGAAAGTTTAAATGGGCAAGGAAACCGTGTTCACCGTTGCGTTCGCTTCCAACGAGAAATCATCCCCAACTGAAGTGCACCTGCACTGCAAAAGGTACTGTAGGTGATCAGGGATCAATGTGTTAATCCCATACCACAAAAAAAGCCCAATGGTTTGGATATGGGGGACCATTATTTGCCACCCATTGTTTGAGTAAGGAAAATTTTGTTGAGGTCTTGCAACTGGAGTCGAATTATTCATCTGTGTGTTGTGGGCAATGAACTAACAAATGCCTTTCAATACGTCCAGTTCTATCGATACAACGGAGGCAAGTCTTTTCCGTATACGTTCATGTCGACGATTTTGCATCAAGAAAGAAAAACTGAGGGGCACGACAGGAGAACCAGATGATTGGACAGAAAACCGAGCATGCACAACGACATGGTGCGTTCATCAGTTGGCAGTTGCTCAAACTGTCAACCCGGGGCCTTGCTCCCGGCATGGTGATGCATGGACAGGTGCCGGTAGCACGGAAGCTACATGAGTGTTGGGGGTGGATGTTCTTCTGGTGCATGCAGTGCGTCAGCCCGATCAGCTGCCCCCTTCGCTTCCAGGCGCGATGTCGGCCAGCTGGCCGTGCGACGGGAACGCTGGCCGTAGGCCATTTGAACGTTTGTAGAGGTCGGACCTGGCAGCACTTTCCTTGTTGCAGGATATGCTCTGTTGGCAGCGGTGGGACTGCTTTTATGGAAGCTGAGCGAAGCAGGCTGACCCGAAGTCCTTGCCTTGATGCGCCAATTGCCAAGCTGACAAAATGAATGAAGCTCGGTGCGGCTGTCGATTCGGTTCGTCATCAGCCGGTTTGTGCAGGTTCTGAGAGCACTTTCGTGGATGGCTTTTCTTCTGTGCAAGCAGCACAGAGGAAAGCAAGTGAAACACAGGCAGCAAAGAACAGACCCTTGAGATGCTGCTTCCCAAATGCTGCACGGTGTGTCGATGCACTGCCGGAGCTACACTGCAACATGATGCTTTAAGTGCAGAGAGCGACGTCAACTCGGATTGGCGTGTGAGCAAAGATATCTTCTTTCCTGGCAAGAGGTGCATATGCAGGCCCTGAGGGTTCCTGCCGAGAAAAAACACAGGCACGCCAGAGTGCATCCATGCCCAGTGCTTGCCTTTTGAGTTTATTGCCATTTGCAGGTTCGAAGGAACCACACGAGCGAAGTACTTAAGGCGCCTAAGACACCGCCGGTGGTGTGCGCAGTTTGAGCCATAACCTCAGCTTGTTGAATGCAGGCAGCATAGTCGGTTTCTTGTGTCACGAAGCCCAGGTATCCTCGCACTTTCGGATATGTTCTGAAGTGGAACGATAAAGTCTCATGCTAAGATGTTCCTTCTGATTCTCCATTGTGGTCCAAGTGAAACAGCACGAGTCTTGCTGTGCCTTAGGCTGGGGAGGGCGTCGTCATAGACCAGGAACAGACCCAGAAATATCTGGTCATTCGCGATGCAGGTGACCTACAACCTCAGTCAGTGTCCGCAGGAAGCAGTGTGTGCTCGAAAGTTAAGGAAATTGGGGCCTCCTACCATGCTCACAAGACACTGCAAGTGGTGGCTCGACGGAGTTCTATTTCACAGGGAAGACGAGGCTTGCGCAATTGCATCGCGCTCCAAGCGAGATCTTTGGAAGGCAGAGTTCGTGGAGTTTTTTGCGACGGATGAGATGGATGAGGCATCAGTATACACAGTGCAGTTTTCAATTGCGTCTTTGGATTCATGTTGACTAGATGCTCCCATTTTGGCAAGCATTCGTCTCGCATGGTTCATGGACACAGCTAGCTAGGAAGCATGTACCATCATGAACTCTCATCATGGTAGGCACCTGTTTGTCTTTGTTGGTTGAGTTCTCTGGCAGCTCTAGCACAGCCTTGCCCCGATCACAAGCACGTGGTTTAGCCAAAGTTGGATTCTCTGGCGCAGTGCCTATGCCAACAGTGGCCGTGTGGCATTGCAAAAGCCATGTCGCGCTTCAACGGGGCGCAGCCCTTGATAAGCACCTTGGATTTGAGCAATCGGATGCGCAGCTCACTTGCAGTGCAGAGAAGAATAGTTGCATGCAATTCCGGGACGTTTGCGCAACTCACGCAACTAACTCACGTGCTGGTAACTCGTTGGCTCGCAAGGTTCCCTTTCCAATGATCGGCGTGTGCCGGTGAGTATCTCAGGTCGAGTCTTTTTTCAGTGCAAGGGGCGAGATGGAAGGCATCCAGAGGAATGTGTCCGTCCAACGTAAGGTCCAAAGCGGAAGATCGCGGGAACTCTCGAGTCATCCTCTTCCTATTGAGAAGTACCAGTGAGCCGGCATCATATGGGGAGTATCAATTTCACCATCTTCCTTTCGAAGGTATGATGGCCTACTATTTGCTTAAGAACCCCAAAAGAAAACATAGTAATCCCTATATTGCTCTTAGAAGGAAAAATGCTTAGTTTTGGGGGCTCTTAAGCAATTGGCAGTAGCTGAGTCATCACGAGATGAGGTTTGCTTCGCCGCCGGCTACCGTACCCCGGCTGGCTTCCGCACCTCGGACGAGAAGCCAGGAGGACCGTTGATGTTTGAAGCTGGGGTTCCCATCTGGTACTCAGAAATGTGCGACATGGATGCATGATGATACACCTGCAGTGTGCGGCCTTTCTTTTTTTCTCCTGCGCGGCGAGGACAAGAATGACGTGGTGCAGTTTCTGTCCAGAATATTCTACGTATCCGAGACAGAAGAGTTCGCCATCGTACGCGTGATTCGCATAGGCACATTTGATTGAGGGGCCCTCCAAATCACGCTCCAGTTCCATTGCCATTTCGCTTGCTTTGTTTTGCATCGTGCCTCAGGCAATTTGCAGGGCTCCTGTGCAGTGTCGTGGCACACCGAGGAGCCAAGTTAAAGCATGGCAATATATGACTCGGGGTCGAGGGCTGTAAGCCGCCCCTTTGAATGTGTAGGGGGGTCGTACATACGATAAGTCAATATGCACACACACGCATATATATATATATATATGTACATAGAGAACATATGCATGTATATACACGTGTATATAGAAACACACGCACACATGCATACGAACGCAGATGCAAATGCATGTACATACTTTGTTTGAAGATGATTTGAACATGTCTGAGTTGCAGGATGGCTCGGCGGTGAACGGGGAAAAGTACGTCGAGGGCCACCCGGTTTTCATGGGATGTGTTGCACCCTTGCAGGAACCAGATGTAGAGAGCTACACCAGCAGCATGTGACTTTCCCCCTCGTAGGTAATGGTGTGGTCACGTTCGGTCCCGGCGAGTCCATTCGGACATTTCAGAGCCTCGGCAAGGGCTTTTATGTGTGCGGCGGCGATCGTTTGGTGCGTGCTTCCCTGCGACGAGGATCCAGATCATAAACGATGATGCCTTCGACACAACGTTGGAGTTTGACGTGGTTCTGGAAGATGCAGAGAACTGCTTGCTGGACCCACGAGGAAGCAAGTGCGCAGTCACTTGGCGTCAGCAGGAAAGTCTGAGCGATTTGCCAAAGCAGAACTTGCTTGGATTTGCCCGTGAGTCCGAGGTGATGATATTGGACGACGACGTGTTTCCATCCAACACGTACCGAGAGGTCCTTTTTTTCTTGAAGCATCCAACGGCCAAAAACACTTCAAAACCCTCCCAAAGGTTGTCGCTCCCCGCAAGAAAAAACCTTCGAAATCCCTTTGGATGACTCCCTCAGCCGTGCAACAGCCGAGAGTTATCTCTTGTCCAAACCGGGTGTGTAATGGGAGGGGCAACGGTCGGCAGGTGATCATGGAGCACGACGAGGAGGCCCTTTATGAGGCGAGAGTGCGGAGCACAGCGGAGTGCGCTGTGTCAAAGCAAAACCGCAATTTTCGGAACCTTCCCATCTTTTGTTGCTGCCTCAGAATAAGCCGAGGCTCAAGAACCCTCTCTTGGGTTTGAGGCTTTTTGAACGGTCATCTTCTAGAGGGCGTTTCTCTTGCGCAGATTGGCTTCGGCTTGCTCTACTCCTTCATGCGCACCTCGGTCTTTTTTGGAGCCTTGCTGGGAAGCATTTGCCGCCTTTTCGTTTGTCCCTTTAACAGTACTGAGCCTACTCGGATGAGGCTTTAGCTTTGCTCATGTTCCGGAGATTTGGTGGACCCTCGGCCTGGAAGTGTGTGCCAGTAGCTGTCAGTGGCTTCCGGAGCACTTTGAGGGCGAAATTTTTCTGAGGAAGACACTTCTGGTGCTGCTTTTGGCGAATCTGGGGAACATGTACTACTTCGCGACAATTTTTCTCAGGCCTTGCGTGTAGGATTTTATACAGTCCACGGAGCATTTTGTGTGGCAAGGGTCTACCTGGTGGACACCGTGTTGAACACGGAGGCCAAGTGGGGGAGAAGTCAGGAGGGTTGGAGGAAGCATGAGCGTCCGTGCAGGATCCAAGCACGTTGGACCGTCTTTGGGTTCAGCACTTGGAGGGCTTGTGCCAGCGCGTGTGCAGGGCGTGTGCAGCGCGTGTGCAGCGCATATGCAGCGTGTCTGCTGCATGTCTGCAAGCAACTGAGATTCCTGGCGATCGAGATGGCACAGCTGTTGCCTTGGGGCTGGCCTGGATCCTGCCAAATGCCCGACTCTTGGTCATGTCACAGACTTTGCGGCTGTCTTGGCATGACAAGCCTCTGGCATCTAAGTTCATTCTTTTGGCATCGGACTACTTTGAGATGGCCGTGTTGGAGATGGGCAGCTCAGCTCAGAAACAGTGCAGACACCATTCTTCCCCCCTTCAATCCAAGCTGAGGCTTCAACATCCGGTACCATCTCCGGGTCAACCTTTTTCGCAAGTATCTGCGCTACACGCCTGAGTCCCGGGCGAAGGTTCCCATCCAGGAAGCCGGCATGTTGTTTGGGACCCTAGACCCTAGACATCCCTAAACCCTAAACCCTGAACCCTAAACCGTAAACCCTAAACCCTGAACCCTAAACCCTAAACCCTGAACAGAACCTTAAACCCTGGCACTTCGCAGGACCTGAAGATCAGCATCATGGAGGACATCCCTGACCTTGTGGCTGACGGTGGTACGGCTTCATTCTCCTGTGGGCTTAGGGTTTAGGATTTAGGGTTTAGGTTTGAGGGTTTAGGGTTGAGGGTTCAGGGCCTTGGGTCCTTTTGCTCTCTAGATTCCCCCAAGCTCAGAAAGTCCCAAGCTCTCAGGTTATTTGATCATCTTTGAGCTCTGGGCCATGTTCGGCAAGATCGTCATGGTGGGCATTTTCATGGCGCGGAAGCACCCGCGCAGCAAGCGCCCCAGGCTTCTCTCCCCCCTGACCATACCTTAATCTTGCTGTTGGTGAGTAGGGAATGAGGGAATGAGGCACTCTATATCCCCCTGTATGCGCTCTTTAAGGGATTACATAGGGTACCGTATTCCCTCATTCCCCTACTAACCAACTGCAAGTGATTGATGAAGTTCAGGGGAGAGCCAATTATTCGAGGTGCGTTCCCTCTCTTTGTGTACCCGATCCTCATCCTCATCTACTTGGTCCGCACCTACCGGCCTCCCGTCCGACTGTGGTCACAGCAGATTGGCCCTCGAAAGTTCCCACGGTGGGATGAGGCTACTTTGGAAGTCATAAGGCCGACAAGGGTAGAGGGGTACCCCCCTTTCTACCCCCAACAAGGGCTACAATGAGCCACCTGCACTCTCTCAGTTTACTCCGTTTACTCAGTCTCAACGCCAATGCCATTCAGAGGCGAAATGCAAAGGAGAGCTTCGATCATTTGATTTCGCTGAAGTTTGATCTCAGCAGGACTAGGACTATTGCTAAGTTCCTGTAGTTTGGTCTTACCCGAGCCCATTCAGATCGCACCTTTAGTTGGAAGAAACCAAACTGTATCCGGACGCCTCATCCATCCTTATATAGCCAGCCACCGAGACCGAACTCTGATTTCAAGCCAGTGGAGACGCTGAAACACCCTCGGACTGTTGTTGGAGCTCCTAATGCATGAGCCATCTTCAGACTTGGATTTGCACCATTGCATCGAAGATCACAGTCTAGGCAAAACCTCGTGAGAGTTGAAAAAGCCTCCACCCCCTAAACCAGAAACTAGCAAGACATCAGCCTGCACAGCAAGTCAGCACCTGTTTGAATCGCCGGCCAGTTTGGATGTCTCGAGGCGAAGGCCCTTATCCAATGCGCCCTCTTGGGGTTTCAGTTAAGGGTACCGCCGAAATGCCACATTTGATGGGATTTGTTCGAACAGCCCAGGCCTCCGCGTAGGTAGGTTTGCAAAGGTCTTGCACCAAAAAGGAGCTTCCCCACCAAAGACCACGGGGCACCCGAATCTTGGTACCCCGACGTGGCGGTGTGGCTGAGGCGCAGGCTCGACCTGATGGCCAAGGCGCGCTCGAAAATGCTCAGAATCAGATCACTTTGCTGAGTTGAGTGCAACTCTCACCATGATGTAGGTATACCAACGAGGTAGCCTATGTACCTATATCAGCAGCATGTAAGGGGGGGGTGGTTGGGGGCCATGGTCGCGACCCCCGCAGCCAGGAAGGCGAGGGGCAGAGTGCCACGATCGGCACCCTGATGCACGTGAATAATGCCCTGTTCTCAGATGAGAGCGTACACCAGGTAAGGTCACAAGAGTGGAGGGGGAAAGGTCAAGCCTTTGGGATCGCGTCTCTGAGGGATTGGACATGAGTCAAACCAAGACTCAGAATCCGAATCGAGACTGAGCACACAGCAGCTCATTCGAATGCCCAGGCGCAAAAGCTCATAGGTTGCTACAACAAGCGCAGTTTTGTGGTGCGCACCTTGCCAGCAGTGTTTGCTGAATGCCGGCGGAAGTTAGCCTTTCCATTCAGGCAGGCAAAGGCAGGCAGGGAGGGAGGCAGGCAGGCAGGCAGGCCCGTGAATGTTGAGACGGCACGGCTACCATCTACAGAGAGCAAACATCGACAAACCCTTCTTACCATATGTGGTTCCTGCCGTGCACACTCGCACCTGCTCCTGACACAGTGATCCCCACAAGATCCATGCAATGGCGGCTGCCATCCCACACCCCCTGTCTTGGGAGCTCCTCCAGACGATCCGAGGACGGTTCGAGGAGACGCTCCGAAACCAAAGGAAGTACGTCATGGACCTGCTCCTTGGTCAAAGTTTCTCTCTCTCCGAGAAACTCATAACTACCACAAAACTGCTACCACCATACTTAAAAGTTCTCCTACCCATCACAGGCAAGAAGCAGCTTCAAAACATCCCAACCCCAAGCCCTAAACCCTAGTCCCTAATCCCTATACCCTAAACCCCAATGTCCGATTTACGTCCTGTTTTAGGAAGTTCTTCAACTTCTGGAACCAGCAGCTCATCCCCTGGATCACGCTCCTGGCCATCGGCACCTACATAGGCACGGTTTAGGGTCTGGGGTTTAGGGTTTTGGGGTTTTTCCTAGAAGTTCGCAGCATGCAAGAGCTGTTCCGCACACCTTGATCTGCGGCCTCCTCCCTGCTGATTGTTGCTACAGAAACCTCAGCCCCGAACGTTAAGACCCTTGTCATGAGGTGTCGGGAAGTCTTATGAGGGAAAAACAGATCCTGGACACGTGGGTCATGAGGTGTCGGGAGTTCTTGAAGTCATAGCAGGTCCTAGGCTGTACTGCAAGAAGCAGCCTCGCAGGAGGCGTCAAGGCATCCTTCCAATGACAATTGCGAGAAAATACAGAACGCCGCAAGCAGCCAAGCAGCCGCGCGTCGGGCTAACCCCCAAACCCTGAACCCTAAACCCTAAACCTTAAACCCTGAACCCTAAACCCTAAACCCTAAACCCGAAACCCTAAACCCTAAAGCTAAATGCCTTTCCCTGCGGAGGACTCTCCTCCAGGTTGGTCTTGGGTGGCAACACCTCGCTGGGCTCCTTCCTTGCCACGATCAACGTCTACAAGGAGGGTTTAGGGTTTAGAGTTTAGGGTTTGGGGTTTAGGGTTTGGGGTTTGGGGTTTCGGGGGTTTGCACTGTGGGGGATTGATGCAGCACAGTTGGTGTAGACCTTCGGGATTTTTGAGGCTTTGGGGTTGGGCAGAGTTTTCTGAACATCACGTGGGCCCACTTGTAGCAGGCTAGTACCCCGTAGCAAAACCAACAAAACTTGACACAACAACGCTTTGCACTGGACAAACCAATTCTGTGCGAGAGCCTCGCGCCTTTGGGCAGGATCTTGGAGACAGGTTTTCCACGATTCTGGAAGGCTCGCGCAGGAGCATGCCGTTTCTGAGAGCGACGCCGACTGTTGGCATGCTTCTACTTTCCTGTTTCGTGATGGTATATTATGATATGTTTTTGGTGGAAAATATTAAATTGCGCAAGTTTGACGTGTTTCTTTGAAAATTTGACTTGGATTGGCTGCGCGTTTGGTACTTGATTTACGTGTGGTGAAGCATGATCAAATATCAACTTTAGCTACATTGACGGATAATGGCCCGTAGCTATGAGCTGGTTTTGTATCATCACAGAATACGTATATGTATATATATATATATATGTATGTATGTATGTATATATATATATATGTATACTACTCCCCGGCGATTTAGCTCTGGATGGCGCGATGTAGAAGTGTTTTCGCGTGGTCATTCATCGCAAGTAGTGTCAGCAAGAGTCACGAAAGCCAGTCCCCTGGAGCTTGCGGTTTAGGGTTTAGGGTTTAGGGTTTAGGGTTTAGGGTTTAGGGTTTAGGGTTTGAGGCCTTAAGTAGGGGGCGGGGCGCCTTCATTGACAGTTGCCCCTTAGGCCCGCCTTTAGGTCCGAACAGGGGCTGCGTTTTGGGGATCAACAGGGCTAGGCCTCCGATTCTTTGGGTGCAGTTCACTCATGCAGCTCCTTAGCCATATGTTTCTCCCTGGCAACGCTGGACCTCAGGGACCAGGGATGAGTCCTTGGTTCAGAGCCCTACACTACAACAAAGCAGGTTTTTGGTACATCTTGACCCTCCTATCCACATGCTGCTTTCGTTGCCCACGGTCTCAAGATTGGTAGCTGACCCCCGATCCTTGAAAAAACTGTTCGTACTTCCCCCTCGTTGAGGGCCTTGTTGCAAGTTATCCGACTCTGAAAGGTACCGGTTTGGGACCTTATTCTAAGCTCCTTCCGGGCCCCCACAAGGGACCCCAAACCCTAGAACAGCCCTGCCACCAGAAAAGGCCAGGCACCGCAAACCCCAAAAAGATGAATCAGCCCCAAAAGACCCAAACCCACCTCAGAAACTCCCAAGCCTTAAACCCCCTAAGCCCCACCTCAAAAGCCCCTAAGCCTGAAGTCCCTCAACCCCCATGAAGCCCCCCTAGCAGGCTTGGAGTGCCTGAGCAAGGCCATCAGCCCACTGGCGGGTCTCACCATGCAGTTCAACCTTCCCATTGACGCTTGGAGTCCATCTCTGGGGGTTTCCGACATTCGGGGGTGCCTTCTTGGGGTCCTTGCTAGAAGGGAATCCTACTATGTGGGGGTCTATGTTAGGGGTCCCCTCATATTCGCAACCGCCCATTTAAGAGCACTTCGAGCCGTCTTAGTCGCAGGGTCCCCTATTTTCGTAATCCCCCGTACGGTTCCTTGTGTTGTTTTGGGTTTCGGTTTCGGGTTTAGGGTACCCCGAAAAATGAGGGCCGGTATGATGATGGGGAATTACCCAACAGGATCCTAATCTTGGGGGCCTACCATGTGCGACGTTGCCGGCATGTGTTTGGTCGCCAGCCGGACGCGAATACCGCCAACCGACCCTCGAGGCATGCGCTTGGTGTGTTTTGCGTGTCTCAAGGGTGCAGACGGCCTCGATATGTTGCCATGCCACACAAGCTGCATGTCGATGTGCCTGGGCATAGAAATGTGGAGTGTTGGCACCCCAAACCCTAAACCCTAAACCCTAAACCCTCAACCCTGAACCCTAAACCCTAAACCCTAAACCCTAAACCCTAAACCCTAAACCCTAAAACCCTAAACCCGAAACCCCAAACCCTAAACCCTAAACCCTCAACCCTAAACCCTAAACCCTAAACCCTAAGCCCTAAGCCCCTATGGTGGCATCGGGTCCGAAGCCTCGGGCTTCGATCCTTGTAGCCGTCAAAGAGGACTTAGGAGATTTAGGAGGACCTCTGAACCGTAGGAACCCCCCCGCCCTACAGGATACTGAAAGCCCCCCCCCCCCCCCCTTAAGCCCTCCAACAGTCGCCCCATGGAGATGCTCAGGACATACCGGAACGGAGCGAAGTCTATCGCCGACGCGAGGAGTTCGTGATGGGGCTGTCGACTGTGTCCTGTCTGCGAGAGTTTCTAAGGGGGTGTGTTGCCTTTTGAGCCTTTGGTGGTTTTTTTTGTTAAGGGGTTTGGGGGCTTACGGGTGCTGGGGAGGTTGAGGGTTTAGGGGCATGCGCTGGAGTTGTAGTAGTTCTTTTTTTTTGTCTTGTTTCCTGACAAACCTGCATCCGAAAGTGGTGCCAAGAAGCTATGCAGCAGTGATGTGTTGGCTCGACTCGTCTGTTTTCCGCGGCCTACCCCTCCTGGGTGGCTGGTGCTGTTCTGTTGGTGGTGGCTCAGCTTGGGGCCTGCCTTGCTGCCACGCAGGGCGCCGGTGCAAGACCAGCCCTACGTTGAGCTGCCGTGGGATGCGTGCAAGTTGGGTCTGAGTGTGGCCAACTCACTCCTTCGCAGACTCAGTTCGGGGGGCTGTTGGATGTTAAGCAAAACTCTTCTCCTCGCCCGGTCTGCTCCTCACATTGTCCCACCCCAGACTCAAGGAATCCCACTATTTGGGGGGGTCTATTTTAGGGCCCCTATTTTTCTAACCCACCACAGCTCAGCACGCAGCCGGGCGGTGACAGCGCACAGGGGCGCCCCGCCAAGGAAAGAAATAAACGATAAAATGAAACAGATAGGGGTTTGAGTGTTTCTAATTGACTCTTTGCTGGGGGAGACTGGCGCGGCACAGTGGATGCTTGGCAAGGCACCCATGTTTGACGCGATTCCCATCGTTTTCCAGAATGTCAGCATTGACCCTTGGCAGGATTTGTTGTCTTTATAAAAAGTGGACACAGGAAACGGCGAAAGGTGCCTGTGCGCTAACCTCATGTGGTACAGGGAAGTGTTTGCAAAGCCCAGAAGCATGGCGAGTTGCGATGTCGAGTTGTAGTATCCTAGGGGCGCTTGAGTGCTTGTCTAAGGAGTACGCTCCAAGCATGCACGGCCTGTCTACACAGGCGCCGCAAGGCGCTGGAGTTCTCGGGTGGTTGTCGCTGCAGCACGTCCTTGTCAATCTGCGCACTTTGCCAGGGTCAATCATCCAGATCGTGGGGCCCCATGACTCAGGCAGATTTTTCCTGCAGTCTTCACTGGTCTTAGCAGCATGGTAGACATGATTTTCGCAACTTGCAATGGGAGGCAAAGGGTCCATCTTGAAGAAGATTGGCGATCTCGTGCCGACGTCTGCGGGCCGTGTCATGTGCCTTGCCTTGGCATTGAGGTGGCGCAATGTTTGTGCCAGTTTTCGGCCTATTCTTCGGCATTGTGGATTTATTCACCCCGAGGATTTCTCCACACTTGATGGTCCTACAAGTGCCCCACGATGCTTGGCTGCGATCAGTGGACGTTGTGGTAATGCAACCCGCCTACGGAAGATGGGAGCTAAGGAGCCACTTTTCATAGAGCCTTGCTCTCAGCACGTTGATTTTCGTGCACCTGGCATGGCATGGCTTGGTTCAAAAACAGCATTGCAACAGGAAGGCTGGCCTGCTGGGAAACCTGAGTCTTGCGCGACACCTGTGCCGAGCTCGGCACGGGGAGCTAGTTCCCCCTTCTGAGCCACAGCTTTGTCACTTCTTTGCCCCAACAACACGCTTTGTTCATTTAACAACAGAGTCAGTCAGTCGCTGTCTCTCTCTCTCTCTCTCTCTCTCTCTCTCTCTCTCATTCCACTCGCTCACTCAGGGAGTCGGCGCAAGACCTAGGGGATGCCGATCGCGGGCGCAGCGGCTTAGCTTGCAACCGAGTGTGTTCTCCTTACGCATGGCAGTAAGTTCATACAAAACCAAAGAGCAGTGAGGTTGGGTGATGGTAATTGGGTGTGCAATTCAGACATCTTCGTTGCCCGTTACTTTTCTCCCGACATACCTCAGCGTTGTTCCGCTCGAGACGCAGACCCCAGGGCCAACCCGGAACGACAGGATCACTTGCACTCTGTGAGTCCAGCCACATGAGGCCCCGGTCACAATACAGGCCTGAGCTGCCTACAAGCTGCTCTTGCAGCACCCCGAAATTCCCTGAACATGCCTAAAAATCCTGAACGGAACGCCGGACGCCCCAGTTTTTGACGCCTTGAGTCCTGCGCATCCTGTCTGCCTTGGCTCTGAACCATGTGCGAACATATTGGCCCTGTTATAGAGGGATGCAAGCATGACCCTTCGGCTGAAGGAATCTTGCGCCGGCTTGGCTTGGACAAGGACACTGGATTGATGCCCGATGCTATGTTCTGTGCAGAGAGAATTCGAGAACCAAGATTCGACAGGCTGTCGTTCCGTAGTTTTCCGCAGCAACTTCTAGTAGGTTCACATTTGAGAGCCTACAGCCCTACAGAATGTTGGACAGGACGTGCCGTGTGCGAGACAGAGAGAGAGGGAGAGAATACTTCGCAGTTGAGAGGGGACCCCTTCGAGCCTTCGAGCAGGACTGGATAATGGATCTCTACGATGCCGAGGCCTGGTTTGTGGGTGCTCCTTTTCCTATGCTGAGAGATCAGAACGGCACACAGGGGAGCATGTAGTCGCCCGGGAGATCCGAATTCTGCGGGATGGGGCCTCTGGGAACGCGCAGCACAGAAGCAGAGCACCCTCGTCTCTTCATGAACTTACTCATTAACTTAAGAGCTGGGTAGTTAACATCTAACCTTTTTGGCTTTAATATAGAATCCCATTACAAAGCAAGGTTAGCCTGTTTTGGGCTAGGGTATTCAGCGCCTTAACATGGCAGCACAGGGGAAAGCAACCATGAGCCTTGGGGACGCGTGGGCAGAATATGTGGGGACCTGGTGAGGAGCGGGCCTTCATCAAGAAGACGCAGATGCTCGAGGCGCATCATCAGCTGCTGCCCCGAAGCCCCAAGTAAGAAAAGCACCCCCCGCCCCCCCCAGAGCTGCCTCAATAAGCTCTATAGGCCTCTTGGGCCCTAGACCTCCGTAACAGATGTGGCCCTCCAAGTTTTTCGATGCCTCCAGGATCCAGCAAAGGACAGCCCTTTTGGCGCCTGCTTCTCGGGAGACGAAGAAGGAGAGGAGGACGAGGAAGAGGAGGCCGGTAAGAGCTCTTAGATGCGCCTGGGAGAAGCTCAAAGCTTGCATCGATGTACAACCTCAGTTTCCCTCCGGGCAGAGAATCGCAGAGTTTAGAACCTCGCTCATCAATCAATTATAGCGACTCTGCAAGACATGCCGGGAACGTGCCGCCGTGTGCCGGAGGACCCGACCCCGACCTGGGCACAACAGCTCAGTGGCAGCGAGAAGTGGCGCTTTCAGCTGGCCAGGGCCAGCTGGATGCAAGGATATGCAGGGATATGCAGGGATATGCGGGGATATTTAGGGATTTGCGGGGATACTGGGCTGAGGGATGTTCGGGGCCAACATAGGGTATCGGGATGAGGCCATGCCCTTTGCCAGACACTGGCTACGGGTTTTGCTTTTTTCATCATCACCCAACACGAAGAAACCACGAAGAAGCCAACAGGCGATGTCAGCAATCAAGGAAGAACAAGCCGACCAACAACACTCACTCATAGAATGCTGGTCCAGACGGGTGAGGACCGATCCCAGCGACTTTAGAACGAATTTTTGGTGGGCCATAGTTGCCCTTTAGTTCATGTTGGGTGTAGTTGAGGGGGGGGGTATTGTGGGATCCCATGACATGAGGTTGCAGGCCCGAACTGTGGAGCACGCTCCCACCTCAAAAGTGTGATCAAACCCCCTACACTGCGCCCGAAACGACGAAACTTTATCCTACTGAATTGTAGAAACTACCGCACCCTAAACCCTAAACCTGGGCTCAGTGTTGGGGAAGCTCATGCCCAGGCATTCGTCCACGATCCTCATGTGCCTCGGCAAGACGACCATCTCTTTCCCCCCTGCCTGCCTCCCCAACCAACAATGGAGACTTATTGTGGCTAGTAGGTTTAGAGTTTGGGGTTCGAGGGCTACTGAGGATGTGGTATGGCGTAGGGTAGGTACCTGCCGCTAAGAGAACGGGCACTGCGATTGCATATGGAGCCTGCGGACATGGGCGGGATCCGTCGTCCATGAGAGAGTTTCGGGCGCAGGTCCTGCTGGTGCACCGCCCTGCTGATGAGTTGGACCCAGCCATGCAGGACCCAAGCGATATGAACAAAATCGAAAGACGCTTTTGAGAGATGTTTTCCGTTTGAGAGATGTTTCCCGGGTGTAGGGAAGCTTCGTGTTCTTGCTGTTCTGTGCGCAGCCAGGATACGGTGCTCAATTGTTTCCGCGATTTCGTCGACCGCAGGCCGGAAGGGGCGCAGACATACTCTCATCACGTTTAGTATTCCTACTATCTTTTGGCTTCTTCACATCCTTTTTGCAGCTCTCACTATCCTTGAATCTGAATTCTTCAGAATACAGCCGGCCATCAGGGGACTGGAGATCAGCGAGAACATTGGAGGCCAGCTGCCACAAGGAAAGCGGCGTCCAAGGACCGCCTTTTGGCCGCACTGGGCAGTTTCCTTTGGAATTTTTGCTGCCCCTTGGAGAGCCATCACTGGGCCCCGATGTGTCCCGATGTCGCCGGTGGTCCCAAGAGGGACGAGGTGGGCGCTTGAACAGACCCGGGATGCGTCCTGCTGTTGCAGGGTGAGGTCTAGAAGCAGAAGGGCGGGCCAGGGCTCCAGGACCCAAGCTCCAAAAATCCTTCGCCCGAGGTGATCTTCACCACCGGTGGTGCGACCCAGATTAAGATCGCCGCCACTCGGCCGCACAAGTCAGCCGCGGTAAGCAGCAGCAGCCTCGGCAGCCGTATGTGGTTAAGGACCCAGTCCGAACCGGAGACCTCAACCCCCTAGACCCTACACTGCCCTACACCCTTACCCCCAACCCCGAAACCCTAAGCTCTAAACCCCAACTAAACGTCAGACCCAGGATTATGTGTGGCGCGTCGGCTCCGGTGGGGTCAGCGTGGAGAAGTCAGCGATGCTCAGCTTCAGGAGAAAGGCTAGGTTCCGGGATATCCATGGTGGCGCTGTCGGGATGCGGGGGGTGAAACCGATGGGCTCACTGAAGTCCGATCAGGCTCTAGCTTCGCCATATGGCTGCGCACGGAGGGGAGGGCTTGGGGAGCCATGGTGACCAAATTGTACAAAGAAACTCTTGCTGGGAGACAAAAGCCCGAACCTCAGACACCAAACCCTAGAAGCTTCGTTGTCGAGCACCCCAAAACCCAGACCCTAAAAACCGAAAACCCCAAAACCCTGGAATCTGCAGCACCGACGTTAAGGAGACTTGCACCCGGTCCATCTTGGCCCGGCTCTGGAGCCCTTGTGAGTCGTCACGTCCTTAGCCAGATTTAGGGGCTTTAAGGAGAGTTTAGGGCAGCAGTATTATCATTATTACTACTAATATTATTATTTACATTAGATTCGCCTGCTGTGGATGTTGCTCTCCGAAGTGGTTAACGCTTCCACGACCAGCTCAGAGTTGTGTGATCTTGGTAGAATTCTCATGGTGCTTGGCAATGCTCGGAGCCACCGTGGCAGTAAAAGCGGCTGATACGCTCTTGATGAATGGTGCCTTGCATTGACAGTTTGTATAGTCTCCCTCGTCATGCCTCCTGTGTCCGTGATTTGGCGGTTTTCACGTGCCTAAAGACCTGTGCCAAGGTCACTGATGCGGTTGGGCGTGGGAACCAGCCCACGCTCACCATGTCCCATTTTCACGTCGTTGGGATTCTGCAAATGAACATGCTTCGCAAGCTGTGAAATGCGGCAAAACGGTACATGCGGAAAAAGGGCACGGGCTCGGCTTCTTCTACGGGGTATGGACATGTGGAGTCTGGATCCGAACTTCCCCCAAGCACTGGCAGGTGTCCAACATGCCAATGGCCAAGAACGTCACCGGCCCTCATGGCAACTACCTGAAGACAAGCAGGGCCCGGACCCCCAGAGATCCCCAGAGCCTTCCGAAAGACCAGCTTTTTTCGGTGCACTTGGTGTGCATGGCTTGCTGAAACTGGCTGCAGGAGTACCGCACCATGATGCTGCGCAGCGGCACCTTCCCCAAGAGGCTCTTGTGGAATGCTGTGGAGTTGGTAGTTGAAGTGTGCTGGGGTGATGCGCCCACCGCCCCGTTGTAGAGGTGGGAGGACACCTATGATGAGTACGAGAAGAAGGCATGAGCCGAGAGAACCAAACAGCGATGTGAGCTGTTGCACCGCAGAATCGCACTTTTGTGCACGTGTGCCAGACTGGTGAATGGTGGACGCAGCCCAAGTGGAATTGCGGCTTTGGAGCCAAGAAGTGAGCGCCCATCTGATCCGACTCCAGTTTCTTTTGCCGGTACCGCATGGGAAGTGGCTGGAGTGACGGGTGACGTCTTGCACTGCCTCTTCGCACATCTGCTATGCTTCGCATGCTTCGTTGTGAGATTGGAGCAGTTAGAGCACAGAAACGGAAGGCAGCATTTCTCGCGGAAGGCAAGCGCAGCTGGAACCAGAGACGAATCCAGGTGCCAAAAAGGGGAGTTGCAGCGAAGGGTCCCCCCCCATCACGTGTACCACCACACTGGCTGAGTCGCTTAACTTTCGCCTTTTCAACGGGAAGCCTCTGGCAACCTCTTTGGCAAGTGTTCGGCCCGAGCGAGCCGGCTTCTGGGAGCTGAAAAAAAGCACGCGAAGAACATCCCCAAGAGTCGCTCTGATTTTGTGTAGGTCTGTCAGGCTGCCAAGTGCCCCAAGCGTAGTGAACAGCAGTCTAGCCAGGCGATATCCGTGGGAAGTGTGGTACTGTAAAGTGTGAGTGTGGATAGCCATTGTGGCCATGGATACCTCCGGCCATGATGCATGCGTTCAGGGCCCCAGACTTGCAGTGTTGGAAAGGGAGCAGTGGATACAGTCGGCCCTTCAACTATCTATGGTGTGTGCTCAAGAGCCGTTCCCCCACCGGCTTGTTGAGGTCTCGCGCAAAAGATCCCGCTCTCCGTCCCCTGGGTGCCAGGCAAGAGCAAGTGAAACTCGACGATGGTCGTAGCGCTTCGGATGTTTGAGAGCAGGTCCCCTTGTGATGCCTTTCCGATTGCCACCACGCATACATGCACACCACATGGCCACAAACTGCCATCATGCAGTCAGAAGCGATGGGCAAGCTCGGAAGGCGGACAATTTGCAAGCCTGCTCGTTGTGGGCGAGCTTGTCAACAGCAACGGCAGAGAACATTCACAAGCTGCTCCTGATAGCGGAGGACAGGGCATTGCCATGCCCCGCATTCCTCCAAGCTTTGGCAGTCTGTCCCGGGCATGTGCCCTTTGCCACACTCAATCTTGAATACGTGAAGCCCTGCAGGAAGCATGATGCAGAACACAGCCCTATAAGTCCCCAAGCCCCCAAGCCCTAACCTCCCCCCCTCCCCCATTCTTGCCATCCTCATGGTGTGGCTCAGGAGGAGCACTTGGTGAAGCTTCGACGCTGCTGCGAGGACCGAAGTGCTCCATCACACCGTTCAAGGGGCGGGCAGGTTTGGGGTTGTTTTGGGGGGGTGGTCGCATGGGTTGGAGGCTAGCCGGCAGAGCTTTTTGGAGACCTTAAACCGACACCTAAACCCCAAGCCCTAAGCCCTAAAACCAAAGCCCGAAAACCCTAAGCCCTAAACCCTAAACCCTAAACCCTAAATAAGCCCTATAGACTCAAAGCCCTCGAACCCCACAGCCCTAAGCAAACCGGCAGAGGACTTCCTGTTGTGCCAGCCACCGAACGACCTCCATGGACTCAAGGCCAGGGCTTGTGTTAAAGGGGTAAGAGGGTTTAGGGTTTAGGGTTTTAGGGTTTCAGGGTTTGAGGGTGTTAGGGTTTTGGGGTTTTTGGGTTTTGGATTGTTTTGGGGTTTTGGATGGTTTTGGGGTTTGGGGGTTGTGGGTTTAGGGTTCTCTAAAGGTTTTAAGGGTTTTGAGGGTTGTTGGGAAACACGCTTGCTGCAGAGACAACACGGTGCAGGGCATGCGGATTTCATGCGCATGGTGTCTATCGGTCCGTATGTCTTTTGGCTCCGTCAAAGCCTGAGCGGAAATTGGTATTTTCCACATTTCCCACCCGAAAAGAATATCAGTCTTCTGACTTTTGTGCGCTTCGACACCGACTGCGGGACCGCCGCGATCGCGCTCCATAGTTGGTCCTGTCAACCCTGTCGGACTTACCGAAGCTAGTTGGTAAGGCGTCATTCAAGGGGATTGCTTCGGTGGATGCAGGCCGGGAGGAGAAAGGTGCAAGACTGTGTGCCTCAATATTGGAGTGACATGGGGCCGGAGATCTTGAGGAATTTTTCGGGGGGCTTCAAGGGGGGTTTCAGGGGGGGTTCCCAGGTTTGGGGGCTTGGGCTTCGCCAGAGTTTGGGGGGTTCTTGTGGGAGGTGGCCCAGCGATTCGGCATGGGAAGGCTCGAGGACTGGACCTTGAGCGCTGAGTCCTTTGCCAGGGAAGGGAGGAGAAGGAAGGCAGGTAGGCGTAGGCAGGTAGGCAGGTAGGCAGGTGGGCAGGTAGGCAGGTAGGCACGTAGGCAGGCAGGCAGGCAGGCAGGAAGGAATGTCTTTGTGCGTTGAGTGCTTGGGCGGTCAGTTTAACGGATCTGTTGAGTAGATCTTGAGACACATCTTGTCTTCCAGGAGCGCTATCGTCAGCGATATGCTGGTGGCATGCTGCAGTCACAGTACTGAGGTACCGAAGAAGCGTGTGCAGCGTACGTTACTCCCAATCCACTTAGCGGCCGAAAGGTTGCAAGCGAACGGATGCAGCATAGCATCCTACCTTAACGTTCTTTCTTGTACGGCTTTGGGCCTGAGGCTCTTCAAGCCAGTACGGGTTTTGGAACAGCGGTTGTTTATTTTCTTTTTCCCACACCTGTCCGGCTTGAGACGGGCCATGGACCAAAATCACTTCTTGATGTGAGCACCGAGATACAGCTGCTTGTAAACTTGTCGGTGCCCCAAGGCATGTGCACTTTGCTGTGACTTTCTATGTCGTCTTAGGTCTTGCTGGACCTCCTCGAAAGACTGCTGCTTCGTCATGTCTCGCTCGCAGGCATCTCATCCTCTATAAGGAACCTGTCAAAGGCAGACCGTTTCACATGTGCAAAATGGGTATGCGGCGGTGTAGTCGACGATGAAAGCCAGAGTTTTGAGTGGGGCATCCGTGCTGGGTGCTGCTCATAAGAAAGCCAAGTTTGCTTCTGTTCTGCCAGCTGGGACTGAAGTTACCCGGCAAGGCGCCACCAATGACTTCAAGAAGGGCCGAATCATGGTGGTCAAGCCTGTAGCTAGGGCGTATATCCTGTCTGGGAGGATGATGTCGAGCTTGGCGGTGGGGGATTGGCTACTCAAAAAGAGGTGGCCAATGCTCGTTTTCATGATAGTTGGGATGGTGCTACATATACTGCTATTTTTTGGAGTCTTCTCCGAGATGGGCATGGTGACAGGAGGTGCGGGTGTACTGGTCGTGGTGGCTTCCCCGACTGCTCTCAGTTGGAGCATGTACGGCTTAACTGCCGGCTGTTGGGGGCTTTCAATCCTTGCCATGCTGACGAGGGTGCACAGCCAGCTGCTTTGGATGACGCTCCGGACATTCGATCCCTGGGTGCCTCGGGGGGGATGGGGGTCGGTGTCGGTTTCCGTAGCTCCTGCGCTTCTGCCCTCAGCCCTAAGCCCTAAGCTCGAGCTAGGAGGCCAGCTAAGCCGGTGTCATCTGGTGTCTTCTGCCCGGGTGCCTTGTACAATGGATTCTGAATTCGAGACATGTTGTGGAACAGCCCCCTTCTGAAAGAAGCAACAAAGAAACAGCACATCCCAAAAGGAACCCCCCCCCCTCCCCCGCCCCTTATAGAGAAAGCTTTCTGGCTCCGAAGCCTCAGGCCATCATCGCTTGCGCGCTGCGGGGCTGGGCGGCGCGGATGTTCTCACGGCTGGCCCTCCACCACGACACGGCGCACATCGTGGAGGATATGTTGGACCTGCTTGTGATGTTGCAGCTGTCGTTCCTGATCATCTTAGCAGAGGCGGCGGATATACCCAAGACGACCCAAAAGTTCTTCGTCGCTGCTTGCTTTGTGTACTGCGCAGTCCTCACGGCTGGGCCCCTCTTCCTTCCAGACCTTCCCAACTGGGATCCGGACACCAGTGTGCAGATCCTCTTCTTCGCATCAATGTCCCCGAAAAGTCAGTTCATCAGTGCCTACGGGACCATGGCGGTGCTCCTGACGAAGGCAGCGGTAAGCGTGATCTTTCAGCGGCATGACTTCATGTTTCTTAGATGTCACTACGAGTATTGCTTGGATCAGCTAGATACCTCCTTCGCCAAACTGGCTGCAACGGACCCTTCCTGCATCTTCTACTCAGACTTCCGCCGTGCGCTGCAAGAGATGGGCGTATCAGACAGCCACATCTTTGCTGGCTTCAACACCCTGGACATACAACAGACGGGGCGAGTCACTCTGCAGAACTTCCGACGCTGCCTAAAGGATGTGTTCACGGAAGCACCAGACTCTTCGCATGCTGCGCTGCTCGCGAAGTTCTGCCAGGATTCCTTCTCCATCGTGTCGGGGTACGGCTCGCTTGACAGCATGTTGGGCCTTGTCTTCAGCCAGTGGCGGCGCATCAAGATGAATGAGTTTGGCCAGCTGCTGTATCATTACTTGATGCAGGATCCTGGCGTGGAGAAGCTATTTCGGTCTGCGAGCTTCAGAACCCAGTCCTTGTTGTTTGCATCCTTTGTTCAAGTTGGCCTGGGATGGTTGGAGGAAAAGGACTTCCGGCGCGTCGAGAGGGACATGACGAGCCTGGGCATGCGCCACGTGAGTTACGGTGTCCACCCGACCCACCTCTGCATCTTCCAGCTGGCCTTGCTACTTGATTACTTGTGAGTTTAGCAATGTTTTGCATGTACTTGGGGTTGCAGAGAAGAGAACAGGTAGTTGCGCGCCGCAAGGGGGCCTTGTCTTCACTGTTTTGTGCGGTGGGTTGGGGGCAAAAATGCCAAGGTTACGGGCGCTGTCCAACCGCCTCAAGGGGTTGCCTCCCGAGTCGGAGATGGCCTGGTCAGTGGTGTGGCTCCATTTCATTGCGGCCCCCTTTACCCAAGGGCTCCTGACCACCGAAGAGACGGACAAGAGGACGATGACTGGGACAGTACGGGACCTGTTGCAGCAGGCGACGAGCCACAAGAGCTTCTTGCCTTACCTGGCGGCCAATTTGAACAACGTGCCGGGAGGCGAGCACAACTGGAGCTCTTCCGTCTTTCGCGACACACGGCACGAGTTGAGCCACATGGCTATCTTGGTCTCCTTCATTCAAGACACAGCTGCCGCTCGGGCTTGGCAAGCAGACTTTTGATGTGAGGTTTGAGGTGTCAACCCCCGACTTTTTGCCGAAAATCTTTGGGCATAGTTGGAAGCGGCGTGAGGTCCAGGCATCCTTGCACCCAAACCCTTCAGCCCCATGGGTCCACAGAGCGCCCTCCGGTCGCAGGAGAAGCTGTACGCGGGGGACATGCTGACCGCACGGCACAGGCTTCGGCAAGTGGCATCCATCCATTGGGACCGCGGCGTCTTTCCCAGGCATATGCTGACATTTCAGCTCCCAGGCTCGATTAGTTGATTTAGTCGGGCTAGCTCTCGTAAACCCGACGCTGAGCATTGAGGCAGGATATCGGCAGGTCCGTTTGATTCATGTGAGTTCAGAAACTGACAATGCTGGAACTACTAGTAATTGTCCGCCTGATTCAGAAATTTGAAATGCGGCCTGCCCCACTCGGAAAACATGATCCACGCTGGGTGCACAAGCGGAAGCCATCTGAGACCACACGAAATGATTCTTCAGAAGCACCAGTCAGATTCGGAAGCTATCCCGGTTCAGAAGTTGTCGCGATCAGGCCCAAAAGGCCGGTTTCCGAGGGTCCAAACATGTCCGGCTTGTTCCGAATCAGCGTACAGGGTGTTCAGGGTGTAGAGACGTGTAGAGTCCAGATGCCTTTTGGTCCCTAAACCCTAAACCCGAAATCCTAAACCCTAAGCCCTAAACCCTAAACCCTAAACCCTAAACCCTAATATTTAAGGCATGCTGCCACGATGACGTTCCGGGACCTTCTCGGACCAGAGGTGCGGCTCAGGGTTGAAAATCCCCCCCCAAGCAGTTGAACCCTAAACCTTTTGGATGTTCCCCCTGATACGAGCAGTCCTTAATAGGGATTATCGTGCCCCCCCCATGATAATCCATTTTTTTTGGGGCTGTTAGTATAAGGGGAACATCCCAACTTCAACCCCAAGCTGGAGAGGTCTTCAACTCCCACGCGGAGACGATGTGGGCCGTATTCTTTCAGGTCGAGGCGGGACACTGCCGGCCCAAAGCAGGCGATGCGCACCATGTTTAAGATAAACCTTAAACCCCAAACCCAAAAACCCTAAACCTCAAACCCCAAACCCTAATCCCTAAATCAGGGGCCATCCCAACCCCGAAATGGCAACACTTGCTGCTTGTCTTGGAGACGGTAGAAAGCAGAGTGCACGTGCAAAGCAGCAAGAGAACACACAACTATTCCACACAAGGCTCGAAGCCCTGGGGCCAACCCACAAGGACCCTAGAACTACAGACCTTGCTGATCAGCGCACATGCCGATTAAGGGTGTGTGTGGACAGTTTTCTGGGTGGGCCCGAAACCCGAAACCCTAAACCCTAAAGACCCTAAACATGGGGCCTCTGAAGAAGCAGCTGCTGGGGTTAGGTGCTGGACGTCTTGCTTCTGGCGCCCTTCGCAGAAACTCAAGACAAGGCAAGACGTGGACATTTTCCATGACATTCAGGTTCAGGCGCTTGTCTGATGTGACACCCAAGCGGCAAGAGGCCCTCGAACCCCGAATGCTACTGTTTCTAGGCCCCTGGTCCTTCCCTGAAACCCCCCAGATCCTCAACACCCCGAGCCGAAGATACCAGCATTGCATGCAGGTGGAGTCCTGGGCTTTGACCTGCAAAGCTCATCTCGCGCCTCGGCACGGGCGCGCAAGGGTCGGTTGCGTCAAGTTTGTTCGGTGTACGTCCTCTCAGGTGAAAAAGGATCACTGGATGTCCTTGATGAAAATGGCTGCGGTGGAGGGAGATCTCGCCGTCAAAGGGTACCAGCGGCTCTGCGCCGAGAGCGGGAAAGACGTTGAGAAGCTCTGCGTGGACGATGTGGTGAAGACTTTCTGTGACGAAAGTGCCCCGACTGAAGTTGTATTTCGGAATCCGAGCTCTGCAAAAGGCAGCAAAAGATCTTGTTCCCGAAGAAACCCACGTTTTTTTGAGTATCTTTAAGAAAGCAGTAACCACGTTCAAGTCATCTCAAGTCCACGTCTACGTCCGTGAGCCTCCGTTTCCCGTCGACTCAAGGGACATGCACGGGGGCGTAAGAGGCAGGGCGAACCCCTCTTTGAGGTTGGGGCCTTGGGGGCTTGAGCATGGTTGGCCCATGGACTCAGGCATGCAGCATCCCTCATGGACTTTTGAGCGGGTTGTCCAGAACTACTGCACGACTCCCCCAGCAGTGGCCTTGCTCGAGTGAAACATCGTTGCGGATCGTTGCTGGGGACATGCGTATTTTGCTCCCCAGAAGGGATGCTACTTCAGACCGCCGGTTCCGACTACCTGTTTGATGCTGCTGGGCGCAGCGGGCTAACGACAGTGATCTTATCTGTCAGGTGAACCTGAATCAGATTTTTGAAGGATTTCGCTTCCGCGGCAGTCGGCGGCCTCTCTAAGAAAGGCTGCAGTTTCCGTCTTTGATGCTGCCGTGTTGACCTGCCATGTGGGAACCGTGCCGTCTTCGGCGGTGCAACTTCTCCCTTTATGAAGGGATTTTGCCATCAGACATTCGTTTCAATACGTTCTCTGCCCCCAGCTGCAAACAGCTGTTGGCCATGCAGAAGTGCCACGACATTGGGTATGACCGTAGCTATCGCCTGTGAAGAGAGCCGTTTGTCTGTGTGCTCATAACCTTCTGCACTGTTGCAGTTGGTCGTGCCAAGGGCGGCCGGAGTGGAGAGCCTTGGCATCCGTGCAGTTCTGCGTGGCAAGGTTTGTGTTTGCCGGTGCCAACATGATGCATGCTCATCACTGTGGGCAGGCTGTGGGTCTCGTCGGTATAATAGTTTGAAGAGTGCATTGAGTGCATGACCGACCGGTGTCGACGATTTGTCAATGCTGAGTCTACGTACACTTCATGGATTTCCAGCTGTTGGGCATCAGCGCGTGGTGAAGAATGGCAAGTGTCGCCAGTCGTCCATTCCGGTGTCCGTCATGCTGTGCAGAGCCACAAACGTGGTGTCTTCCCGCCCAGTGGGCTTCGCAGGCGGCATGGTACACCCCCCCCATCCCTCAACCGGACCCTGCTTAGCCATCTTGGCCCCCGAACACCCCAAGCCCTAAAACCCTAAAACCTAAGCACTGATGATATTCTCCCTCCTGGACCCTCAGAGGGTCCCTAACGCCCAGAGCGGCGCGTCGCAACTTTCGCACATCAAAGAATCCGCGGGGCTCCGGTGCGCATTCAGATTAGTAGGGGCATCATCAAGAGCACCATGGTGTTGTGTTCAGGGAACTCTGCCAAAGGGCAACTCTGGGGGGGAGGGGGGGGGAGAAATGGGGGGAATCACAAGTCCCTTGCGCAAACAACCCCCCCCTTCTGGAACTCCCCGAAGTCCGAAACCCGAAATGCCTATACCCTGAGCCCTAACCCCTTGGAATTTCTTCGTGTCCCGGATCGCCGCCTTCCGGCTCGTCTTTGCAGGTGGTAGTGAGTGCGGCGCTATGGCCGGGTTGCAGGCTGGGGCAGTGCACCCGTGCTCGTGGCTTACACAAAGGCTACAGCTGCCGTAGGGCTGGAGTTCGAATGAGGGTCTTAGGTAGTCTATTTTTTAGTTTTTCAGTGTGCCTGTTTTTGTTGTCTGTTTTGTGTTTGTGTGTGTGTGTGTGTTAAATGGGGAACATGCGTCAGGTGGGGAGGGGTCGTTGATGGAGCCTTGGATTCTCTTGACTGGGTGTGCTGTGTGTGTGGCCGTGGGCTCAAGCGGGGTGCCGAACGAGAGATTCTTGGGGCACCCCAACCCCGTCGCACAGCTGCAGTGGCGAGTTTCTGAGCGTTTCCGGCTGCAGGGCTCCAAGTCTTAAACTGTCTAGATTCCTGCAAGCGGAATCGGCTGACTTATAGCACTGATCCACCGCTTGCTGTGTAGCTTTGCTGTGTAGCTTTGCTGTGCGGCCGCTCCTGATATCTTCCCTAAGATCATAAGGTTAGGGTTTCCGGGTGCCGCAGCGCCTGCGGGAGGGTCTGGACTGCAAAAAGGTACCAAAGAAGCGGACGCTGCTGCGACCCTGGCGCCCGACGCTGAGCGCGGAGAAGCGCCACTTGGGAGGTCTTGCCACTCTGGGAAGAGAGGGGGGGAAGCCGCAGGCTGAACAACTCTAAGTAGGACCCTATAAGGCCCATCTTGCAGCTTTGCAGGGCTTTGGGGGTGGAGTCGGATGGAGGGTTTTGGGAGTATCCCAAAGCCCCTTCACCCCGTATCCCAGGCGAAGCTCCAGCCCCAAAAGAGAGCCGAAGAATGCCAGAAACCCTAAGAAACCCTCAGCAAACCCCAAACCCCAATCCCTAACCCCCAAACCCCAAGCCCTGAGCCCCTTAAAGCCCTGAGAACCCGAAGCCCTGAGACTTGTCAGTTGGGATGTTCCCCCTTTTGCTAACAGTCCTGAAACAGCATTATCGTACCCCCTATTCGAATCCGTATTACGGACTGCTGGTAGAAACCCTAAACCCTGAACCCTAAACTTACCCTAAACCCTAAACCCTAAAAGGGGGAACATCCCAACTTGCCAGGATCAACCTCGGGGCCACTCCAAGCCCCCGGAGGGCGCATCATCGCCCTGAGCCCGCGAAGAGGCCTTTGGGTGAACCCCAAACCCTAAACCCTAAACCCTAAACCCTAAACCCTAAACCCTAAACCCTAAACCCTAAACCCTAAACCCTAAAGCCCTACACCTATTCTTGAAAGGTGCCTCTTCGGTGTGGAGAGGGTTATGAGATGTTAAGGGGCCCTAATCTTTGTGTTGGGACTTCATGGCGCTTTCAGGGCTCGTCAGGGTTTCGAAGTCCTGGCTCGGGCTCTTCCCTCAGAGTATCCCTAACGTGCCTGTGAAATTGCTGAGCAGGCCGGGGGCATGATCGACATACGTGGGTTTCTTTTTGTAAGGGGGACAGTTTGGGGTCCCCCCCTGAACCCTGAACCGTCCAGAACCGGCCTCGAGACTGGAAACTTAGGATTGCGGGAGTCGCCCTCTGAGAATTCGATGCGAATCCATGTGCCGGGGTGTCGGGGTGGCAGGCTAGTCCTGACATTCGGCATGTCAGCCTTGAACCCTAACTACAACTCCAAGCCCTTGTATGTTTACATCAAGCTACCGTGCAGAGTGTGATTTCGACAGTAGCCGTTGAGCGTCATTGTGGGAATCTCCCCCCCCTCCAAAGAGAGAAGAGCGGAGCTTTGAACTTGGCAGGCAAGCAAGATGATCTTCCCCAACGCGGGCTCCCTGAATCTGCCACCCACACGCTTTGCGCTCAAAGCGCGGCCCTACTTCATCGGGTTGCTGGCAGCCGCCTGGAGGAGGAACAGCTTTTCCTTTTTCAGAGTTGTGAGGGCGTTTAGGCTGCAGCCCTGCTTTTTGTTTGGACGCAGAGTGTGATATGGGAGTTTACGAGGATAAGGGGCCCGTGCTTAGACACCCAAATACTGGGATTCCCCATCAAGAACCCCCAAGTAAGGTACCCCTAGTAGAGCAGGGCCGTTTGCTTGTCGGTGCTGTCCCTCAGCGCAGAGCGACTTGTCGGGCTGGGTAGGGATGATCCGCATCCAGCCGTGCCGTCAACCGCTGGATGTGGACTCAGGTAGTTAGTTCCCCACGCTGAGCAGGTCGGTTCTAGTAATATTGGGCTTGGTCTCGCGAGCATTGGTGACTGGGGTTCCTGGCTTTTTCGGCTGCGGTCTTCGCCTTGGTCATCACCTCTCGAGATCTAGGGGCTCTTTCTTCGCCACCCCCTCGCCTGCCTCCTAGCACTCGTGCTTCTCCTCCACATCTCTCAGAGGGGTCGACTTTGTCGGACGCTGTCACTGGCGTGCGGCATTGGAATGCTTGTATGATTGCAGGGAGATATAGTGCCCTGCCTGCCACAGCCTCCGAGCCTTCTCCTGGCACTGCTTCCATGAAGATAATATGAGGTAGGCCAACCTCATGTTCGGGGAAGGACAAGCCGTTGGACCCTCCGCCTCTCTCTTTCTTTGATGCTGCCGAGGTTTGGACGTCCTCCTGTGCGTTAGGCTTGAAGCATCAACATCAAAAGCAGCAGCCCTTTTCGCTGAGTGGGGTGTGACATTGCTGAGCCGCACTGCCCGTGCTGTGGCCCGGCAAGAGGCATAAGAGGCAAACAAGCAAAGGTCTCCGCCATCCCATGGGTTCGTCCATGCCATGGAGGATTGCTGTTTCAAATTCGTTCAGGGTCCGGGCGCTTTTTTTTTGGGAAGGGCCAGGTCCACATCAACATCCTTGAGGCCTCCTCCATGGACTCCTTCTTGAGAAGCGCCCCCGACCTTTGTGAATGTGAGCCCAAGGTTGCCACCTGTGCTGTTTCTGAATGTCGGGCCCCCCCGCTGCTGCAAGTCGCCTGCTGCACTTCGGCCATTCACGGGGCCGTGTTCGGTCCTGCGCGCTGCGTGAGGAGCAGGGCCTTACGATCATGAGGCCGAGAGCTGCCCCCTGTTGCGAGACGGCCCAGTTTCATCCCGTGTGGGACCGTGCTTTCGTGGCACCCAGAAGAACCTCTGGATCATCCTGCCATGCTGTAGCAGACTTTAGCACGTTTTATGGGTGCTTGGGTTGTTGCGCTCCCACTTCGGGGTGGCTGGGCGAGGCAAGCATCATCGCCGTCGGTTGTCCCAGCTGATGTCGCAGATCGTGTAAAGCAGATTTTGTCGGTTAGGGATGATCCAGCTCCGAGCCTCACTCTCGCCTTCGCCATGCTGCCCGCACAACATGCGGCACAGTAGTACCATGTACACGAGCTGCCAGAGGTGGCGAGTTCTTGTCTAGGGATGGTTGTGTTTCTGCACAACAGTGGTGCCGTTAGACCAGCAGATGATCTCCATGTTGTGATGCGCCTAAGGTACAAGCCATGCTGATGGTGGCAAGGTCCCTTGCTAGCATTTGGCTGCCGAGTCCCGAACCTTAGTCTTTAACCGCCCAACCTCCTTCCCAACAGCCGCAGGAAGGGTCTCCCACACATGTTTAGGGCTCTCAGCGCCTCTGGCAGAGGGATCGCCAAGTATCCTTTGGTGCGAGCTTTCGCGCAGGCGTTCAGAGGTTCGGTCTTCCAAGCGCAGGACGTTGACCACCGTTGGAACAGTCGGTGTGCAAGGTTCTAAGTTCTCGAGATTTTCCAGGAATACGTGGTAGCACAGGCAAGACAAGCCGCCATCGAACCCTAAACTCAGCTTCGGTGAGGTTCCTCATATTGGACGTCTGGGGGGCCTTGCTCTCGCTGCTGATTCTGACTTTGGGAACCTTCGTGCTGGCCACCGGAGCAGGCTGAATGAGGTTGTTGGGTATTTAGGTTTAGGGTTTAGGGTTAAGGGTTTAGGGTGTAGGGTCTAGGGTTGAGGGTCATGCTTGCTGTTCGCGCCTTCTCGCACGGTGTTGCTCTTCCGCCCTGCGAGGTGTGGACACTGGCTACTGCCTCTACTACGGCACCTTGGGGCAGTTCAGCGACTCCCAAGTTCATGGCGCGTGTTTTTTTGAAGCCCCGGCCCGCCAGTTCTCTAAAGAATGGTCTCATGGAAAGAGCTAGGGCTGCCCTCATGACAGGGCCCAAGATTTTGGGGTTCAGGGTTTAGGGTTTAGTGTTTAGGGTTTAGGGCCCCAATTCTAGAGAAATGATCAAGCCTACCCGCCAAGAGCCAAGGGCTGATGTGCCTGGTGAACGGCATCTTCGACGCCATCCTCTTCTTGGAGAGGGCGATTCACGTCAAGTACCCTCTCTTCTCCAGGTCCTGGGATTGCCGCCGCCCTAAACCCTACATGGGGGTTTACCAAAACAGGTGAACCCCTAAAATAGACCCCGAAGCAGCAGGATCACCCTACAATAAGGTCCCAAATAAGGCACCCCGAATATGGTAGAACCCCGACATCCCCCTCCCTCAAAAAAAAACCCCAAGCCGGGCTTTTGCAGAGGCACGCCCCGGCAGTCTTCAACGCCGCTTCGGGTGTGTTCCTCATCTGCCCCATCATCGAGCTGGCGGCGGCATCGTGGCTGACATGTCTTTGTGAGGGTGCTGGTGAGGGTGCTAGGGGAGTGGACTTAGCTTCTTCGCCAGGAGAGTGCAGGCTGCTCACCAGCAGCTTCAACCCGTCCCTCTCAGCTCTTGGCACATACCTTCTGCAGTGCCCACGCAAGGCCCAATTTCAAGACCCGACCTCTAACCCTCAGGCTTCAAACCCGAAACCCGAGACCCTACACTAAACCCCTGAAAGTTGGAAACCTTTTTCAGGACAAATGGGGCTGGGATTCCCTGTACTTTACTCTTAGGGATGGAGGCTATTGAGTTTCCAACTTTTTGGCTTCTACAATTGTCTCAGCTCGGGGCTCGAGGCCTCCCTGGCCGCTGCGATCTACATAGAGGCGTCCGAGCAGGCGAGAAGGGCTCCTTTTTTTTTCGCGTTCATCGAGGGTTGCTTCGGTTTGGGGTTTAGGGTTACTTGGGGTTACTTTAGGGTTACCTAGGGTTACTTGGGGTTACTTGGGGTTACTATAGGGGGTTGCTTTGTGGGTCCTCAGTTAGGGTGCTTAGTGCTTAGGGTTGCTTAGGGTTGCTTAGGGTTGCTTAGGGTTGCTTAGGGTTGCTTAGGGTTGCTTAGGGTTGCTTAGGGTTGCTTAGGGTTGCTTAGGGTTGCTGAGGGTTGTTAGGGGTCTTGGGGTTGGTGTAGGGCTTGAGGAAACCGCAGAATCAGGGATAGGCGATGAGAGGCGCAGAGAAATGACAGTCGGCTGTTCAAGAACTCAAAAGTCGTGTAAGCTCCCTCAACCCTACCAGAGGTCCATGCACTCCCGATGTCATGTCACTTCACTTCTCTAATTTTTTTAAGGGGGCCCTTTTGGTCTCCGTCTGCCCCACCTTCCAGCCATCCCAGAACCAAAAGCCTCAGCTGGAGGAGAGCCGGCTACTGATGCCCAGCCTCCAGCAGTTGGACTTCGGCTCCGTCCAGGAGGGCGAGGCTGCGGGTTGAGGGATCAGGGCTTAATCCCGTCATGCGGGCCTGCATGGGTTGAAACGTGCCACGTAGCCTTTCAAGTGTGGCGTGGGCACAGGGCAGTTTTCCTACTGTATGTTGAAGAGTAGCTACAGTGGCAGCGTGACGTGGAGTAGAGGAAAATATGGAGAGTGTGCAGATGGTAGAGCACCACGGTGTTGCGAGTGGCCTCCGGCCTGCAGGCCCACCGCCCGTCGGAGCAGTTCCAGGCCTTCACAGGCTCGCCATAGAGTTTCCCTCATGATATGGGGGTTTTTTAAGGGGATTCCAGAAATAGGGGACCCCCAATATAGACCCCCAAGTAGTAGGATCCCCTTAAAATAAGGGCCCCAACAAGGTACCCCTAATATCGTAAAGCCGCAAATCAGCCGCACCCGGGGGAGCAAGAGGTAAGACCGCACATTGCTGCATGGGCAGGTCGCAGCTACCACCTCTGAAATCTGAGAGGTGGTCAAAATCGCGCGGCCGCGCAGTGCTGTTGCGAAAAATGGGTTGCATTCCCACAGCGCTTCGAAGCATGTTTTGCTCGGGGGCTGCGCAGTGCCTTTCCGTAGCCCCTCGAGACGGTTGCCCGGGAGGCTTCGCAGCCGCAGCTCTGCTTGTCAAGTGCAGCACGGACATGGAGGCAGGGCGCCTGGGCGTGATCTTTCCCACGCATAGAGTCACAGAGGCCCCGACGCTGTGAGGACAAGGCTTTGCCGAGCTAACTCGCGAACAGATCTTCGGACCCCTGGGCCAGGGCCTTACACGAAAGTGCTCACGAAAAAGTTCCACGAGGCACCCTGACACCTTGAGAGAGCCCTCCTGTGAGGCGCTCCGGGCCAGGGGCCCCACGCTTCTCAGAGGCATCCTTGGGCCTGGCTGCAGGGGTCGCCTTGTGGTCCCTTTCCGTGCGGGCCCGAGGGAAGTTGAAGTCCACAAGAGAGTGTGCGCTCGCACACGTTGTGCGCACCTCTTCCTTAGATCCCCTGTGCTCTGCTGTGCCATGTTCCAGGCATTTTGAGCTGGCGGTAGTTCAGGGCCGTGCTGAAGGCTGCCCCATCCCTCAACACCAAACATTCCGATCGCTGCGGCTTGTGAGGTCCGTGTAAACTCGGAAAGGACCTGACAGGCTGACATGGCATGTTTTTCATGTGTGCCGAGGAGGGCAGGTCCGACTTGGGCCAGCTCGTCCGACTTTAAATCGTAGACTTGTCACTGTCATTGTTTACCGAAGAGCAGCTATCCGAAGCTCAAATGTCGAGGCAGCGATCTTGAGCCTCTTTTTGTTTGCAGGTTCCTCGCTTGTTTCGGGGTTGCGGCGTCCTCGGCTGTTGATCGTGCCCTTTGGTTCAGCCGCTGCCGCCTTTGTCGCGCGCTTTGCTTTGGCTTGTTGTGATGGTTGGTCTATTATGTCCTGTTTTGGGCCGCCCACGCTTCGGTTGAGTTGCTTGGACGGAGACAGCCATGGGCAGTTCTGGAGAGAGACGCGCTGTCGAGAGAAGACGACAACTCTGTTGCCGCATCTCTCTGGCCAGCTGTGCACACAAAAAGACTGCACAGCTGCAATAGCTGGCACATGGAGACCCCGCAGGGTAGAAGCAACATCAAACCTTTGATACCTGAAAGTGTCTAAAAGTGTTCCGGCCCCTGGGCCAACCCAAGTGGATGGTGCATAGTACTCACAGATCTTCCGAACGTCCGCTGCAATTGTCTTGGCCCCCGGCCAGTCCCAACCCCTATGGGCCGTGCTTGAAGCCTCACCCCTACAGCGTTTTGGAAAGCTTTTGCGGGCTTTTGGAGCTATTCGGAGGGCAACAAAAGGCTCTGGCAAGCTGCAGAAAGACCTCGCGAAGGTTTTCGAGAAGCTCGCGCAACTTTCGCCCAAAAGCCGCCCACAACTGTTTGGGACGACAAGACCCTAAACTGAACCCTAACCCCTAAACCCTAAACCCTAAACTCTAAACCCTAAACTCTAAACCCAAAACCTGCACTTTCCTCGCAAGATCCAGGCCTTGCGTCGCACGCGGCGGACGCAGCTATCGGCAGAGAACCCAGACAAGTCGGGGTTTGGGGTCTGAATGGTTTGGGGGTTATAGGGTTTGGGGTTTTGTGTTCAGGGGTGGCAGAGCCTCCCAAAAAAAGGCCCGCAAGGCCTGCCAGGAAGCCCAGGAGTTCCCAGTAGACAGCCCCCCCCTCAAGCCCCCCTAAACCCTAAACCCTGAACTCAGGGCCACCCCCTACAGAGGGGGGGCGTCGATGGCGCAAGCCGACCCAGGTCGTTCGCCCGCCTCCCACAGCTCGAGGGTCGGTAGCACCCACGTGGGGCCCAGTACCGAAACCCGTTGTCTTGGGGACCTGTACTGGTCCCTTGCAAAAAAGAAATGACCCTAAACCCCCGCACCCATGTTCCTAGGCGTCGCTGGCATTTTCAGGGGGGGTACCCCAGACCTCCAGTCGCAGCGTGCTCAGGCCGAGGCTTAGCTGGGCTCAGGCGGGGCGCTCACCACCCTGAGCCCCCTAATCTCCTGGGCCCCTGCCAAACTTTCTGGGCTCTCGCCTGGACTGTGCTGGCTTTCCTGGCTGGGCCCTCCCCGGACTCCCCTGCCTCGGCCCTCGTGGACTTGACTGGTGCCTCAGCCTCACGGCCGATGAAGAAGTTTTATGGAAAGTAAGCAGTTGGCTTGAGTTGAGGCCTAAACCCTAAAAGGAATAGGTTTGGGTGGCTTTGCCGCGCGTGGGGTGGAAGAAAAGTGTTGGATGGCCTTCCACAATCGGGCCAAAGCTGCTCTTCGCGCTCACGAAGCTTTCGAGCTTGTTCCAAAACCTAACCTTCACAGCATCTGCGCCCTATCACAGCAAGCCCTAAACCCTAAACCCTAAACCCTAAACCCTGAACCCTGAACCCTGAACCCTGAACCCTGAACCCTAAACCCTAAACCTCTCTTCATATACGTATATATATGTATATATATATATATATGCTACCCCCCCCCATGCGCCCACGCTTCAGCATGGTTTCCAGAAAAAAACTCTACGTTCTGCCATGCGCGAGGGACTCCCAAAAACTCCAGCAGAAGTGACCTGAACAATTTGCTCGAGATTGTGGATTGCATGCTATGAATTTCAATAGAAATCCTATGCATGTGAATAGCGTTCCTATCAAATTTAATGGGGTTCATAGGATTCATTTGTTTTAATAGGAATCTTATTAAAAGGACAAGGACCCTTTAACATGAATGAGAACCCTTAGTTCTATGAAATTCTATGGGAACCCTATTCAAATGACAGAATCCTATTTAAAAGTGGTAGGAATCATATTACATTTGTAGGAGCCTTATTAACACAATTAGGCAAACTATGAAAATTTTTTGGAATCTTATAAACAGAAAAATAGGAATCCTCCATTCAAAGACATAGGAACCCTGTTAAAATTGATCGGGCTGTATAAAAAGTCAATAGGAAGCCGATTATCATGAATAGGAACCCGATCAGAGCCTTATTCAGATAATTAGGAACCCTATGAAACTTTATTGGCATCCTATGAAAATAAGTATGAATCTTTCATTGAATTCATAGCAATCCTCTCAAATTGTTTTCGGATAGCAGCTAATGGGAAGCCTATTAGAATGAACCTTAACAAATCAAAAAGAACGCGGTGGTAATTCATAGGAATCTTACTAAAATGAGAAGGATTCTTATTAAGATTAATAGAACTAATGGGGCTCCTATGAACAAAATAAGATTCCTTTAACAAGAATTAGTAGGAATCCTACTAGATGAATATGAGCCTAAACCAATACGAATCCCTTTCAAACGAATGAGATCCCTATTAAAATCAATACGAATCCCGTTAACATAAAGAAGGACCTTAAAATTGATAGGAACCTTATTAGAATACATAGGAACCCTATGAAACTTTATTGGAATCCTATAAACACAAATAGGAATTCTCTTTTGATGTCATAGGAATCCTGCCCATATTTTTCGGAACCGATACAAGTTAATAGGAAGCCTACTAAAATTAATAGGAACCCTTTCCAAATTGAAAAGAACCGGTTATAATTCATAGGAATCCTGTTAAAATGAGAAGGAACCTTACTAAAATGAATAGGAACCAATAGGACTCCTGTATTTCAAAAGATGTTTTTTTTTGGGACAGTGGACAGTGCGGCATTTTTGCAGTCCCAAGCCTCCAAAGTGCTGTACTGTCCTAAAACAACCAATCTTTTTAGAGTAAAAAGTGCAAAAATGCTGTACTGTCCCAAAAACACCCAAAAAAACCAAAGTTTTGAGAGCTTGGGGTCTCCAAACTTTGGTTTTTTTTTAGTTTTTTTGGGACAGTACAGCATTTTTGCTTGTTTTCGCTTACAAAGATTGTTTTTTTGGGACAGTACGGTTTTTTGCAGTCCCAGGCCTCCAAAGTGCTGTACTGTCCCAAAAAGACCAATCTTTTTAGAGTAATAAGTGCAAAAATGCTGTGCTGTCCCAAAAAAACCAAAAAAACCAAAGTTTGGAGAGCTTGGGCTCCTCCAGGGCCTGGAGGTCTCCAAACTTTGTTCTTTTTTGGGTTTTTTTTTGGTTTTTTTGGGACAGTGCAGCATCTTTGCTTGTTTTCGCTTACAAAGATTGGTTTTTTTTTTGGGACAGTACAGCGTTTCTGCTCTTTTGTGCCTAAAACGTTGGTACAGTAGAGTGAGGTTTGGGGAGGCCTGGTGGGTGAGCATATGGGTGGCAGAGTGATTGACGGGGAAGAGATGCAGACTGAGATTGGCAGCCTTGGCAGGTGGCCGTCGTCGAGATCCCGGCCAACAACTTGGGCGTTCGAGTGGTGCGAAAAGGGAGATCCTGGCGGCCGGTGAACGTGCCGACCCAGGCGCTATAGGCAGCGCGGCGGGCAGCGCCTTCTGGCGCGCCTGCCAGCCGTAGCCTGGGAAGGAGGGCGATGGAGGGCCATGGAGGGGCGTTCAGGTTTCAACATGTTTCAAGGTTTGAGTGTACAGGGCTCATCATGGGTGTTGGGCTGCAGTCCTTTATCCTCTGCGGCGCTGGCCTCTGCTTATGCTTCGTGTCCGGCATGTTGGGCATTTGTGGAGTGGCATTGCGCCTGGCTTCGTGCCTGGCTGTGCTCGGCCTTGCTGGCTTTTGGCAATCGTGTTGGCTCCTTTGCTCGTTGCCGTGTGCGGCCTTTGGACCGTGCTCGCTGCCCTAGGAAACCCTACCATGGCGCCTGAGAGGAAAAAGTGTGGGCATATGGATATTTTTATGTATTTTTGTTAAAATAAAACCTGTGTAAATTCGTCGTTTAAGCAAATCCTTCGTCGATTTAGGCAAGTTCTTCCTCGATTTAGGCAAGTTCTTCGTCGATTTAGGCAAATCCTTCGACGAAGGACTTGCCGAAATCGACGAAGGACTTGCCTAAATCGACGAAGAGCTTGCCTAAATCGACGAAGGGGCCAATCCTGGCCTCCCTCTGGCATTCGATTTAGGCAAGTCCTTCGTCGATTTAGGCAATCCTTCGTCGATTTAGGCAAGCCCTTCGTCGATTTAGGCAAATCCTTCGTCAATTTAGGCAAGTTATTCGTCGATTTAGGCAAGTTCTTCGCCGAGTTAGGCAAGTTCTTCGTCGATTTAGGCAAGTTTTTCGTCGATTTAGGCAAGTTTTTCGTCGGTTTAGGCAAGCTGGAACGAATAGGTGTGAAGCGAGGGTTTAGTAATAGAAACTTTATATTTTCGGAATGTTGTGGGACCCTCTGGGCGGGTGGGGTTTTTGCTAGTTGCACGAACCCCTTCTAAACTAGTAATGTCCTGGCCCTGCCAATCGTAAACCCTAAACCCTAAACCCTAAACCCTAAACCCTTAACCCTAAACCCTAAACCCTGCACCCTGCACCCTAAGCCCTAAACCCTAAACTCTCAAGCCGTCCTCAAGGCCTTGTCGATCCTCCAGCGTCTCTTTGCGTCGGACAAGACCAAGGCCAGGCTCTCCTGAAGAGTGTGGGAATGGGTTTTGGGGCTTTGGGGCTTTGGGGTCTTGGGTTTTGGGGTTTTTGTTTGTTTTTGATGGGTACTGTAGGGTTCGGGTTCAAAGTTTTGGGGGCTGGGCATCTGTATTCTGATGTTGTGGTTACTGGTCGGGTATTATGGGGTATTCTGAGATGGCTGCTTGGCTTGTCTACCTAGTATGGGGTGTGAAGGTGTCAGGAGTTGAGGGCTGGGGGTTGAGGGTGTGTTGAGGTGTTGGGAGTTTAGGGGTTTTGGGGGTTTCGGTTTAGGCTTAGGGGTGTAGGGTTTCGGGAGTGAGCTTTGGGGCTTCCGAGGGTTTAAGGTCCGGACTTCGGGTTCCCTTTCCCTAACTTTTTTTGGGCCAAAAGTTGGTAGACACTCTGAAGCCACAGAGTTGGGTTTTGGGCACCCCGCTTTCGCACAGAGGCCGAGCGCCTTGATGACGAGATTGCAGACATGCGCCGCCAGGAGGAGGAGGAGCGGGAGCTTGGGGGTTTCGGATGGCTGGCTTGGGGTGCAAGTCCGGACGAGACCGCCCTAGCTTGTGCTTCGGAGGACCTGCAGAAGCTCCACAAGGAGCTCGGCAACCAAGCGCCCAGCGCACCCCTCAGCTTGGGCGGGGGGGCCGCGCGGGCCGTGTCTTTTGGTCACGTTCTGGGGAGTCGAGGCGAGCAAGACCTTCGCGTTGAAGTGCTTCGACGTCAGCAGGAAAAGCTTGCGAGGCCCTTCCTTGTGTTTCTGGGGCCGGCTCCAGTCTCCGGGGGATGCGCTGCGTTCTTGGATGCGGCGCCTAAAGTTTTTAAGCATGGGGGGAGTACCAGATTTCCCTCCTACCCATTTTGCGTTTAGTTGTCTGCCTTGCTTCGTTTCTTGGGGCAGGTTCGTTGCTCTGCGGAGATCGCGGCGAGCCTCTCGAAGGAGTCTTCCTGCAGCGTGCTTGTGAGGTGGGGTGGTGGGGGAAGATAGATGTGGGTATTCCCCAAAGTAGAGGTACCCATCTGTACCCCAAATAGAATAGAATCCCTTAACGGAACCCCCCCACAAGAGGTACCCCCATTTTCGGAAAACCTAGTTGTTCTTTTTTCACATCCGGAGGAGCGCGAGCGAACACGGGAGGCCCCGATAGTGACTCGTTGTGCTTCTGCAGCAGGGCCCAGCGTGCTTGTCGGACCCCTGCCTCAAACCCACAGACCGCCTTACCCGAAACCCTCGGCCCTGGACCCTAGGCCCTGGGCCCTAAACTCTAAACTAAACTAAACCCTTACAGCCCTGTCAAGGCCGCGGCCGAAATCTCCACCCGCCCCCTGGAGATGCTATCTTGATGTCGACTCAGGCTTGGCCGTGAAAGGAGCTCCCTTGCATGCGCCGCATCTCGCGGGGTGGGGTTCTGGAACCCCCCCTTTCCCCTCTAATGCAGAGAACTCCATGACCCTTTGGTTGAGGAATCTTCCTCAAAGTCTCACAGGGAGCCTTTCACATGATTTGAGGATAGTTTCTTGAAATATTTTTACGGAGTATGCCTTGGTATTCGAGTCGCTGAGAAGATCTCCTGCCTTTCTTGGAGGCTGCTGGTACTACCACAATGAGGCGCCCTGGATTCGACTTTGCGACCCTTTGCAGTTTCGAGGGGGTTTATGGGTTTAGGCCCTAAACCCATAAAGTTTAGGGTTTTTGGGATTCGGGTTGGGGGTTTCTGGGGTTGTTGGGGTTTAGGGTTTAGGCAGTTGGGGGCCAGCCGGGATTCATCCATCCGGTCAGAGTCTGGAGTGCTTTGTGCTCTGCCACCGTTACGGTGTGGCATTGCTTTGGCGGGGGGCATGCTGCCTTCGTTGGAGATCCGATTCCTCCTCCCAATCTCCCAGCACTTGTAACCTCGGTTACAAAACCACCCACGTACACAGGAGACCAACACCACAACGTGGGACCTGCCAGATCCCCAGTGCTGGTTTCTGGCGTGGCAGGACCGTATTGGGCTTTGGTTTCGGGTTCAGGGTTCGAGCAGAATAGGTTGGAGCGGCAAGTGGCGTGCTGACACCTGGGGTCTTTCGTCACTTTGAGTGTGTTCTCTCGCGCTATGGGGGCCATCGTCGAAGGGCACGTGGGGTGTGTTATGTCAGGCGAGGTGGGATATCTGTTCCATCCTGCATCTGTCTCGTGCTGCGCGAGGAGGGTTCTCGTCTGTCCATAGGTCCACAGAAATCATGCAAGGTGCACAGGGGGTCCTGGCCCATGGAGGAGCCAGAGAGGGGTCCACTGGTCTCAAAGGGATGTATAGGGGGGGTCGCCCACAGAGAGCGGGTTTACGAGTTCAGAGTTCAGAGTCCATAGGGTCAGAGGTCCAGATGGTCAGAGAGCACCCCAAAGGATAATGGGTTATGACCTTCGGAGCCCCACACACACGCACACAAACCCCGAAGCCCCGAAACCCCGAAACCCCGAAACCCCCCTCAGCCACGCCCCCTCGAGGCCCACAGCGTTGATGCGGGAACGTCCCCCGGAGCCGCTGGCTCCCTGGCAGCTGGTGGCCCATGCGCCTTCGGGGAGGTGGTTGGGGGCCCCAGCTGGGTCGTAGGGGGGTTTCAGGGTCCATCTTCGGGGCCCGGGGATGTTCGAAGTTTGAGGTCTAGCTTGGAATGAATTGGCCACGCGTTGTTGTGTCCATGTCAGACAGTATCAGACATCCTGGCATCACTCGATTCGCTGACTGCACGGACCTTACCCCCCTCACCCCCCCCCCCCACTTCTTTGGCAGCATCTGCCCCAGTGCTCTCGCAACCTCATTGTCCTGAACCTTTCTGTGAGTGGAGATTTTGTGGGGCGCAGAGGCGTAGAATCGGCGTAGAAGCCAATGCTTCCCCAAGTGCTGATGCACCTTCTTGAACTCCAAAGCTTCTTACGCGTGCCACCAGACCCTCCAGACCACGCAGCCTTCCTCATACGACCGCCACGCCAGGGAGTACCCTCAATTGCCTTTTCTCAACCTCCTAAACCAATAAACCCCCTCTAGACAATGGCCTCCTCAAGCCCAGGTATTATCACAACCGCCGCACTGGCGAGACAACTTGGGACAGCCCCTGTGTGTCTTCACGTCGTGCCCGGCCGAAGCGACGGGCAGCCGGAGCCTGAGGCGTGATTCATTTGGGAGACTAGGACTTTAGGGTTTAGAGGGTTACGCAGGTTTTTCTAGACTCCTCCCTCTTCTTCTGCTGCTATATTACAACTGGTAGTCATTTGAAGCATATAGTGTTTATGGTTCTTTCAGTTTTTCTTCCTTTTCTTGCATTTTTTTATTTCAAGCATGATGCTTCTCTTGTTATGAATATCCGGTGCATTTTCATTGTGAACATCTTGCAGTTCTTTTTATTGTCACTGTTTGCTGTCCTTATTGTTCTCATCGTCATTGTCGTCATTGTCGTTGTCATTGTCGTTGACATTGTCATTGCGAGCGTTATGGTCACTGCTATAGAGATTGTGATGTTGATTGCGTTGCGAATGTGCTTGTACCTCTTTATACAAATGCTATATAGAACTCTTGCCGTTAGGGTTATAGGCTTTTGGGATGGTATGGGTCAAGTCGGAATCTATCGGAACATGCGGGCCGCCGGCCCTCGCTGGCAAGCTCATGACTCTTGGCAAGCGTTCGCGGAAGCCGAGAGTAGCAACACAGGCCTGCTAACCTCCCACCAACGGGGCCCCAAATATTCCCGAGTAAATCGCAGTGCGTGAAATGCACGGGACCAAGATGCGAATTATGCAAGAAAGCTAAGCTAGAGAGCGATGAGAGGCGATGGCCCCAGGATGCACATCTCACAAAAAGTAGCCGGACAGAGGGACTGTCGAACAGTAGAGTTCACGTCTACATAAACAAAAACAAAGGTAAACAGCAAACTACCCGTAAAGTACGCGTCGTGTGTCAGCCGAAGCTTTAAGCCCCCGTGACCACAGCTACACGCAGCATAGAGCGCGGGGAAGCTCACTTGACCTCCGTAGGGGGTTGGGTGTTTGAAAGGAACCCGGAATGGGTGCACTGGAAAGCAACAGACTTTACAAGAGCACTACGACCCCGAAAAGGCAGCGCAGGCAAGGGTACCGCCGCTGGGAGGGGAACTCCCACAGGATGCCAAAGCCGAGGCACCCAAACGCCGCGCAGCCAGAAGCCCTCACCGCAGGCCTCAGGCATCGAGAGCTGGAGACTCAGTGGGGCTTGAGGTAAGCCCTAAACCCTAGTTGAGGTAAGCCTTGAACCCCTAAACCCTACACCCTAGGTTGTATGATGGGGCTTTCGGAGTTTTAGGGAGGGTTTAGGGAGGGTCTTTAGGAGTTTTCGGGTCTCAGGGGGCTGCGAGGGTTTTGTGCAGGTTGGGCAACTTTCAGCCTTGGGGGCCCTGGAACTGAGGTTCAAAGTGATCCTAAACTCCCTACACTCCCCAAACTCCCTACACTCCCTAAACTCCCTAAACTCCCTAAATTCCCTACTCCCACCCTAAACTCCTGAATCTCCCTAAACTCCCTAAACTCCCACCCTGAACTCCCCAAGCTCCCTAAACTCCTCGAAGAACGGGCAGCCGAGCTTCCGCTGCAGGCGCGATCCCTGTGAAGAGCTGTCGGTGGTCCCCCCTCTGGGCCCGGCAGCCTCTGAGACGTGTCACCACAATGCTTAGGCTTTGAGTGTTTTATTTCAGTGTGGAGCCTTGAGGGGCTTTAATTGGCCTTTTTCGGGGACCCTGGCGTTACAGGGGCCCCAGTGGCCGGGGTTGCATGTCCGGAGCGGGATTTCTCCCGCTCGGGGCAATTCGTTTGTTGCAACCTGCAGAGCAGCACGCAAGGGCGACCGCAAGGCTGTGAGATGCCGCTGATGTGATCCGATCTTTCCTCGCTGCAGGGATGCGTCCTCGCCTGCGGGCCAAGCTGAAAAGCAATTTGGGTTTAGGGTTTAGGGGTTAGGGGTTAGGGTTTAGGGTACCTTTAGGGGGACCCCCGTCTAGAGGCTGGCCACGGAGGTGTCGTGGTAGAGGAAGGGGGCTCTAGTTGAATTGGTTTCAGCATGCACTCTCAAGTGCCTCTAGACCACCTTTGCGGCGCTCGATCTTGCCTAGTTGGGGTATGTTGTGTTCAGATCTCGTGAATTCTCCATGTGAATGGGTCCCTGCTGCAAGACAGCCCCTCACGTGTCGGGCAACTCAGGCGGGACCACTCAGAGCACCTGACCATGTACCAAACTGGCAGAACCAGATCGTGCGGCCGCAACTGGTGACGTTTAGGCGTTTCCTTCTCGCCCAAGCGCCGTGTGTTTCTCAAGTTGCGAACCCTGCGCATTTCAGGCCCGCAAGCGCCAAGAAGTGTCCCAGACATCGCAAAATCGGCCGCGTGGTGGGTGCTGGATTCGTGCTGTAGATCCCGTGCGCGTTCCATACAAGTACTCGAGATCGTGCCTCCTAGGTCCCGTGCGCATTTTGAGAACATGGCAGGCACGTACTCTTCTGCGTTTTTGATTGATCGGATGGGTTCGCTTCGTGTGTCCACGGTGTTGCAAGTGGCGCTTTCGCCCCCAGGCACACAAACAGACACAAAGCTGAAAGCTTTGCTGGCTGGGGCCAGGAGTGCCGCTCTCGTTCTTGCTCTGAAGAGTCATCACGCTGGAAGGCTTCGCAGCGATACAGGAACTCATGACAACCAGAACCCTCGGTCGAAGATCGTGTTTTTGGGTGCATGGGGAGGGTGCCCCCCCCCCCCCTTTCTGGGAACACCCACGTTGAGTGGGATGCAGCAGAGATGCTGGACCGACATCGGTCACATCTCAAGAACCGAGCAAGGGATCTGTAGGCGCTTCTTCTACAGCCCCCTAAGCCCTGAACTGCAAGCCATGTCATAACACTCCAAAGTCCAAACCATGGAAACATCCTATGCCATCCTACACCCAAGCTTGAACCCCGAGCCCCGCACCTCAAAGCACACGCACGGACACAAGGCCCTGAGTCCCCAAGCCCTCAAGACCCCTCACACTCCAAGCCAGGACTTCAAGGACTAGCCGCTAGCCAACAAATGAAGCATAAACCCCAAGCCCGAAGCCCTAAACCCCAAAACCTAAACCTTAAACCCTCAAGCCTACAACCTAAACCCTAAGCCCTAAACCCTAAACTTCAACCCTAAGCCCACAGTTTAGATCCCAGCCCCCCCCCCCCCCCCCCCCCCCACATGGATCACACGATGCCACCGCCCACATGCTGCGATCCTTCGTTGCCCTCGTGCTGTGGGTCCCTACCTCAGTGCACGCTGGAGGGCTTAGGCTTAGAGGTTGTAGGGATTGTTTAGGGTTCTGCATCTGTTGGATAGACATCTTTGGCTTTTGCAGTTTTTGCAGTTGGGCTTTTTAGTGGTGTTAGTGTTCGTCGGGGCTCAGTTGTAGGGCTCAGCCTCGACGCTGAGCGGGGAACTTAGAGTCCAACCTTCAACCCTAAGCCCTTTAACCGTGAAACCCCAAAGCACCTCCCGAAACCTTCAACCCTAAGCCCCCGAAGCCCGAATTGGACCCACATGGCTCAAGTTTCCGTGACCTTTTCCACGAATCTCAAAGCTTTGCATATGCCTATCGTGCTCGCCTTTTGTGGCTTCGGAGGACTTTTCCAAGACAATAAGATTCGCAATCGCTCTTTGCATGCGTTGAGTGGCAATGGTAAACAAGGGGCTCAGCAGCCCAAGCGAAAGCAGGCTCCCCGCCCTTCTCGGCCCAAGACACCTGCGGGGCAGCCCGCCCAACATGGCATTGGACCCTCTTCAGGCGTCCGATCCTTGGGCAAGTTGCATTGGCCAACGTGCAAGTCAGGTTTTGCCAGCTTCGGCGCCTTCTTCCAGCTCGCGGCAACCGCCTTTGCAGTCACCAGGCACGGGACCGTCGTCCCTTATGTTGCGGCCTCCTGTCCTCCCTCCTTCCGAGCCATAAGGAGAATGCGCAGCGCAATTTGCCACATGACATGCAGCGCCAGCTACGACCAGGCTTGCTTCAATCGAGTGTGCCTGCTCGTCCAGCTTCCGAACTGGGTCGCCGGTCAGACAGTTGGAAGTCCCCATGGTTTTTGCTGCTATTGGCACCTCAGCCAACGGCGATGCTTACGACTCAGCCAGCGTAAGAGTTGCGTCTAAACGGCTCCGACAGCGGCCGGATCACCTGGGGCACTGTGTGGAAGTTCAGGGCTGGCTTACTCAGCTGGGTACGGGGCAGCCTGTTGCGATGGAAGTGACGACCTTCAGCTTCGATGTGTCCGAGGGCTGGAAGAACATCCAAGCAGGCCGCGTGGCGGACGTCCTTTGCCAAATGATGTCACCGAGCGGTTTTGGTCACATCATCGTGCGAGACGGGAGCAACACAGCCACGGTTGAGGTCAGTTATACGCGTGTGGATCGAGTCCTTCGCGCCAGTGGATGCACCTGGACGAGGAGCATCGCCCCGCCGAGCTCTTGTACTTGCCTGTGGGCGCGTAACTTGGAGACACTGCCTATGGTGTCATCAAGAGGATTGGGGGGAGCGAACCTCGGTTTGGAATCCGTTTGGGGGATCATGTTCTCGCTTCAGGCATGTGAGAACAAGCGCAAGAACACTGGTACGACTATCAAAATGGGCGCAGAGGGCGTTACCAGAATGCTGAAGGACAGCCTCAAGTAAGAGATTGCGGAGGTCCTTTACCTTTCGGATGCGCGTGTTGTGGTTGCTGCTGACTCGTGCAACAAGATTGCCCTCAAGCACCGCGCCGGCTCTATCGCATTTATGCACGTCGAAGCTATGGATTCTCGTGCCAAGGCTGCTTTCGAGGCGGCCGTCGTCGTGGTCTTCGCGCCTCGACGTGATCTTGATGGGGCGCAAGATGACCTTCGTTGGTAGGACAACATTCTGCTGCGCCTGAGGCTCTGCCCCTATGATGCTGCAGTCCTGGAAGGTATCATGGCTGGAGGCCTCGCGACGCGAGCGCGCGTTGCCCGTCACGCCCGACGTACAGATGCGACGCCTAATCGTTTCGTGCCGGGTTGCACGTGTCAGGAGGAAACGACCGAACGCAGTCTGTGGCATTGTGAGGTGCGTGAGCATCCCAGGGGGCCTTCTTTCAAGCAGCTTCGCGCGCGGATCCCGCGTGTGCGCCTTTGTGACTTTGTGAGGCAAATAGTGGCCTCGCCGCTCCCTCTTCCCCTCAGGGTTTTGATGTCGCAGAGATGTCGCAGATCGAGCTCGATGCCCGACGCTTGCTTGATGAGGCTCGTCGTGGGTGTGACGGCCATGACCCCGCAGAAGAGCGCCTCATCTACTCGGTGTCTACTGGCGTATCAGGCCCTCATGGGGATGCCATCACCCCTCGCGCCAAGGCCGCCAAGGCCCAGCCCATTGTGAAACCACAGACTCCTCACCCTCCGGGTCGCTTCCAGTTCACGGCTCAGGGTTCTCGGCTGCTTGCGGTCTAGTCGCCGTGCTCAGCGCTCTCGCTCTACCAATTTGCGCTCGCTGAGTGTTTGGGCGTCGAGTCTTCAGCTTTCGGCGCCCTGCGTGGCATGCAGATTGAGCAGCAACGTCACACACGTGACCGCGCTGGTAAGTAACATTAATTACGGATCAACACGTTGAGCCAGGGGGACCTTCTTTGGTCCGGGGATGCGCAGGCCCCCAGTTCATGCAGGCGCTGACCTTGCATGGTGGCTAGGAGAGACAGGATAACAGGCCATGGCTGATGCCCGTGATGGTGCTGAGGCTGGGGGGCACTTGCAAAACTTCGAGCCGCATGGATCGCATGACGTGGTCACTTCGCCCACAGGACATGTTCGAGTGTGCAAGGGTATTGGGTTTTGCCTGACAGATCCTGCTCCTCGTACGCCTAGCGTATGTTTGAGAAAGACATGCGCTCTGTTACCCGCGCGGCCTTGGGCGGGAGTCGCCTTGCGTGCAGATTGGAGCTGGTGTTTGAACCAAGCTCCGTGATGGATCGATAGCTTCTACTCGTGATTTGCTCTTCAGTTTTCTTGTGTGCAGCGTTGCCCCTATTTTATTTGCGCGTGTGACTTTCTTCGCTACGCCGTATGGAGCCACACGTTTTCAGGTGCTTGGTAAGTGCACTAGAAATCTTCTTCGCAGCTTCTTGTTGTACAGTGACGCGCTTTTCCTGCAGGGACCTGTGCAGTTCAAGGATGACTTGGGCCATGGAGCTCTCGTTGCATTTTTCTATGAGGTCGCTTTTTTGCCACTTCGTAAGACGTTGGATGATGAGCTGATTTTGCTTGACGTCGCGCCAAATGTTTCGCAGACCGGGTAGGTTTTTCAGCACTGGATGGCGCCGCTGGCATACACGTCGTTACTTCTCTTTCTTCTTGTGCTCTAATTTGTCTTGGATCTCTTTGTGGCACCATCTTCGCGGTGATGTCACGTTACAAGGCAAACGCTTGAGGTTTGTAGTCCTCTGTGTCTAAACTGTTGGTTCGGACTTGTAACCTCTGTTGGCGCCGCAGTCATGGGCCCGAAGTGTACAAACTTAGAAGCCGAAAAAGCATAGCACTGCACCGTAGGCCCGGAGGGCCGGGCGCAGAGATTTAGAAAAACCCGCCTGCCCACAACCGAGGGCATTGCGCTGCACTAAGTGCATCGCTCAGTCTTCGCATTGCACACGCTTGTGCATTCTTTCAGGCACCTCTTCGCAGAAAAGACGTCTGAATCTCGCTTGTGTTTGAGGACTTCTTTCGGTTAGTGCACAAGGACCCGCAACCAACTTTGTAACCCCGACACCCTAGTTGGAGTTCGCAGCTTGATCTTGAGGGTTAAGGGGCTTTTTGTTTTTTTTTGAACCCTTCAACCCTAAACCTGGTGCCCAGGTCAGTGTGGGTGCGCAGAGGCTGAAGGACTTGAGGGTCCTGGGTTGCAGTCAATGAGTGCACGAGCATGTTCTCAGCTTTCATGAGCGGGATAGTGTGCCTTCGTTCAGGAGTACAACCTTTGGGTGTGCCTGCAGCTCAGTTGACCCTGGCTGATCAGCGGACAAGTTGCCAAGACATGATTGCAAACCTATGTGGGCGAAATTTTGAGATGAGATCAAGCTGGTGCCCTTAGGGTTCAGGGTTGCGGCTGCTAGGCTTCTACAAGGACGTGTTAGGATAAAGACCCGCAAAGTAGGGATGCTAGTTAGTTTCGAAACCCTCGGCGCCCTAAGCCCGAAAACTCGCGCCCCCAAAGAAAAGGGTCAACCGACTGGAGTGTTGCGCCTTGAGAAGTTGTAGAGGGCCACATGGTCCACCCAGAAGCATTGAACCGGATTTGCTAGACCCCAAAACCACCAACCCTGTTATCCCTATTGGCCTGATTCGCTCCTCCTTTGGTCTTTGATTGCCTCAGGTCCGCACTGCGAACAAGGGGTTAAGGCACCGGTTGGAGAGGGTCCTCGGAGCTGCGGGTTTTGAGGTTTACGGGGGTTTCGGGGTTTAGGGCGAGGGCTGAGGGTCTTAGGGGGTTGGGGGTTTTGGGGTTGAAAGGCTGGGGGAAGGCTCCGCAGGCATCTAGGGACTGTGAGATAGGTTTTTCGAGGGGTTGGGGATTCTGCGGCAATGCCCCTGAGGATCTTTCGGTGCACACCTTCCAAAACCCAACAGGCGCAAATGGGGGCTTCTCCAAATTATGGTCCCCTTCCTCATTATGACACGTGGCCACGGAAGACATCCGCGTGCTACTCACTTCCGCTTGTGGCATGTGCATTCCCGTCTTGATAGATATTTCCATGCGCGGTTTGTGCAAGTTCTCCTGTGAGGAATGTTGCCGTTGTGAAAGAATTGCTTGGGATAAAACGAAGCAGACGGAACAGTTTAGAAAGTTTAGGGGTTTAGGGGTGTAGGGGGTTTAGGATTGCGGCTTGAATGAGTAGATCAAGCAAGGCAGCTTCCCTCTCAGGGGATAGAGAGTTAAATCTCACAAGCCCTGAACCCTAAACCCTAAACGCTAAACTAAACCCCTAAACCCCTAAACCCTAAACGCTAAACCCTGAACCCTAAACCCTAAACCCTAACCTTAACCATGGACAGCTCGAGAGGTCGCCGATGTCACCGATCTCAGCTGTGAGGCAGCAGAAGTTTGTCAGCTTTGGGTTGGGGGGGGGGGGGGGGGGGTTCAGTTTCGTGTTCTAGGGGTGCAGGATTTAGAGGTTTGGCGGGGTTCAGGGTTTAGGGTTTAGGGTTGAAATAGGGTTTAGGGTTTGGGCAGCTTAATTTTTGGTGTGGATTCTTACTGCCAGAGTTTTTAGTCTTAAGGGAAGACGGCTAGGGTTTGGGTATTCAAAAGACGTGTGGCATCCCCCAAGGATTGGTTGACTAGGAATCCAATGATAAAGACATCTGCAAGGGGACCCGATATAGGAACAATTCCATACAGACCAAATGCCCCCTGAAAGTTCCAAGACCCCCCAAGCCCCAAAACCCTCAAGCCCGAAGTAACAAGCCCCAGGCCCCAGATCTGCTTTCGGGTGTCGGGTTTGGGGTCTAGACGGTTAAAAACCCCTGGTTTTCGCACACCCTGATTTTGGAGCATGAGGTCTCTGCCCGATGTCGAGATTAAGCCCAAGGCCCCAGCCAAATGATGCTCCTCTACGGCCTCTGAAGAACATGAGTGGGCGGAGCAGTGGCTTCGGCTTCAGCTGCTGGCCTGAGAGCCGCCACCGCAGTACTCAGCAAACGAAGCTCCGCTCCAAAGTCCGATTTTGGAGGTGCCATGCCCCTCTTCGTTTTGTGGTGTTTGTTTTATTGGCACGCCCGACACCGTCAGAAGTGGTCTTCGCAAGGCTAAGACATGCTTCGCAGAAGCAATACAGAACGTGCTGGGCTTGCTTGTGCCGATTGCAGAAACATCCCAGAAAAAATGCAGGCACAGGCTGTTTGACCCTGCATCTGGGTTCGAAGAATCTGGCGTGCTGGTTCGTATGTTGCACTGTGAGAATACCGATCGGTCCCGGCCGATCAATCACAAGCTGAAAGAACTCGTCTGCACGACACATCCGACGAGACGACGTGCAGCTTTGAATATGCACCGTGCTGTCTCAGGGAGGGGTGTGTGCTGCTCCATGTCTGGATTGCGTTTCTTTGTTGGCGTGTCTTTCGTATTTCGTTGTGTTCCCTGTCTAACGCCATGGGTTGGACGAAGGTCCCCATGATGAACTCTTGGGATGCTCCCCCTTGCACTAACAGTCCTTTTATAGGGCTTATAGGGATTCTAATCGGGGGTAGGGGAGCATCTCCTCCTGAAAGTAGCTCCCGAAGCTCCAGCACCTCGTGGGCGCTCTTGTGGCGTGCGGCAGGTGTCCTCCTCACCTGCCCCCTCGGGCCATGAGTGGTCTTGGGTCAAGAAGGCTCGCGGCTCTAAACCCTATTTCCTAAACCCGTTCCTGGCCCGCCTTGGGTCCCCCCTTCACTTGACCGGACACTTATTAATTCGTACTCAAACAGGTTTCGAGGTGGGAAGAACTCCTAGCTTGACAAGGAGCTTGGCTGTTGCACCGCAATATTCCGGGATCTGCGAATGACGGGCTGCCTCATGCCCAAGCCCTGAACCCCAAGCCCTGCGGCCGGCAGCAGGCAATGCGCAACTTCTTGCGGAGCCTCAACCAGCCTCCGGAGAAGCGCACTCATCAGCACGAGGTCTGTTGGCCATGCACGTCCTGTCTGATGGCACCGCACTCGTCCGGTCTCGCTCGGAGGTCGATGAGCTGATCAAGCTTGCCTCGGCTCCGTTCTGAGGGTGCGGTCCGAAGCTCCCAAATCAAGACTGCGCCCCCCTTTCCGAGGCACCCCTGCAGGGCGAGTGCTACCTGGGCATTGTCGCACTCGGGCACCGACCTGAAAAAGACAGGCTTTGCTGCTCAGCAAGCCTCTCAAGGGGGCCCTTTTGCAAGGTTCTTCGTCTTCCATTTCATGGATCCGGCGGAGAGGCAGGGCTTGATCAGCGGCGGCCCTACACAGCGTCTACCTTCTGCCATTTTGTGCAGTCGTGGGCAAAAGCTTCGGATCTCAGGAACGTCGGTGTTTGGCGGTGTGACTTTCCAGAAGGCCGTGCCGCTGTCGTACTGGGACGCAGCTCCCTCAGTCACCTTCGCTGCTTTGTATTCTGCACTTTGAGTCTGCTGTAGCAGTGGCATGTAGAAAAAATATATGTATAAAGAAGCCACCAATTCCTCGAAAGACGAGGTGTATGCATCTGGTTGGCCGATCTTCGGCCTCATGGCGACCGCCACGGAAGCGGTGCAGCTGCTTTGCCGCACTGCGCGGCAAAGCAATTGCTAAACGCATCTAAACGCCAAGCCGCTAAGCCTGCCAAGCGTTTGTTCTGTGAGTCAACGACTAAGATGGGGAAGCAGCCCAAACATGCTGTTCCCAATATCTATGCATATCTCTGCTCACATCTCCGTGCTCTCTGGCCTCCGACAAGGAATGATATCCAAACCTCCAGCTCGAAACTCAGGCAGGGCTTCCGGCACACAAAAGCACAGAAGGGAGCCATGCCCATTGTCAACGGATGCCGAGGCGCGCCCGCCACTCAGCCCGACGTGGGCATGACAGGCCGAAGCCACAAAGTGGGGTGCAAGGAGTGCGTCGAGGTGTGTAGGGGTGTGTTGGTCCAAGGCATTGACCTTGGCAAGCGCGAGTGCTGCGACTTCCCGAGCACGCGCCCCGCATCACCGTTCGTTTAGGAAGAGGGGCGGCTCTTTATGCGGATAATCCCGAACCACCCTGACCCTCCTACGCTCCAAACTGCAAGCCCTAAACCCTCAACCCTAATCCCTCATCCCTAAGCCCTGAGCCTAAGAGAGACCTGAGGCGGCTCCGCCACCGCGGCGCGCCTCCCAGCTTTTTCCCCACAAACCTCGCAAAGTATCCAAAAATGTGCAAATTCGATGTCCAAAGACATGGAACAAGGCCTGAATTGTGCCAAGTATCGCACAGATACCTGCTGAAGCTCTCTGGTTCCGGGTGCTTTGGGCTATCGAGGAAGACCGGCGCTTCTTGGTGGCCCTGAGCCAGAGTCTTCAAGGTCCTTCCCCTCAGTTTCAGTTTAGTTTATTTTGTTGGGGTGGGCGGGCGGGGGGTGGGTTGGGGATGTTTTGGGGTTTAATTCGGTTAAGGCTTTGGGGCGTTTCGGGGGTTTGTGGCTTTGCTTGCGGAGGAAGGGGAAGGAGAGGGGAATGTTTCCATCCGAGCCAAGCCCGTAAAAGCCTGCACCATGCGAGAATGTTACATGCAAGATTCTACTATACGACTAGACGGTTATAGTTGTTCATACTGCATACCACATGCTCTAGCTTATCAATTATATGCTTCATAGGGGCACTAATATGCCAGTTCTTTATTGCCTAGTGCAGATTGTATGCAGCATATTCTGTATTATTTATTCATCACATATTATATATTGTACTTTATATATAATGTATGTTATCATGTTATATCATGTAATATGTAACATGTAATATGGAATATGTAAGATGTAATATGTAAGATGTAATATGTCATATGCAATATGTAATATGTAATATGCCAGATGTCATATGTCATATGTAATATGTAATACAGTATAGTAGTTATACCTTTCACGTGGTATATAACATAGACTATATCAGTACTAGATGCTATATGAAACATGATACATGTTATATCTTCTATGCTATGTGCTATATGCTAGAAGCTGTTATGTGGTATTATGTTATTGTGTTATTATGTTGTTATGTTATTATGTTATTATGTTATTATGTCATTATGTTATTATGTTATTATGTTATTATGTCATTATGTTATTATGTTATTATGTTATTATGTTATCATGTCATTATGCTATTATGCTATTATGTTATTACGCTATTATGCTATTACGTTATATGTTGTATGCTATATGCTATATGCTATATGTTATATGTTCTATGTCAAGTGTTATACGTTGCATGTTCTAGGTTTTATAATGACTATATCGTATGTTACGAGGCACTGCATGGCTGGCGAGCGCCAACCTCAGATTCACAGTGGCGAATTCTGCTGCCGTGCCGGGCATCACCCAGAGCTTACGGGTTTTGAGGGTTCTCCATTCACTCCCCGGACTGCGCTAGCCCTCCACACGCCAGGGTGGCCCTCCCCCGCGCTCCCCTTGCCAAATCCTCCTGATTCCCCCTCCCACCAAAACCCCTTTCCACACTGCGAGTCCTAAGCCTCAGCCCAGACGCCCGAAACCCAGCAAAGCCCCGGGCAGGCGAGCCCACGTCTCCGGCGCTGCCGCTGCGCACCTCTTTGGAGTGCTCTCGCCGCGGATGTTGGGCTTTGGGGGTCACCTGAGAGCCCTGGGCCCTGCACATTGGGGAAGTCAGGAGAAAAGTCGCGGGCTCTGCCGAACCGCCGGTGAGCAGCTGAACCCTGGGCCACAGCAACCCACAGCCTCGACCCTAAACCCTACACTGTTACGCCCAAACACCGAGTCCCGATAATAACAATGACGATGGCGATATTACAATAAGAAGAATGATAGCAATCATACATAGAATGCCGCAAAAGTGGATGGCACGGGTGGGCCACTGCCAGATGCCTTCCAACTTTGGTTCAAAGGCTCCGGCCGAACGGTTCCGGCTTCAAGCCAGGCCACGAGTACCCCCCGCGATGTGGAAAGTTCTCGGCTTTTCAGTCGGAACTCTGAGCCTTAAGTTCCCAACTCGAACTCCTAATAAAGCTGAGCCTGCTATTGTTTCATAAGGACGCAGGGTCTGGGGCTGCGGCATGTTCCCCCGGGCAGGTACTTGTCACAGCCGCCGGCTTACGATGCGGCATGCGTTGATGTTGTACGAGTCTCATGTTGGGGGTGGCTGCGAGTACTTGGACAGAGATGTGTGCAATTCTTGCGAATGCCCTTGTTCTCGAATACAGCAGCCCGTCAGACCACCAAAGAGGATAAAAACTGCTTGTTTCATTGAAAAGCTTCCCCAGGGTTAAACAACGTCCTCGAATTCATGTAACGAAGCTCCTTTGCGAAGACCCCAAACTGCCCACCCCTGCCAAGCTGTAGTGTAAGAATCACAGGCAGGCACGGCACCCCGACATCACAGAAACCACCCCAAAAACTGCACCACCCTTCATGTCCATGATATCCAATCCCTTAGCATTTGCTGTCATTGTCCATGTGCGTAGCTGCTCGGTTCTCTCAGGACGGCATACCGCCGCTGCTCCTGGGGTCGTGCCGGGGCTTCGGCTGGTCTTGTGTCACGGTTCTGCAGGAAGGGCGATCAGACTCCCAGAGTTCCGATAAGATCGGCGGCTTTTGTCCCCAGCCCCAAGAGTACGTAGCCTAAGTGCACAAGGCATAGCAGGTACACCACAAAGGACCCTCACGTAGGCAACCTACCAAGCCATCATGACCCGAGGCCACGGCCTACTTTGCGGCCGCGGAGAGTTTGCTGGTCACGAGCTCCCTGCCGGGTGCTAGGATGGGTGTTCAGGATTTTGGGCTCAGGACCGAGGATGCTTTGATTTGGGGGGCGGTCGTTGTGGTCGGTTGAGATTTGCAAGGCAACGGCAACAGCTTGGAGAGGATGGAACCCCCCTGCCCTTCCCCCCACTGCCCAGCACCCCCACACCCATCCCGGTCCAAGAAAAGGGTTCGGTTTACACTCAGGTCAAATCTGGGCTTCAAATCATTTGTCGTTAAATAGTTGTGCAAACCCGGATTTTGAACACCTGGGTTTCGCACCCAGGTTAAATATTAAACAGCGCCTGCTTACTCCACCTGGCCATGTTTTTGGGGCACTGCCTTTTTTTCGGCGTGCCCGTTTCTTGTTTTGAGCCGGCCGGTTGCGGGCCATGATGCCTCTGCTCCCCCCGAATATCGCCGACGATGCCGGCGCTCCGAGTGCCAAAGTGGCCGAAGCGTGGGCGCAAGGTGCTGGCGCGGGCGGCAACAGGCACCTGCGACACACAGATCGCCTTGCAACAGGAAGGTGGCCTTTCCATGGTGATCCAGCTCTTGCATCCAGTTTCCTTCCTCAGGAACATGGACCCCAGACTGTCGGATAAGGCTGTGCTTCGGCGCCCATCACTGTGCGCTTTTCTGCTTCTTCCGACCTCGGTCTGTTGCCTCCTTCACCATGCTGCACGGTAAGGCATCGGTCTTGAATCTGGGTTTAATGGACCCGGGAGAAGTCTGGCTTTGAACCCGGCTTTAGCTCGGGTTCAAACCCAGGTGGATCCCAGGGTTCGAACCTCGGAATTCCGAACCTGACTGTCAAATGCCCTCCCCCCCCCAAATGGAGGATTTCTTGGGGACCCTAAGCCCTAAGCCCTAAGCCCTAAGCCCTAAGCCCTAAGCCCTAAGCCCTAAGCCCTAAGCCCTAAGCCCTAAACCCTAAACCCTAAACTGTCACCGCAGCTCAGAAGGTCTCAGTCTGTCTGGAACTCCACGAAGGCCCTCGTGGCCAAGGCCTCAGATTATAGGTCTTGGGGTTGTGGGGTTTAGGACGGTTTGTTGGCTTACGTGAAGTTGCATGGGTCGACCATTGCTTGGCAACCCTAACCCCTAAACCCTAAACCCTAAACCCTAAACCCTAAACCCTAAACCCTAAACCCTAAACCCTAAACCACCCCAAGCCCTCTACAAGCCTTCCCGGGCAGCTGCCCAGGCCTTGGGTGAGCACAACCTGGATGGCTGCGAGCCGCGCGCCTTTCGGGTTATTCGGCGTCGTTTGTCCGGTGGAGTCTTTTTCCCAAAAAGCCCGAAGCCCCAAACCTGTCCGGGGTTCAGGGTTTAGGGTTTAGGGTTTAGGGTTAGGGTTTAGGGTTTAGGGTTTCGGGTTTAGTGTTTAGGATGCTGCTCTCCCCATTGGCCGGCCTTGCATCGGGAGACACCCAGTGCACCCCAGGCCAAACATGACGGTCTACCACCAGATGCAGTCGGCCGCATCCTTGGCCCCCTGAACCCTAAACCCTAAACCCTAAACCCTGAACCCTAAACCCTAAACCCTAAACCCTAAACCCTAAACCCTAAATTGCCAAGCCGCAAGTTGTTGGGGCCCTCAGCAAAAACCCAGGTTAGGGAACCCTGCCACATCAGTGGCGCCAGTCTGCGAACCCTGAAAACCCACCCCCTGAACCCCCAAACCTTGTGAGATACCTATGCCAGAGGGGGGCCCTTTGAAGGGGGGCGAGTTCCTCTAAATGAAGGGATTTCGTTGTACAGGTTGCCGGACCGGAATTTTGCGGGGACCCAACGAGCCGCCAACTCCTGCACCAAGGTTTGGCCCTTTTGGCAGATCCTGGGCCGTTTGGAGGCCCGGAGCTTGCCGCTGGAGGCAGGTCTGGGGGAAACTTGGGGGGGGGGGGGCCGGGGGGGGTGAGTTTAGGGTTTAGGGTCTAGCGTTTAGGTTTAGGGTTCCCTTGGCCCTAGCCCTCAGCCCTAAACTCTAAAAAATTTGCTGTGCCAGGCGCCTGGTAGTGTGGGGCCCTCCACGTCCAGCCTGCCACCTCCCGCCCTGCCTGAGGCCGCCAGGCCCTTGGCCCAAAAAGCGCGATTCCCCCCGACCCCAGACCCGCAATCCTCTGAACTTTGCGTTACGCCGTTAAATTAATTAATAAACCCTAGGCTGCCGGGCCTTCCTCTGGCGCCCTATCTAGCCCTGAAATGAATCCCAGGCCAGTTCCCTTGATTCCCGAATTCCTGTGCAGGAACCAGCAGGAAAAAGAAGTGAAGGCACATGCAGGCAAGCAACAGATGGTGTACAAATCCGACATGAAGGTTGCGGACATAGGCTTTGTGCTCCTAGGTCACGAAAGCTCGCCTCTGAGGGCTAGCGGAGTATCTTACTTAAGCGAAGCTTACAACCTGAAGGGTATACAGGGCCCCCGGAGACTCCGCCACGAAACCAGCAAACCCGGTCGATTTCCGGTGGCGAAACACAGGTTTTGGGGAAACGGGCTGGCGTTCATTTCTTTGGTATATTGGGTGCAAATGAACGCCGTTCTCTGTGGATCCCAGGCCACAAAAAAGCCCCCAAGAAAAGACTCAGAAGCCTTGATGTTGACTTGAGTCCGGCGTCCCTCAAAGCTGGATGGACAGGTTCCCCTGGTGAGTGCAACATCTGTTGTGGTGTCATGCGTTACAAAAAAGAGCCCTCCGGAAGATGCTAAAACTCTATCTCTAAAAGAACGCCTCTCTTTCATTTCATTCGGAACTCCAGACACACTCCCCGTGAACGTGTTCTTTTGGATTAGGGTTTATGTCAAAAAGAATGCCCCGCTTTCAACCTGAGCCTTCCCCCCTGTACGGTTCCTCTGGACTCCTTAGCGCGCGGCAAAAGGGTGACACGGCCTGCTGCCTTTGCGTGTGCTTGTCCTGCTGCGTAGTTAATGCCATGTTGACGGAAGCTCTTCCGTGGGGGTACCTTAACTAGCTTTCGTCCCAGGCCCTCACCCCCAAGTTATTAGGTTAATGGGGTGCAGCAATGCTGTGCTTGAGCACGCTAGCCTGAATCTGAAGATAAGGTCCGCCTCAAGTGGCAGAGGCTCCTGGAGTCACGCGGGCTACAGGCAGTGTGGGCAGATAAGTTCTGCTGCAACATGCCACAAGCAGACCTCCTGGTAGATTTCGGGTTCAGAGCCGCAGTCCCCTAAACCCTAAACCCTCAAACCCTAAGCCCCCAACCTTCAAACCCTAAACCCAAACGGTAGCTTGCTCCTGGTAGGTGGAGGAGGAGCCCTCGCCAAACCCACCGGTCGGAGCCCTAACCAGAACCTCAAGCCAGGATCAAGGTGCAGTTCAGGCTCTCTAGGGCCTCGCTTGGGTACCACAATTCAGCAATAACAATACCATGGTACAACAATCGTTATCGTTATCATCATCATCATCATCATCATCATCATCATCATCATCATCATCATCATGGTCATAAAAATACACTAAAACACTACAGAACAGTAACTGTAGAGATGGCAACGCTCACACCAACAACACTCATGGTGATGGGACTAAAACTGATAGATCCGCTGCCCTCCGTTTGATGCGTGAAGCTGCGGAGGTGTCGGTGGCCTGCCTCGGCGACACACCCGGCTTTGCCCATGTGGCGCTTTCTGCTGATCTGGCAGCAGTCTTAGAGCCTCTAGAGGGAGGGGGGGGGCAGGGAAAAGGAACGCCCTCAGGCGGGTGAATTCTGTGGGAAAGAGCCGGAAGCAACGAAGACCCCCCAAAAGAGATCCCACAAGGCGCAGATCGATGGCCTCATCGTGACGTTGCAGAGCGCCATCTCGTCGGCGGCCAACGCCTCGTGAGCTTCTCAGTGGCAGCGGAGCCCGAAACCAGGGTTTCGGGCTTGGGGTTTGGGGTTTAGGGTTTAGGGATCGGACGCCCTCGTGGCGCTCGCGAAGTTGAGGCGCCTGTGCTTCCATGCCTTCGTCCTTCCGCACCAGCGAGATGTCGTCATCGAGGCAGCACAGGGACCTACGCTGGAGGTTCTGGGGTTTAGGGTTTAGGGTTTAGATTCAGGGTCAGGCTGCCTGCCCCCGCTGTCAGGGCCTGCGCTGCGCTTTCGCGGATGCCTTCCGGGCGGAGGATGCCAGCCAGCCACCCAGCCCCAGAGCACCCCCTGAAAATCCCCAAAAGCTCCCCAAAATCCCAAAAACCCTAGCCAAAGAGCCCACCAACCCCTCCTTTAAAAAAAAACTTAGCCCACCGAGCACCCCAAACAACCCTAAGCCCATACATAAATGCGCACGAATGAGCGCCCTAAACCCTGAGCCCTACCAAAAGCAACCTCATCCAGACCTCAGCCCTAGCTACCAAACCGAAACCTTAAACCCCCCGCCTCTACCCCAGCTCCGACCTAAATCAAGGTGGTCAGTTCTCCAAGATATGCACACACACATACACCAGAGTTTCCACGCGCTACACACAGTTCATTTCTTGCAGATGCCTTACTCGCATTTTTCCTTTCCCAGGCTTGTCCGGGCCAGTCTTGGGCGCCTTCCGGCTGCACGGCCAGGCGCAGCTCCTTGTCCACGGCCGAGGGGCTCAGAGGGAATCTCGGTCTTTGGTCGGGGGGTTGGGGTGTGGGGTTGAGGGAAGAACTCCGGGTTTAGGGTTTCGGGGGTTTGGGAAAACCAGGAAGTTCGGGTTTAGGGTTTAGAGAACTGGTTATTCGGGTTAGGGTTCTGGCTTTGGGGCTGGCCGTGAGGGGCTGTTCTAAGTTCGGGTTGTGTTTTTTGGGGTCACTTTCTTTGGGCACCCTAAACATGAGGGACCCATTTGCAACAGAAAGTGAGGACAATCGACCATGGTTTGGAGTACTGTCCGTAGGTTCCGGTATGGTTGACCAACACAGCACCGCACAAGGGCAGACCCTACTACTATATAAACTGTATATACTTTTCCCGCTTACGTACTTATACGTTCCATAAGGTGTGTTAGCAACGGTTGCGAAGACGGGAAGCTGCTTTCTGCAAAGTTCCAGGTCTGGATCCTGACCACATTTGGGCAGAGGCCATCGTGCTGGTCCTGCTGTTGCAACCTCTTTATCGTATGACCCCCCACCCCTTCCCCCCGGCCGAAAACCCCCCCAGAGGGTGATCTTACTTTCTCTACTTTTGGTTCAAAGACACCTTTGACGGCGCTTTTGGAAGGTCGGTATGAATGCCACAGGCACTTTGAACCACCCGCCAGCGGCCGAGTTATGAGTTGTGCACGCTGAACAGAGATGCACGGACTCCAATCTGAGGGCGACTGCCGTCATGATGGGTGAGACAGACCTGAGCAATTCCCTTCGCACGGGGCTCAGAAGCTCTCTCCAGTCCTCCCACATCGCTGTTGGAAGCTCCTTGCAAGGCTCTGACACTGGAAATCTGGGAGCTGTGCCGCGTCCCTGAGAGCAGCCAGCAGTGTACTGCTCCCAATGCTGCACCGTCTCCCCAGGCACAACTTCGCACGCTTCTCGCTTCACACCTTGCTCCCCGCGCTGTCGAGGGTGCGGTCTCGGATGGTTCATCCGTACGTGTGTAGGTGCGTGTTTGTGCATGTGTCTGTGCGTGAGGAAAAGCGATAGAGCGAGAGACGTCCCATTGTGGATGCGTGGTCGCACAAGGTGGTGTACATGGATGTGGACGTTGTGGTCAGAGGGGATCTCGCCGAGCTCTACAATGTCCCCATGCGCTCAGCACCCAGAAATCGGAGCCACAATTGGGCGGGTGTGTTGGCTCCCGGGCGCCGGCCTTGCGCCCGCAAAGGCACCGTGAACGGAGCCCCGGGCACGGTGGCAGCCGTCCAGCGAAGCAACCAGCCTTTGCGGACCTACGTCGACGTGCTGCAGCCGGCTCGGGACCCAGCCTCCAGCTTCTGAAGGTTCAGGAATGCCTTGCATTCTGACTGAGTGTCCTTTATTATTGTTATTAGTATTATTGTTATTATTATTGTTATTTAATGGCTACCGCCAGTGCCGCCGACCCCTCAACCTGATGCTCCGCGCAAACCGGACAAGAACAAGGATGGCAGGCCATCTTTCGACGAATTCGCAGAGGCAGGAGGAGAGTGAGGGGTCTACGGTTTAGGGTTTAGGGTTTCGGGTTTAGGGCCTAGGGTTTAGGGCTTAGGGTTTAGGGCTTAGGGTTGAGCGTTCAGGGTTTCAAGGGCATTAGGAGGGCTTAGTCGGTAGTGTGCTGAGAGGCCATCCGCGACCGGGGCAGGGGGGGGGGGGTATATGCACTTATATATACCGGGTCCGGTATATGCTGGACCGTGGTGTGCCTACACTTCCGGGTTCGATGAAAGCTCCGGACCGTGGTTTATACATAATTATACAGAACACTAATATACCGGGTCCGGTGCATGCTGGACCGTGGTGTGCATACACTTAAGTCAGTCTTAAAGTATACAGTCATCTAGGGGGGGGGGGAGGGGGGGGGTGGGGGCGGGTGGCGGGGTGGGGGGTGGGGGGGGGTGGGGGGGTGGCGGAGTGGGGGGTTGGGGGGGGGGGTGGGGGGTGGGGGGGGGGGGGGGGGGGTGGGGGCCTTTAAATCAGTCTTTAAACCCCGGCTCCGCCCTCCCCGCTCTCACCCTTCCCATGTCCATCGCATGGCCCCCATGCCCTCGACCCCCTGGCACCCATGGCTCATGGCGTCAGTCATCTAGAGGGGGGGGGGGGGGGTGCGGGGGGGCGCGGGTGGGCGGGGTGGGGGGGTGGGGGGGGGGGGGCTGGCGGTGGGGGGGTGGGGGGGGTGGGGGGGGTGGGGTGGGGGCAGCGGGAGGGGGCAAGCGGAGGGGGCGGGCAGGTACTGGAGCATTCACAGCCAGCTGAAAGTCAGTCATGGGGGGGGGGGGGGGGTGGTTGGGGGGGGGGTTTTTGTAAAGTTCAGTTTTTTTTTAAGTCAGTCATTGATCGAGAGGGGGGAAGGGGTAGTTAAAGGGAGGGGATGAGTGGAATGGTTGGGAAAGGGTGGTTGGTGGTGGGAGGTGGGCGGACGGGCCGGGCACGGAACTGGGGACTTTGGCTGGGTCGGGGGGGACGCCGACGCCAGGGGGGGGTGGGGGGGGGGGTCGGGGGTGGCGGGTGGGGGGGGGTGGGGCGGTGGGTGGGGGGGGGGGGTGGGGGGGTGGGGGGGTGGGGGGGGGGTGGGGGGGGGGAGGGGGGGGCGCGCACCTTCCAAGTCAACTGTGAATTGGTTACAGTCATGGAGGGGGTGGGGGGGGGTGGGTGGGGGGTGGGGGGGTGGTGGGGTGGGGGGGGTGGGGGGGGGGTGGGGGGTGGGAGGAAGGGGGGTGTAGGGGGACTGGAGCCTTTGTCAGTCGGTCTATGGGGGGGGGTGGCGTGGGGGGGCGGGAAGTCAGTAAAGGGGGTGGGGTGGGGGGGGCGGGGTGGGGGGAGGGAAGGGGGGCGGGCGGGAGCGGTAGCGGGGGCGGGGGGGGGGGGGGGTGGGTGGAGGTGGGGGGTGGGTGGGGGGGGGGGTGGGGGGGTTGGGAGGGGAAGGGTCGGGGAGTGGAAGCAAGCGGAGGGGGGGGGGGGTGGCAGGGAAGGGGTTGGGGGAGCGGGAGTGGGGGAGCAAGCGGAGGGGGGCGGGCATGTATTGGAGCTCTTTGAGTCATCTGTAAGTCAGTTAGGGGGGGGCGGGGTGTGGTGGGAGGGGGGGGTGCGGGGGGGGGGTGGCGAGGGGGGGGAGGGGTGCTGGGGGGTGGGGTGGCGGGGGGGGGGGGGGCTGGGGGGGGGGTGGGGGGTGGGGGTGGGGGGGTGGGAGGGGAAGGGGGGGGGGAGCGGAGGGGCGGAGCAACGGAGGGGGCGGTCATGTACTGGCTTCAAAGGCAGTATTTGGAAAGTCAGTGATGGGCGGGGGTGGGGGGGGGTGGGGGGGGGTGGGGGCGGGGGGGTGGGGTGGGGGGTTTAAAGTCAGTCTTTAAAGTCAGTCATCTGATCGAGTGGGGAAGGGGTGGGGGAGGAGGATGGAGTGGAATGGTTGGGAAGGGTGGTTGGTGGTGGGAGGGTTAGGGGCGGGAAGGGCGGGGCACGGACTGGGGCCTTTTAAAATCAGCTTAAGGTGCGGGGTTACGCCGACGCCATGGAGTCTTCACTAGCGCCTCCCCCGCTCAAAGCTGGGGTCGGCGGATTATTACTATTATTATTCTTTCTGTATTAATCCCCACCCTCGGTGTGGGGTTGTTAGATTTTAAACTCAACTCTTCTCCTCGCCCGGAACTCTTCTCCTCGCCCAGTCTACTCCTCGCTCATCCCTGGAGTGCCCAACCCCAAAGTGTCCCTGGAGTGCCCAACTCTAGAGTGTTCTTGGAGCCCAGCCCCAGAGTCTCCCTGGAGTGCCCACCCAGACCCAGAGTGTCTCCGGAGTGTCTCCTCTGGAGTGCCCAACCCCAGAGTCTACTGGAGTGCCCAACCCCAGAGTATCTCTACCAAGAGAGGGTGGGGATGTTCGAAGTAAAATTATTATTATTGCTATCATTATTATCATAATATTGTTATGATGATGATGATGATGATGATGATGAGGATGATGAAGATTGTTATTATCATCATTGGGGGTGAAGAAGCGTGCTTGCCGACAACTCCCTTCACTGTCCTATTCCTGCCAGCCTCTTCTATCAGACCCTAGGGGGGGGATATCCATGCATGCAGGCAGTGCCCAGTTGGCTGCCCAGCGAAGCGCCTTCTTTCAATGCGGCTCGCCTTTGAGCAAAATAGACCATGGCACTTCGTAGGGGCTGCGGCGTCGGAGTTCAGATTTGGTGTTAGAGTTTTGAGACTTGCACTTTGGGGCTTCAGGGTTAAGGGATTTGGGGTTAGGGCATTGTAGGCCTGACATTGACAGCGCAGGAAGACTCGGTATTCTCGCCCCTCCGGCCCCCCCCCCCCCCCCCCCCAACCCCACCACCGCCCTGCACGCTTGTCTTTCAGAACGTGGCAAGATTCAGAACTTCGGCTGGAGTCAGGGATGTGCCTTAACACAGGCCGGCGTCATGGTCATTGACCTCGTACGCTGGAGGCAGGGCCCTGGACCTTGTGGGTTGCTCTTCGTTTAGACTTCTTGAGTAGGGTTCTGCACGAGCGGAGTCGGCTCGCTGGTTGTCTTTGTGTCGTTTTTTGGGCCAACGGTGCTGCCGCCGTGGCGGAAAATCCGGTTCGTTGGCAGAATAACAAACCAGAAATTCTATTTCAAGATATCGTTGGTGATTGAGATGTAGGATGTTTTGCTGGTGGTACAAGTGTTGCATTTGTTGGTGGTACCTTTCAAAGCATCGGGGGAGGCGGGGTCGGGGAACAGGCCGGGTTGGAGGAGGCCTTGAACGTTTCCGTGCCGGATCATGTGAATCCTCAGGCAGCGCCAGGCGTCGCGCCTGATCGCAGAGTGGATCCAGATGAACTCGTCACGGGCCCGGATACTTTCTGTGAGTCGGCGTGGGTTGCGAAAGAGCACAGACTCTGATGACGTGGTACTACTCTCTTCAAGCCCGAAACCTAAACCCTAAACCCTGAACCCAAAACCCTAAACCATGAACAACAAACCGCTCTGAGTGGTGCCGTATTGCAACCCAGGCGCCGGCGCCTCTGGCTGCATGGATCTCAGCCGCCCCTCCTGCTGCTGTTTCATGACGAGGCAGGGGCTCCACCGATGTCGGACCCTTCAACCTGAACTCAGCTGGGAGTTTACATATAGACCCCAAATGCAGGCCTCCCTTGTACTACGGACCCCAATAAGGTACCCCTAACTTCGGCAACCCCCAGTTGCTTAACAGCCCTAGACCCAAGCAGAATGTCCCAAGCGTTGATGCGGCAGTTCTGATCAGATTGCTACATTGTGTTTGGGTACTCCAAAGTCGTAACCAGGACTTAAACAGCGGCCCAGTCAACTTCTTGAACCCAAAGCAGGTCGTGTCCCTACATTGGTCATGGAACGTCGACGGGCTCGGGCACCGCCTGAACTACCCCAAGCACGTGTGGCGTTCTCAGCCCTGACCACGCTCAGCTCTCTTAGCCTGTAAGCCCTTAACCCCAAACCTGTCTAAAACCCTTACATCGCAAGCCATAACCCTTGAGAAAGGCTTGCCTTGTCGCTGAGGCTCGCAGAAGCAAAGGCAGGGCACCGTTGGGCTAGAGCGGATGGGGATCTCAAAGCTCAAAGCCTGAAGGCCCTGAACCCCCCTGGTCTTGTTCCCTCTACCTTATGTTCCTTTTTTTGGAGGGGGGGAATCTCTCCAATTATCGCGTACTTCCAGTGTAGGGCGACAGAGAGGTTGAGCATAAGTCTAGAGCAGCTCCCCCAAATCCAGGTGCTTCACTGGACAGGGCCCTTGAAGCCTTGGCGCCATCACGGCGTCAACCGCAAGCTCTGGGAGCCCCACACGCGTGAGTCAGGGGCCCATGTGGACTGTGGCTTTGCAGATTCTTTAGGGGCTGAAGCCCCTCCCGCTTGTTAAACCCCCCCCTCCCCACCCCGGCCCTAACATAAAATATCCCCCATATACTATAATAGAACTATACTGGCGCCGTTGCGGTCCTTGCGAGGTATTGCCCGAAATATTCCTTCCGGGAGCATACGACGACCTGCCGACCTGATAGCTGGTTCTGCTGAGTGGCCGAGTGACTACTCTGCGTACCTAGGCATCGTCTAGCGGCATAGTCAGAGTGCTTGGCTTCGCTCCTGGGATAATGCACCTTTGCCGAGAACGCCGGCAACAAGACCCGTAGTGGAAAAAGGTGCTTCTACTGCTACTGTTGCGTGAAGATTTTGTTCAGCATTGGCTGACTCAGCTGTGGTCACTGCAGCTGTCAGGGCTCTGCCAGACTTGGGTTTAAGACCTTCTGCACCCTTTTGCAAGCAGGCTTTGCTTTCGTCGTAGCTGTAGCAAAGAGTTGTTGCATTGTGTCTTTCAAGGAAGGCTTCATGGTCACGTGCGTAGAGCAAGCACACCCATGCCTGTATAATCGCAACAAGCTTCTTCAATTTCCCCGGCGCCATGCCTGTTCTTCATCTTATCTGTGTCCTGCCCTGGGTGGGGAACATCTTGCAGAGGTCACTGGGCCTGCCACCGCACGGAGAGTGTGGGGGTTCAACGCCTGGGTTGTTCAGGTTGGCACAGGATTGAAGCAGAAGTGACTGAAGGGACCTCTTGAGGAATCTTCAGTGATAGGACGGTTAAATGCCCTTCCCCAACCCAGAGGCCCAGAGGCCGCAACCTGGGGCTGATGGTTCTTTTTTCGTGTTTTTTTGTTTTTTTTTTCGTATTTTTTATTGTTTTAGTTGATATTCTCCTGTAACAGCACCATGCCCACGTGCTGCCGGCTGGAACCCGGCAAACGGTCAGTCAGTCAGTCGGCCTGTCTGTCTTCTTGTCTGGAGCCAGGCGGCCGGTCAGTCAGTCAGGCGGTATGTCGTTCTCTTGCTTCGAGCCAGACGGGCAGTCAGTCAGTCAGTCGGTGCGTCTGCCTGTCTGGAGCCAGGCGACCTGTCAGTCAGTCAGTCCGTCCCTGTCTGAAGCCAGGCGGCGGGTCAGTCAGTCAGTCGGCCTGTCTGTTTTCCTGTCTGGCGCCAGGCGGGCAGTCAGTCAGTCAGTTAGCCGGCTGGTCTTCCTGTCTGGAGGCGGGCGGGCAGTCAGTCAGTCAGTCGGTCTGTCTTTCCTGTCTGGGGGCGGGCAGTGAGTTAGTCGGCCTGTCTTCCGTCTTGGACTCTCAAGCCCTACGACGCCCTGCAAGTGGAAGCCGCCGGCTCAAACCAGACTGTGACTCACGCCGATCAGTGCCATGGTTGCAGAGCTTCTACGTGTTTCCAGGCCGGTTTCTCCTAAAGAGCCCAAGCCGCAACCCTATGGAATGAACTCCAAACCCTAAAGCTTCCAAACCCGATGACACCTAAATCGGGCGCAACATCTTGGGCGCAACGAGGCAGGTATGAGTGCCGTGGTGGAATGCAGGACCTCCTAACTAGATGGTACCTGGGGATATATTTGGTATATTACATTTCTCGCAATTACGTTCAAGAGGATTATACGTAGGGTTTTTTTTGCAGAGGGTTAGGGAGGCCCAGCCATGTACTTCATGACTTGAAGTGGCGGACTGCCCCACGCGTCAGCTAGCTGAGATGTCACTGTATACCGTCCTACCTCTCCTTTGACAGGCGACGTACTTGCCAGCCGCATCGAAGCAGCAGAAGGACGGCGAAGGCACGCGGCTCGCGAAGGTCACATTGTTTACGGGGGTATGTACACCTTAGGCCCCCCCCTAAAAAAGAACGCTCGGCCTGAACCCGTAACCCATAATTATTCCTGAACCTGAACCTTCGCCTCTACAGCGTGTTCCTGCAGGGGTTGTTCTGAAGGGCACGCGCGTACTCGCGTACTCGCGCATCCGCGAAGCTCAGGAACAGAGCGCCCTAGATGACTTCATGGCATCTTCCGTCGCGCGGCCACTTGTTTCGGAACTCCAGGGTGAAGGCTTTGGGGTAGTGAGGGTTTAGGGAACAGCCAACACCTTCCCGCTTGTCTCTATCGTTGTCATGGTCGCATGCTGCTTTCGAGCGCTTGTTGTGGGCTGTAGATATCTCTGCCCCTAGCAAAGCACACCAACATCATACCCGCTTCTATGCTGCAGAAAACTCTTGATCCCGAAAGGCCAAAACCCTAAGACTGAAAACGAAAGCTGCGAAGCTCAGCCAGAGATGGCCATTCAGGTACGGGTGAGCCGGAAGATGTACACGCACGACTCTGGGCAGCCCAGCGGTACCCTTTTTTCCGTTTTGTTGGTTCAAGATTGCCCTTTACACGCACGACTCCGGGTAGCCCAGCAGTTCCCTTTTCCCTTTTGTTGGTTCAAGGTTCCCCTTTCAAGCAACCCTGAACGCTCAACCCTAAACCCTAAACCCTGAACACTGAACCCTGAACCCTAACACTACCTATAATTTATTCTGATCTGGCTACTGGGCTACCAAGGACTTGAGGTACATGGTGTGCAGCGTCGGGCATCGGCTCACGCATCCTGACGTACAGCACATCGTCCAGGGTCTCATGGGGGATGGGGTTGAGGGTTTAGGGTTTAGGGTTTAGGGTTTAAGGTTTAAGGTTTAAGGTTTAAGGTTTAGGGTTTAGGGTTTAGAGTTTAGGGATTAGGGGAAAGGAGCAACCCAGGGATTCCGAGGGTGCTAAACACGCAACCCTGAGCCCTCATTTTTTTGGGTTCAGGGTCTAGGGCTAGGGTTTCGGGATGCAAGACAACATCCCGCAGCATCCCAAAAATCACGCAGCCTTCTTTGGGGGGGGGGGGATGATGCATGGTGGGGGGGGGGGGGGGGGGGGGTGTAGCGTGCCGGTCATTCATGACTTGCCTTCATTCATCCAGCCTCGTGGACAAGTCGTGCCAGTCCACATCACAGCGCCATCTTCCTGCAGCCTTCGTGACCTATTCCGCTCGAAGCGCCTCCACCCCTCAAGTTTTCCAGCTCGACCTCATCCAAATTCTGACCGCCTCTGCCACCTCGTTTGTGTACAGACTGTACAGCCCTCAGCGTGTCCTACTGTGCATACATGTGCATACCTAGGCTGGGCACTCTGCTGGGAATCCTGACCTGTCAAAGACGCAACCGCATGATCACATCACAGCGCCATCTTGCTCCTGCAGCCTTGCGCGCGACCTATCCCGGTTGAAGCGCCTCCACCTCTCGACTTTTCGAGCTCGATCCCATCCGGACTTTGACTACCTCTGCCACCTCGTTCGTGTACAGACTGTACAGGCTCAGCGTGTCCTACTGTGCATACCTAGGCTGGGCACTCTGATAGGAATCCTGACCCTCGTGTCGGCTGCGGGCAAGTGTGCGAGGAAAGAAAAATAAAAATTTGTTAAGTTTTCCTGTAACTCCGTATCAGTTTTTTGTTTTGGGGGGGGTGGGCCCTGCGGGGACCCAAGAAGGGACCCAAGCAGGGCAGCGCAGGCCCCCCCCCCCCCAACTAGAAAAACCTAGAAGATGAATCTTGAATCTGTCCCCATGTCATTGCTTAAAGGCCCACAGGAGGGAGACCCAAGAACTCCCCGGGGCAACCGGCACCCCGTGAACCAACGCGGATTCCTGGCAGAACAGGGCGACCGACCCAAAGACCGGCGGAGGGTGGGAGAAACGGGCGACCGACCCAAAGACCGGCGGAGGAGGAAGTTTTGAAAACTTGCGTTTTGCGTTGTTTATATGTCCCGTCGAGTCGGGCCTTGTTTGCTTTGTTTTAAGCGTCAAAGTGGGCAGATTCAAAATTCCACCGAATCCCGGTGCCCTATGTTCCTTAAGTAGGCCCCCATGGCGTTCGGCTCAAAAAACATTCGGGGCACTTTCCTGCCTGGTGAGCATCACAAGGACAAAGTCTGGATTGTGAACCCTTTAACAACGTAAACTTCTTCCGAGGCTCTTGGCAGACCTTCACAGACACCGTAGAGGCCCTTCAACGGGCTTAAACTTCCTCCGCGGCCCTCCCAAACCCTCACAGAGACCTTAGAGGCCCTGCAACGGCCCGACCTCCCAAACCCTCACAGACACCTTAGACCTTAGAGGCACTTCAATTTTGCAGACCCTCACAAACACCTTAGAGGCCGAAAAAAATTTGTCCCACAAACACCTTCCTTTAAAAAACTTGTCCGGAGGCCCACGGGATTACCTTGTCGCTTTTTCCACATTTTGCAATCCCTCACAAACACCTTAGAGGCCCTTGAACGCCTTAAAAGCTTGTCCCACAAACACCTTAGAGGTCCTTCAACGACGTAAAAAACTTGTCCGAGGCCCCCTCACAGACACTTTAGAGGCGCTTCAACGGGATTACACTTCCTCCGCTGCCCTCCCAAAGCCTCACAGCGAGCTTAGAGGCCCTTCAACGGCCTTAAACTTCCTTTTCGAGGCCCTTCAACGAACGGACACTTCCTCCACGGCCCCCAAACCCTCACAAACACCTTAGAGGCCCTTCAACGCCTCAAAAACTTGTTCGAGGCCCCCTCACAAACACCGAGGTCACCTTAGAGGCGCTTCAACGGGCTTACACGTCCTCCGCGGCCCTCCCAAACCCTCACAGAGACCTTAGAGGCCCTGCAACGGCCCGAAACTTCCTTCGAGGCAGTCCAGACCCTGACAAACACCTCAGAGAGGCCCTTCAGCGGCCCTCCCAAACCCTCACAGAGACCTTAGAGGCACTTCAACGGCCGAAAGCTTCCTTTGAGGCCCACGGCCTTGTCGCTTTTTCCACATTTTGCAATCCCTCACAAACACCTTAGAGGCCCTTGAACGCCTTAAAAGCTTGTCCCACAAACACCTTAGAGGTCCTTCAACGACGTAAAAAACTTGTCCGAGGCCCCCTCACAGACACTTTAGAGGCGCTTCAACGGGATTACACTTCCTCCGCTGCCCTCCCAAAGCCTCACAGCGAGCTTAGAGGCCCTTCAACGGCCTTAAACTTCCTTTTCGAGGCCCTTCAACGAACGGACACTTCCTCCACGGCCCCCAAACCCTCACAAACACCTTAGAGGCCCTTCAACGCCTCAAAAACTTGTTCGAGGCCCCCTCACAAACACCGAGGTCACCTTAGAGGCGCTTCAACGGGCTTACACGTCCTCCGCGGCCCTCCCAAACCCTCACAGAGACCTTAGAGGCCCTGCAACGGCCCGAAACTTCCTTCGAGGCAGTCCAGACCCTGACAAACACCTCAGAGAGGCCCTTCAGCGGCCCTCCCAAACCCTCACAAAGACCTTAGAGGCACTTCAACGGCCGAAAGCTTCCTTTGAGGCCCACGGCCTTGTCGCTTTTTCCACATTTTGCAGACCCTCACAAACACCTTAGACGCCCTTGAACGCCTTAAAAATTTGTCCCACAAACACCTTAGAGGTCCTTCAACGCCGTAAAAAAACTTGTCCGGAGGCGCTTCAACGGGATTACACTTCCTCCGCTGCCCTCCCAAAGCCTCACAGCGAGCTTAGAGGCCCTTCAACGGCCTTAAACTTCTTTTTCGAGGCCCTGCAACGAACGGACACTTCCTCCGCGGCCCCCAAACCCTCACTTCAACGGCCCTAAGCTTCCTCCAGATCCTCTTAACACCTTAGAGGCCCTTCAACGCCTTAAACTTGTCCGAGACCCCTGACAAACGCCATAGAGGCGCTTCAACGGGCTTACACGTCCTCCGCGGCCCTCCCAAAGCCTCACAGCTTGCTTCAAGGCCCTTCAACGGCCTTAAACTTCGTTTTAGAGGCCCTTCAACGAACGGACACTTCCTCCGCGGCCCTCCCAAACCCTCACAGAGATCTTATACAGGTCCTCCCAAACCCTGACGGAGACCTTATACAGGCTTCAACGACCTTAAGCTTCCTCCATATTCTTCCAGACCCTCCCAAACCTTAAAGAGGCCCTTCAACGCCTCCGAGGACACCTTACACGCCCTTCATCCAGCTTACACTTCCTCCGCGGCCTCACGGCCTTAAACTTCCTTCGAGGCCCTCCCAGACCCTCACAACCACCTTAGAGGCCCTTCAAGAAACGGAAACTTCTTCCGCGGCCTTCCCAAACCCGCAGAGACCAACTTCCTCCGCGGCCCTCCCGAACCCTCACAGAGACCTTATAGAGGCCGAAAATTTCCTTTCAGGCCCACGGCCTTAAGCTTCCTCCAGATTCTCCCAGATCCTCACAAACACCTTATAGAGACCCTTCAACACCGCAAAAATTTGTCCGAGGCCGCTCACAGACACCTTAGAGGCCCTTAAACGGGCTTACACTTCCTCCGCAGCCTCACAGCTAGCTTAGAGGCCCTTCAACGGCCTTATACTTCCTTCGAGGCCCGCCCAAACCCTCACAGACAGCTTAGAGGCCCTTCAACGAACGGTAAACCCTCACAGAGATTTTAGAGGCCTCTCGGCCCTCCCAGACCTCACAGACACCTCAGAGGCGCTTCAATTGGCCTAAGCTTCCTCCGAGCCCCTTCAACCTGAAACCTAAACCCTAACTCTTAAGAGCAGCTATAGGCACCTATTCGTCACGTCGCCGCCTGCGGCCATCGCTGCACCACCTCGTCTCGCTTTGGGACGGCAGCTCGCGCATCCAAGCAGGCACGAAAAGCACTAACCCGAAACCGTCAGGCCTAAACCCTGAACCTTCAATGTTGGCGCCCTTCTTTAGATATCTACAGCTCAAAGGCGAACATAACAACTATGTAAGCCCTACGCGGACCTCGTCTGGCAAGTAAGTACGGGTGGACGTGAATGCCCAAAACCCTGGAAAGCGGTGGGAACACTTGAACAGCGACACCCCTAAGTTATTGAGCCGTTGGGTGTGTTATAGTCTTCAGTGTTCCCAAGCGACACCTGCAGACATCAAGCGTGGATGATTGATGCCAAAACCCTGTAAAAGGCTGGGAAGCCTTGAAACCGACACCCCTCATGTTGCGTCCATCAGCACCACCAGCCGGCTTTGGCAGTCGCTCACATAGTACGGTTTTGGGTTTGGGTCTAGTGTTTGAGGCGCAGTACGGATTTCGGCCCTGTGCCCTTGGGCTCTTCCAAACCCCAAACCTCAGACGAGAGGATTTTGTGATGTTATGTCCTTTCTATGTACGACCGGAACCCTCAGCCCTTTAAACAAACCCTTTCTTTTTGGCACTGGCGGCCGCTCTGAGGCACTCCGCCATTGTTTGTTCCGAATGCTGCGCGAGCATTGCGGTTTCGGATTTCGGGTTTTGGGCCAAGGATGTAGGGCTGAGAGTGATGAACATGTCAACTGCAGACCTTAGGAAAACATTCAAGGTTGCAGCTTAGGCGGGGATTAGGGTTTGCAGCTCAATTTTTAGGGTATTTATGTTGGCTTGCGTCTCGGGGTTTCTTTGTATAGGAGGGCCGCCTGGTAGGGTAAGGTGTGAGGGTTTTGGATGGGATGAAGGATGCTGCGGCCTGTTTCCTCGTCACGATCGTCCTGCTAGGCGGGGGGCCATGTCCAGATCTGATCCAGAAAGTATGTGGGGTTTAGGGTTTGGACCAGAACGTATGCGTGCTTGGAGGACTTAGGGGCTCGCCAGTAACGACGGCCTCCCATCACCTCTCCTCACACGTGTCCTCCCCCCCATGCCGGCCTCCGCTTGGGTCAGTCAGGCCACGTGGCCGGCTGCGCGTCCCCCAACCCCCCCGCCGTGCAAACTTGCTTCAAAGCATATGAGTCTTTTGTAAACCCATCATGCGGGCATTCTGTTTGCAAATGGGGGGGGCTGCGCCCCCCCCAACCCCCCCGCTTTTTTTAAGCCGTGCAAGCTTGCTTCAAAGCATATGAGTCTGTTTTTAAAACCCATCATGCGGGCTTGGTTTGCAAATGGGGGGGGCTGCGCCCCCCCAACCCCCCGCTTTTTTTTTCGCCGTGCAAGCTAGCTTCAAAGCATATGAGTCTTTTTAAAACCCATCATGCGGGCATTCTGTTTGCGAATGGGGGGGGGGCTGCGCCCCCCCAACCCCCCCACTTTTTTAAGCCGTGCAAGCTTGCTTCAAAGCATATGAGTCTTTTTTAAACCCATCATGCGGGCATTCTGTTTGCAAATGGGGGGGGGTGGGCCCCCCCCAACCCCCCCGCTTGTTTAAGCCGTGCAAGCTTGCTTCAAAGCATATGAGTCTTTTTTAAACCCATCATGCGGGCATTCTGTTTGCAAGTGGGGGGGGGCTGCGCCCCCCCCCAAGCCCCCCGCTTTTTTAAGCCGCGCATTTAAACCCATCATGCGGGCATTCTGTTTGCAAATGGGGGGGCTGCGCCCCCCCCCCCAACCCCCCCGCTTTTTTAAGCCGTGCAAGCTTGCTTCAAAGCATATAAGTCTGTTTTAAACCCATCATGTGGGCATTATGTTTGCAAATGGGGGCTGCGCCCCCCCCAACCCCCCCGCTTTTTTAAGCCGTGCAAGCTTGCTTCAAAGCATATAAGTCTGTTTTAAACCCATCATGTGGGCATTATGTTTGCAAATGGGGGCTGCGCCCCCCCCAACCCCCCCGCTTTTTTAAGCCGTGCAAGCTTGCTTCAAAGCATATAAGTCTGTTTTAAACCCATCATGTGGGCATTATGTTTGCAAATGGGGGCTGCGCCCCCCCCAACCCCCCCGCTTTTTTTGAGCCGTGCAAGCTTGCTTCAAAGCATATGAGTTTTTGAAGCCCATCATGCGGGCATTCTGTTTGCAAATGGGGGGGGGGCTGCCCCCCCCCCCAACCCCCCGCTGTTTTAAGCCGTGCATTTAAACCCATCATGCGGGCATTCTGTTTGCAAATGGGGGGTGCGCCCGCCCCAACTCCCCCGCTTTTTGAAGCCGTGCAAGCTTGCTTCAAAGCATATGAGTCTTTTTTAAACCCATCATGCGGGCATTCTGTTTGCAAATGGGGGGGGCTGCGCCCCCCCCAACCCCCCCGCTATTTTTAAGCCGTGCAAGCTTTGGGTGCCGAGCCCTACAGTCGCGATGCCTTCGGGCTCGTGATGGGCCTTTAGTTCTCTCTTTGTCGGATTTTGCTCCTTTGTTGCACTCGTTTTTTCCTTGTGAGTCCCACACTGCCCCCCTTCCTCCGCCCCTCACTCCTGCCATACAGGTTTTAAGTCGGCGCGCCGCAATTGCCAATCGTGGGGCGGCCGCGAGAGCCCAGCACCTCGGAGGTTTCGTCAGGAGGTTTCGAAGGGCCTCTGAGCCAGGAACCCCCTTGAGCATCTGCTCCGAGTTTCAGCTTTCGCGTAAACTTGGACTTGGCATGGCCAGGTGACCGACGTCTTTGCACTCGCTCTGCGGCAGCTGGGCCCAAGATGCGTTCGCGGACGGGCGACGCAGTCCCCCACGATCCGGGTGCCACTGGGTGCCAGGCTCATGACAATGAGGCTCATAGCCCCGGGCGGATGGCACAGAAACGTTGCCAAAATCCTGTGGAGTCCTGAGTGGGACGCAGGCCGCAAATCACAGAGGCCACCCTCTACTGGGTCCCTGAGTGCACAGTTTTTCACTTTCTTGCGCATTGAATTTGTCTGGACTTCCTTAAGAAGTTTGTTGTTGGGCCTTTGGCTGTGGAAGTCCGGCTTGGGTGGGGGGGTCAGCACCGAAGGCGATCTTTTCCGTCGGTTGACCCCTCAACACAAGATGTACAGTGCAATAGCAACCGCGGCCACCGGTGTCGGTCGTTGGAGGGGTCACGGGGACCCCAGCAAATGAGAGTCTCTCTCCTGCCTGTCCTCTCCTTTGGGTGTGCAGCACCTGCCAATAAGACGAGCTCAACCTTCTTCATCTAGCTCACTTGAGCTGAGGAGCAGGGACGAACGTTACTGTGAGGCATCTGGGGTACATCTGAGTCGTATCGCGTTTGATCAGATATCGCTAGCCGCTGGGGGGGGGGGGGCAAAGGTCGAACCGATCCTTGCCAAAATCACTTGATAACTCAGCGAACCTGATATCCCGCCAGGTCAGAAAAGGTGGTTTAAGACTCACCATTGCCCTGGCCACTATGTTCCGGGCGCGTTTTGTTGTCGCGAAAAGGCGCCATGGTTTATGCACATGAAACATCATGGTGCTGGAGTGGTGGCAGCCTCGTGCAACTGGGTAGAAAGCCAAACAGTGCTGCAGCAAAGTACGCAAGGCGGCGTAGCTGTGACGAAGGTGGAATTGTTGTCGTGCTAGCCTCGCGCTAGTGCTCGATTGACAAATTTCCTCTCTTCTGCCATGAGAAAGACCCCTACCAGGACGGGCCACAAACAACCCTACAGAGTGCCCTTTTTTGGGGGGTTTATAGGGTAAAATCGCCCGTCCCGGTAGTTTTGAAAGGCAGGACACATGTCTAGGCTTGAGCTTGTAGGGTCCTGGTACAGGGGGGGCACCGTGGAGGCGCTCTTCAGCAACGAAAGTGCAGGTGCCGTAGCCTGCCCAGAATCTTGTGTTTCTCGGCAGCTTGAAGCAAGTCCAGGCTAGAGTTTGCTGCTGGGTCTTCATTGCATTTCATTTCATACTTTTTTCCTGTGATCAGCATCTACAACTGTTTGTCTTGTTGCCCATGAGGAGGGGCCCCAATGTACGAGCACTAGCGGTCAGATTCAGGCGACCTTTAGACCACCATGTGGAGCTTCTGCGAGTGGCAGTCGGAAACATAACTGTCCCTTCGAATCATCACAAACACAGCACTGAGCATCGGGCTTCAGCACTGAGCTGTTTCTGAGATACTCAGCCAATCTTTCAGCGATGCTCCGTGTGCTCTTCTTGTGCTGGATCCCCATTTTCGACATGTCGGGCCCAACGCATGTCAGGCCGCCTAAGTTCGCCTAAGTCGTATTTGGTCTTTGTTGGCCTGTCAACGCATCGAGGTAGGAGCTCCCGCTACGCCGTTGGACTTGCCTCAGCCCAGGGGATGATTGTGCGCGGTGCTACACTTGGAAAAGCCGAGGACGTCCTCCTGAAGAGGTCTGAAATGGGCCCGTGTCGTTGCAGAGATTCTCGCTCGGGGTGACATGGGCGCCTCCCCCAAAAACCCGTACATATCCTGAGGGGTTTCTGCTGCTTTGGGGCTAAGTTAGCCCGGCTCATGTTCAGCCTCTTGGAGAAAACTTGTAATGCGACCGCCCCAAGCGGCCATTGCGCGACCAAGGGGTAACAAAGCCGTGCTGCGGGCCATTGTGACAAACACCTCTTGATGATCCTTGGGATTTTGACTGCTCAGTTCTCTGATTTGGCAATGTTGAATTTGTATTTAGTCGTAGAGAAGACTTCTCGGTCATCGTGAAGCACTAGAGTCGGTGTCTTGAAGTATGTAAGGGGCGACCAAACGCTCTGCACAGTCGACAGCGAATACTCATCCATGCCGATCTGAGAAACAAGTCAGTTGTGCAGGAGCAGTGATGAGCGCGCACTCCTTAAGCCTTACGTGGGTAGCGTGGCCCGACGGCCAGTTGCCAAAAGCGTCACTCAGGCAATGCGGAAGGTGACGGCTTGATGGACAACAAGCCCCTGCCGCGATGTACAGGTGTGTGGCAGAAGTGGGCGCTGATGTCTTCTGCGTTTGCTGAAGACTAGTCAGTCATAAAGAGGGCGGACGCAGGGCAGGCTAGTCGAGACGAAGCTGCCCGTGTTGCAAGTTCATCTTTCGTTGTATTCTCATGTCTTCTCCAGACAACTTCAAGGTCAATGAACGACGTTCTCAGCAGCCCCAGGTGTTATCATTTGCCACCTTCGCCGACCTCCATTCATCTACCCCCTGCCACCGCCAGCTTCATCTCTGCGAGGCAAGCTGTCTCGGGCAAAGGGCCCCTAGTTTCTTTCCCTGCGAAGTCCATGTGCCTCTGGCGGCGCTGCTGGGTTTGGCGACTGTGGCGCTTCCAGAGAGAGGAGGGAGTTCCACACCACAACCCGAATCCCATTCGGGATATCCCTCTTGCTGCTGAAAGCCCCGTGTGCAGCGTTTTCGACGCCGGCCTTAAGCCACATGGCCCCGTGGCCCATATCGTGACATCGCCCACATGACCCGAAGCAGCAGGCTTACATAGGCTTACGCACTCGCATCCTGTTTAAACTCGGGGGGAGGTCCCATCTCAGCCATAGCAGTGCGGCGTTGCGCGTGAAGGGAGGCTTGCAGGACCTGAAGCTCCCATGAGTTTGCTCGAGCTGCGCTAGTGGTCGCTCATGTCCGAAACCCTGAATACACGCCACAAGGGCCCTAGAAGATGCAGGCCAATGTACAACACCAAGGTGGCACTACAGCGAAGCTACCTCGGAGTGTCGAGCATGAGGCATCTGAAGCAGCTCAGCATGTTTGCCGGGCTTGCTGCCCTTTCAAGCTCAGGCACGGGGCGCGAGAAGGCAGTTGAGGATGACAGCGCCGACGTCGCCCTGGTTCGACAGTGCCCCTGCCATGGCGCAGAGCCTACGGCCAAGGTGATCTGAGCTTCTCCCCATCGCCAGCTGTCGGAGGTCTTTCAGGCTCCCGAAGTTCGGGGCATGACTTCGGAAAGCCGCTTGGCACGAGACGAACGGCCGGACAAGTCGTTGGTGGCACCTGTCGGCCATTTTTCTTGGCGGTGTACTAATCGAAACAAAGTTACCCTTGTTGAAGGTTCATCTTTCGTCGTCATCTCGAGGCAACTTTGAGGTCAATGAACGACATTCTCAGCAGCTCCAAGCCAGGTGTTATCATCTGCCGCCTTCGCTGCCTGCCACCGCCCGCTGCATCTCCGCGATGCCGGCTGTTGGCATTTGTCATGGTAAAGCCAGCAAAAACGCGGCAGCACCTAGATTGCAAGCCAAGCAACATTCGAAGCCCCTTCGTACTCAGGCCCCTTGGCCTACTCTGGCCTTGGAGCGTCAACAGCTTGCCAAGCTCCCGCCCATGGGAGCAGGGGACGAGGGAAAATCATGAGCATCATGCATTCCACCTGACTCTGCAGCGTAAGCAAAGTGAGGAGGTGGCAGACGAGGATGCCCAGTAGCAGTCCCCGTTTCCCATGTTTGGGAGGTTAGATTCCTGCCCAAATCCCACAAAACAATCTAAGGGCACCCTTTTTACGTCATGCTTCAGGGCTCACGTGAGTCTTCTGCACCGGTGCCCGCCTGTGCCAGGCCCACTACGCTGAGAGCAAGGCTGCAGCAAGACTCTGGGCTCTAGGCCTTGAACAGCAGGCGCCCCATCTCCCCTGACCCGAGAGTCCACTTCGGTCATGGCACGATGATCAGGGCCATGCTGCGGGTCCTTTCTGCTGTTGAGATTCCGCGGCTCAAAACGCAAATGCCGGCGTGGGTTGGCCAGAACGCCACGCAATGCCAGAGGCATCACGGGAGTGCGCAACTGCGCTGGCATGACGAAGGTGGCCCTGCAACGGCCCTATAGCCACCTTTGTCGTGGTGGCTCCAATGAAGATCCGCCTCGTCGTCTCCGTTACCGTTAGCGAGGGGTCTGGGGACTTGCCCGTGGTATGGCCAACAGCAGCCTGCACAGCAGCCTGCGCTGAGCCGGGCCACGGCTGCCTCGCACCAGCTTCGAGCCCCTCGTGCTGTTCCTCCGCTGTACTCCGCGAGTGCACATGACGGCGCCTCTGGGGACAGGCTCCGCTCACTGCGCACGTCTCACTACGTTGAAAGTGCGAAGCGGGGGGGGGGGGGGGCACTCTGCACACTTTAGACGGACCGCGTTGAGTTCTTGCAGTCCAATGAGATCCTGGGCCGATGCATGGGGAGCCATGTGATCCGGCAGGCCGCCTCGTCACAGAGGCGTTAGATGACACCTCCCGGACCTCCCCACGGCCACTTCTCCCAGATCACGACACAGCCTTTGCTTCTGCACCTGCTGCCTCGCGTGCCTCCAAGCTTTGATCTCGCCCTTGAGGTCCGAGCCCATGCGTGCCGCGCTCTTGTGATTTTGTTGCCGCGTATCTGGCAGGACTTTGCTGACAGGAACAGAAGAGATGTATGCAGAGATTGAGAGCTGACGACTGCTCGTGGCTTGAATGAAGTGAAGAGTGCTGGCGAGCGACGCCCCTGCACTTTGCGCTACTCAGCGCGGCAAAAGAGTTATCGGTGCTCACGTTGTGCTTGTTCAGCGGTGCGGGCGAGGCTGCTGAACCCGCACTCTGCACGCCGTCCGGAAAAAGGATTGCTAGGACTGAGATGCCTCTGATGCCTTGTTCCTTGTTGCAGTTGTGCTGATATCGGCGGTGGTGACAGTTGTATTCTCTAGAAGAAGGGTTGTCTCAGGCCTATATCAAATGGTTCTGCATTCTGCCTGCGGCCCGGAAAAGTTGCTGGAGCCTTGCTCGTGGTTGCAGTTGTTCTGATACCGGTGGTGGTGACAGTTGTTTCCTTCTTAGAAGGGTTGTTTCAGGTCTATGTAATTCACGTTTACTTCTGATGTTTCCGTTGGTGTCAAGTTGATCATGCTAGAGCTGGCTGGTGCTTGTGATCTTCATTGTGGTGGTCATGGTTGTGATGGCGAGCGGGGTAAGGCCCGCTTTAGGGTGCATGGATGTGCATGGGTGAGATTGCGGCAGCCCTGAGGGTGCAGCGGCGAGGTGGCGGCGTCGTTGGCGGTGGTGGTTGGTGCTTTGGTGGTGGCGCGCGGATTCTGCGGCGGCGTTTTGGGCGGTTGTTGTTGTCCTCGTTGCGGTGTTGTCAGAATTTCTCAAAGCTTCGTGTTCGAAGAGGACGATCATCAGGCTTTGGGCAAGACATGGCAAGACCTTGTGTGCTGGCAGTTCTTCAGAACATCCTTCGCTGACTTTGACAAGGCCCGAATCCCGAATACCAGAATGTTTTGGCACGCAGGCTTTGCAGTCATTTCTGTAGAATGTGAAGAGCAGTCAGGTCATTCTAGCCGCGTTGAAAAACATTCTAGCCGCGTTGAAAAAGCCATATATAGCCATAGAATCTAGCCGCCGGCAGATTATTGAGTTTCATCCGCGCCATGCCTAGCCTCCCTGACCTCCCTGTGGTGCCTTGGGTGGCCTGGACGTGGGCTTTGCTGCAAAGGAAGTTGGGGCTGCCACCGCAGCAAGCCGCAATGCCAGGCAAGGCACTCACATGCTTGGCAAGCGTGGAGATGCAGGCGTTGCAGGTGCTGGACGCGCTGTCTCAGCAGGCTGAACCGATTGCGACGGGCTACTCGTGCTCCTGTGCGAAGACTGGTTTGTTTTGCTGCTTTTCTTCCGGAGAGGCCGCGAGGGGTCTTGCAGGCTGGTGCAGCAGACATAGGAACACGCCCGCGCGGACACACAGCTTCGCATGGCTTCGCAGCTCAGTCCTTGAAAGATGGCGACATGAGCCGGGCCGAGCCTAGGGGTGAGCGGCACCGCCTAGGTACCTCCCAAGTACCTCCAAAGGTCCCAGGAACCTCCTTTTGAGCTTCTCCAAGTTTCGAGCTTGTCTCATCCTTCCGAGGCTTCCAGGGTTCGCCTTGGCCTTGCCGTGGTGACGGAGGTCTTCGCACTTGCCGCGCGGCTTTCGAGGCTCTAGGTGCCGGGCTCTCCAGCTCTGGGCGCTTTAGGCATGCTATCGGCTCAGCTCCCCCGGGGGGGCTCCGGGAAGCACCTGAGGCTGCCTTGACATTGCGCCGCCGGGGGGCTCAAGGGCGCGCGTGCGAGAGCTCCGAAGACCTTTCCATGTCGTAAGCACCCTCTGAAGGTTCAACTTTGGCCGTAAAACCGGATGGTCAGTAAGCCTTCGGGACTTCAGGGCTCCAGGCTGCCGTTCTTGCGCTTGAGCCGCAGCCTGGCAGCCTTCTGAAGTGCCCTTGTAAGACTTAAAAGTTTTCACATGTGCCTGAGCGCCACAGCTGCCATGTCCTACGAGAAGTTTAAAGCACCGCACCTCCAGCCTCGAAGGCCACAAGGCTCCTTAGAAGCCAGCCTGCAACGTGCAACCGAACCACAGGGAACATCGAGGTGAAGGGATGAGCCATTCCGCGGTGACCGGTGAGGATGGCCACCTTTGCGTCTCCTTCCGAAGGTCCGCTGGGGGCTTCTAAAAACCCAGGAAGTGGCCGGGCGGAAATGTCAGAAGGTGCTGCAAGAAGCCACCCTTGAACTGTAACAATGGGCCCTTGAGGTTCTCGCGTTTTTCTCTTCCAGGAAGCGACAGCCGAACTGTGTCCGGCCGGGCCCACCCTTTCCGTTCTTTCAGGTTGGGCCCGAGCTCTTTTTGGGATCTCCCGAGGGTCCATGGGGCCAAGGTTTTTGTGGGGAGTGCAGCCTACTTGTGCAGTCTTGCATGTGTGGCTGTGTGATGTCCCTGGCACTGGCACGCGTGCACTGGTCCCTCGGTGAAGCTCGGTGAAGCTCCCCTCAAGACGGAGGCTCGTCGTGAGGCTCGACGTGCTGCCTTGCCAAATCCTCGCGAGCCCCAGATCGCTGGCTCACGCTATCACGGACCCCCCGGCAGAAGGAGGAGCCAGAGGAGCTCTCCCCCTGGCTCTTCTGCCTCTTGAGCTGCAGCTTGCACGGTTGCTGGGGATCCTGGCTGTTGTGTGGGATGCGGATGCCTAGCTGTTCTAGCTGTAGGTCCGAGCTCTGGTGCTGCGCCTACTCAACCAAAGGCAATGAAGCTTGCGTCTCGTTGGAGCTGCATTGATCACAGGGAGTGAGAGGTGAAGGGGAGGTAGAGCAGCCTTTGCACGCAACCTTGTGCCTTTGAGAATCAGAAATGTCAAGAGATCAGGTGGGTCGGCGTGATAAGGGCTCGCCATGATGCCCTTGTTTCCCCTGTCATGGTCGGTTTGGTCGCGGTTTGCGCAAGAGGCACTGACATCTGTGACTGGCTGTCTTCGGCTGTAGGCTGACTCCAGAGAAGAGCCTGTCAGTGCAGGTATATGTTTGGTTCTTTTTCGCGCGCTATCTCCAACACGTTCTCCTGCATTGAAGCTGCATCCGTGAACTGCAGGGATGTTCCTGCAAGGTGGCGTTCTTCTTTGCAAGGTGAGCGCGTCTGCTGCGCACTGCCAGGAGCGCAGGTGCACTTGCCGGCATCGTGCTGTGTCGTGCTTCTTGACAAAGGGGGCCTACTCAACGATAACGTCAAAGGGCTTAATGCGCAGCCCAGATGCCTCAAATGTCAAAGGGCTTAATGCGCAGCCCAGCTGCTTCAATGGCGCGCTGCGCTTTCTGCAGGCCTACCCGGTGTGCCGCTGATGGCCCGCTTGTTCCGCATGGCTTCCGGCTTGCGGCTTCCCCCCCCGCCCTGGGATTGGGCGGTGGATGGGGCTCAGTATGGGAAAGCCTCTTAACGCACGGCAGCTCTTCCCCGGCATCCTACTACCCAAGGCAGCTCGTATCTGGCATCTGCCACAGGGCCACAAAACTGCTGAACCCTAGCTGGATGATGATTGGCTTCCTGTGGGGGCTGGGAACATGAAAGATGAGCATTGGGATGGGGTTGGGCCTCCACTGCGTGCGTGAAGGGTTGTAGGGTTCAGGGGAGTTATGGGCTGTTAAGAAGGGCTTCTATAGGGTCTGCCCGTGAAACTCATAGAGGCTGCCTTGAACGAAAAGAAGAGTTTGGGCGGCCTCTTGGGGGCTGTTGCGGGTGAGTTGCAACATGAGTAGTTCCCCCAAGATAGGGGTAAGAATATCACCCTTATAGGAATCCCCAAAAACTGCACCCACATTTTCGAAAACCTCCACATGGGCACTGACCCGTTCATGGGATGCCGCGTGCCTAGCGCAATTCTGCGCGTCTGGGCCTGGATGCATCCGGCACTGTGCGCCGCTCCCTGCCAGACTCTGGCGATCTGCTTAAGGGCCCGAGGTGGGAAGACCCTGGCTCACGTGGAACTTGAACCCTACGGAGCCCAAAGCCTCAATCCCTACCAAAGCCCAACATTCACGAAACCCACCGGGACTTTCAAGCCTGAAGAGATGGCAAGTTGACAAAGTCCTAAAACCTCCTAAAACGTCTTAAAACGTCTAAAACCTATTTAAGCCCCAGGCCAGCAGGGGGCCGAGGCCGAAACGTGCGCGCCATCTGGGGGCTCCCGGACGTTTGGGAGGCGGGTGCCGCTTGCAGAGTTCGTCTCGCTGCTCGGAGGCTCGCCGCAACTTCGTTTTGCTCGTAAAGCTCTCGAGGCCTGAGCCCAGCGCTTGAAAACACGAAAGCAAGCCGTCACAAAGCCCGAAACTCTCGGCCCCCAGCGCTGGGGTGACGCGTTCCTTCCGAAACCTCTTCTGGTAGCTCAGTGGATCTCAATTCCAGTCTCTGTGAAGCTCAAGAGACACACTTGCTAGGCAGCTCCAAGCTGTGTGCCTCCCTGGTGCCGTGTCCCAACCATGCCCAATGTGTGCGCAAGGCCTCTTTGAAGGCTTTGAGGCCTTTTTTTAGGGGCTTTGAGGCATCGCATGGCTCCCACATCGACTCCACCCGGGTGAGCGCAAACAGCGCGCCGTGTGTTGCTGACGGCCCACTTGCTCTGCAAGGTAGCGCCCGCCTGCAGCGTGTGCTACAGTTAGGCTTGCGTTGCGCTTGCCCTCGCATCTCGTGCGCTCGCCCCGCTGAGCCGTTCTCTAAGTGCTAGTCGCCCTCGTCATACGATCCGACTTGCCGTCACTTGACCCAAGCCATGAATGTTCTTTAGAGACCGAGCCAGGTCTTCCAGACTTGTGCAGCTAGTGTGACTTCCGATTCCACCCCCTGAGCTCGTGATCGTTGTTGGTTACAAGCGACCACAAGTAGCAGCTTTGGGAATGTCAGTTTGTGTGTGCAGAACACACGCCTTGTTGTGAGACGTTAAGCCTCAGACACCGCGGAAGCCTATCAGTTGCAAGCCGCAGCAGCCGCTCACAGCCCTGTCATACGACCCTCGCTGTCATGTGACCGAGCAGCCATGCTCGCTTCCGAAGAGGCGGCGAAAGGTCTTCCAGACTTGTGCAGGTAATGTGAACTCCGACTCCGCGGCGCTGAGTTCGTGAGCGTTATCGGCAACAAGCGACCGCACATAATCGCAGCTCTTGAACTTGCCTTTGCAGAGACAGATGCTGCTCGTGAGTCCTTTCGCTTCATTTGCAGACCGTCCATGGCTGTTGGGTCTCTTGTGTGTCGCAGGTCCAAGGCTTTGAAACCAGCAAACTTCGTACATCCGGCTAAGCGCTCCGGTAGAGCGTTGATCTTTCGGCTTCTACGGTCTGGAATGTTCGGAGACACCAGTTCAGACTGCCCAGGACCCTCGCAGGAGCTGTGGCAACCGACGGCATTGCTTGTCACCAACAGGTCTCGAGCTGTGCACGTCCCAAGGCTTTGTGGCTCCCAAATGCATCTCGGCTCACAACGGGTCAGTTGCACGCATGGCGCCGGTGTGTCACTGATGGTCAGCTTGGGCCGCCCGTTGGTTTCCGCCTCTCCTTCTGCTGGCTTTGCGTGACCCCTCGCATCTCGTGGACTCGGCTGTCTCCCTAGTCCTGCTGTCAGGCAGCCAGAGGTGTGCAGAGCTAATGTGATTTCCGACTCCACGACCGTGAGTTCGACAGCTCTTCTTGGCTGTGGCTACAAGCGCCCGTACGTAGCAGCTCTCGATTTTGCCTGCCGAACCACATGCCACTTGTGAGTCCTTAAGTCTCAGACGCCAGGGGAGCCCTTTCCGCTTGTGACTGTAGGGTCTCGTGATGTCTACGGTCCGAAAGCACAGCGGTCAACTGGCTGTCCAGCTTTGAGACCAGCAAGCTTGGTACTTCCGGGCAAGAGATCCGGTAGCTCGTTGATCTTTCGGCTTCTACGGTCTGGAATTGTCGGAGACACCAGTTCAGACTGCCCAGGACCCTCGCAGGAGCTGTGGCAACCGATGCCGTTGCTTGTCTCCATCCTGAGATGGCCCTGCACAGCTCCCAGATGCACTGGCTCAAGCCAGGTCATTTGCAGGCGTGGCGCTGGTGTGTTGCCTGATGGTCCGCTGGGGCGACGAGTTTGCTTCCGCATCTGCTGTTAGACTCGCGCCGCCTCGGTCAAACAGGTTTGTTTCGCTTCCAAAGTAGCCGAGAAAGTTCTTCGAGGCTTGAGCGGCTAGTGTGACTTCCGATTCCACCCCACTGAGCTCGTGACCGTTGTTGGTTACAAGCGACCACAAGTAGCAGCTTTGGGAATGTCAGTTTGTGTGTGCAGAACACACGCCTTGTTGTGAGACGTTAAGCCTCAGACACCGCGGAAGCCTATCAGTTGCAAGCCGCAGCAGCCGCTCACAGCCCTGTCATACGACCCTCGCTGTCATGTGACCGAGCAGCCATGCTCGCTTCCGAAGAGGCGGCGAAAGGTCTTCCAGACTTGTGCAGGTAATGTGAACTCCGACTCCGCGGCGCTGAGTTCGTGAGCGTTATCGGCAACAAGCGACCGCACATAATCGCAGCTCTTGAACTTGCCTTTGCAGAGACAGATGCTGCTCGTGAGTCCTTTCGCTTCATTTGCAGACCGTCTATGGCTGTTGGGTCTCTTGTGTGTCGCAGGTCCAAGGCTTTGAAACCAGCAAACTTCGTACATCCGGCTAAGCGCTCCGGTAGAGCGTTGATCTTTCGGCTTCTACGGTCTGGAATGTTCGGAGACACCAGTTCAGACTGCCCAGGACCCTCGCAGGAGCTGTGGCAACCGACGGCATTGCTTGTCACCAACAGGTCTCGAGCTGTGCACGTCCCAAGGCTTTGTGGCTCCCAAATGCATCTCGGCTCACAACGGCCAGTTGCACGCATGGCGCCGGTGTGTCACTGATGGTCAGCTTGGGCCGCCCGTTGGTTTCCGCCTCTCCTTCTGCTGGCTTTGCGTGACCCCTCGCATCTCGTGGACTCGGCTGTCTCCCTAGTCCTGCTGTCAGGCAGCCAGAGGTGTGCAGAGCTAATGTGATTTCCGACTCCACGACCGTGAGTTCGACTGCTCTTCTTGGCTGCGGCTACAAGCGCCCGTACGTAGCAGCTCTCGATTTTGCCTGCCGAACCACATGCCACTTGTGAGTCCTTAAGTCTCCGACGCCAGGGAGCCCTTTCCGCTTGTGACTGTAGGGTCTCGTGATGTCTACGGTCCGAAAGCACAGCGGTCAACTGGCTGTCCAGCTTTGAGACCAGCAAGCTTGGTACTTCCGGGCAAGAGATCCGGTAGCTCGTTGATCTTTCGGCTTCTGCGGTCTGGAATTGTCGGAGACACCAGTTCAGACTGCCCAGGACCCTCGCAGGAGCTGTGGCAACCGATGCCGTTGCTTGTCGCCAACATCTCCAGCCCTGGCTTTCTGGATCCATCCCTATTCCTGAATGGCTATCCCAGATGCATCGGCTCAGGGCCCATTGCAGGCCGGGCCGGGTGTGCCGTCCGCTTCGGCCACATGTCCGCAGTGGAACCTTCACCTTTTTGAGGGCAGGTGCAAGCGTATCAGCTGCTTTTTGCTAGGACTTCGGTGTTCGACCCTGCGGACGGGTGCGCAGGACGGCGGATCCTTGCCCAGCATGCTCTGATAGCAGCCGCAGCGCTATGCAAGTTTAAGGCCAGCGTTGCACGCTGATACTTGTCCGCATGTCATTCAAGAGCAGAGCCCGGTTCTGCTTAGAATGAAGCCACCATGTTGTGTGCGCCTAGCGAGGTGTTGAACGGGAGGAGGAGTCCCTGTCTGCAAAACCCATGCCCCACGAGTGCAAAGTGAGGGTCCCTGCAGGTGCCTGCTCGGTCCAACAGGCGAGGGGAAGATGAGGGGAGGGGTTCTTACAATGTTGTGCTGCGTAAGGCCCGTATGTCCATCTTGCATACTTTCAGAATTCAATATGGGAGTTTACGAAAATAGGTCCCCTATTTTAGATCCCCAAGTAGCCCCAATAAGGTACCTTAATTTAGGAAACCGCCGAATGCGTCACAGCTTTGCCCGAAACGAGGGGGGGGGGGGGGGGGGGCGGCTTCCTCAAGCAGAAGGTGCGTCTCCGTTTGGAGGTAGATATTGCCACTGGGACAGGGCGTGCAGGACATTGGCTGGGTCCTGGGCTCTAAAAGTTGAATCCTCCCAAACTTTGCAAGTTGCATCATCCGAACCCGGCCCTCCCCCCCCACCCCAAAGTTGGGAGTTCGATGCCGGGGTCTTTCTTGCCTCAGAGGGTGCGATCTTCAGTTAGACTTGATTTCTGTTTCGTTTTGCCGCCATCCGCTGCTCGATTGCATCTTTTTCCCCAACCATCCCAGACTTGTGAGACGCTTGGGAAGCCCTCCAATTGCAAATCACCTCTAACTGCTGGGGCTCTTGGTTTGTCAGGTCAAAAAGAGCAGCGGTCAACTGGTTGTTCAGCATGGAGACCAGCAAGCTTGGCACTTTCGGCCAGCACGTTGATCTTTCGGCTGCTGTTGTCCGCAATGGTCAGGGCGACCATTTCAGATTGCCCAGGACCAATCTAGAAGCATTCCTAAGATGGTCCTGCATTGATCCCAGATGCATCGCCGGCTCAGGCCGGGCCAATTGCAGACGTGGCGCCGATGTGTGATGGTCCGCTTGTGCCGCGACGCTGCTTCCGCCAGCAGCGTCTCTTGCCGTTGGGCTTGCTTTGCGCAAGCCGTTCATGTACGCAGTGTCAGTCGTGCTCCGCCCTTCCCGTGCCATAAGGCCATAACAGTTCTACTTCGGTTCCGGAGAGGCTGAGGGAGGTCTTCCAGACTTGTGCTGCAAGTGCTTGAGCCTCCGACGTCAGAGAAGCCCTTCAGTTGCAAACCGCCTCTGACTGTTGGGGCTTTTGGTGGTTTGTCAGGTCAAAAGAGCAGCGGTCAACTGGTTGTTCAGCATTGAGACCAGCAAGCAAGGCACTTCCGGCCAGCACGTTGATCTTTCGGCTTCTCTGGTCCGCAATTATAAGGGGCGAATCCGAAAGCTGTGGCAACCGACGGCATTGCTTGTCTCCAGCAGGTTTGTCAGATGGTCCCCAGCTGTGCACAAGGCTTCCTGGACCCATCCTGCGCTATTGAGATGGCTTTGCGTGAGTCCCAGATGCAGGGGCCCAACCCGTACTTTAGTCATATGAAGCCTCAAATGCCTCTCACTGCGGGGTCTCTTGGCTCGGGTCCAAACGTGTCCAGCTGTCAACTACTTGTCCAGCATTGAGACCAGCAGTCTCGGCGCTTCCTGGCAAGAACTCCGTGTTGATCCTGCGGCTTCTCTTGTCAGGAATGGTCAGGGACACCATTTCAGACTACCCAGGACCATGTCAGACTCTGTGGCAGCCGACGGCATTGCTTGTCGCCAGCATGCCTCCAGCCGATCCAGCCGTGCACATCAGAAGGGATTCTGGATCCATCCTGCTCTACTTGAGATGGTCTGGCATGGCTCCCAGATGCATGGCCTGCTCGAACCGGGTGAATTGCAGACGTGGCGCCGGTGTGATCTGCTTGTGCCGCGACCTGGCTTCCGCCAGCAGCGTCTCGGGCCGTTAGGTCGCTAGGCTTGCTTTGCGCAAGCCCTTGCGTCTCGTCTCGCGCTGCCTCAGAAGCTTGAGCCCTGTGCGCACTGTCAGTCGTGCTCCTGTCGTACGCGCCCTTGCCGTGCCATAAGACCATAAGGCCATAAGGGTTCCGCATCGGTTCCGGAGAGGCTGAGGGAAATCTTCCAGACTTGTGCTGCAAGTGCTTGAGCCTGCGACGCCAGAGAAGCCCTTCAGTTCAGGCTCTTGGCATCTCAGGTCGAGAAAAACAGCCGTCAGCTTGTTGTTCAGCAGTGAGACCAGCAAGCGTGGCACTTGCGGCCAGCACGTTGATCTTTTGGTTTCTCTGGTCCGCAATGATCAGGGCGACCATTTCAGACTGCCCAGGCCCAATCCAGCAGCATTCCTAAGATGGTCCTGCATTGATCCCAGATGCATCGCCGGCTCAGGCCGGGCCAATTGCAGACGTGGCGCCGATGTGTGATGGTCCGCTTGTGCCGCGACGCTGCTTCCGCCAGCAGCGTCTCTTGCCATTGGGCTTGCTTTGCGCAAGCCGTTCATGTACGCAGTGTCAGTCGTGCTCCGCCCTTCCCGTGCCATAAGGCCATAACAGTTCTGCTTCGGTTCCGGAGAGGCTGAGGGAGGTCTTCCAGACTTGTGCTGCAAGTGCTTGAGCCTCCGACGTCAGAGAAGCCCTTCAGTTGCAAACCGCCTCTGACTGTTGGGGCTTTTGGTGGTTTGTCAGGTCAAAAGAGCAGCGGTCAACTGGTTGTTCAGCATTGAGACCAGCAAGCAAGGCACTTCCGGCCAGCACGTTGATCTTTCGGCTTCTCTGGTCCGCAATGGTCAGGACGACCATCTCAGACTGCCCAGGACGAATCCCAAAGTTGTGGCAACCGACAGCATTGCTTGTCTCCAGCAGGTCTGTCAGATGGTCCCCAGCTCTGCACAAGGCTTCCTGGACCCATCCTGCGCTATTGAGATAGCTTTGCGTGAGTCCCAGATGCAGGGCCCAACCCGTACTTTAGTCATATGAAGCCTCAAATGCCTCTCACTGCGGGGTCTCTTGGCTCGGGTCCAAACGTGTCCAGCTGTCAACTACTTGTCCAGCATTGAGACCAGCAGTCTCGGCGCTTCCTGGCAAGAACTCCGTGTTGATCCTGCGGCTTCTCTTGTCAGGAATGGTCAGGGACACCATTTCAGACTACCCAGGACCATGTCAGACTCTGTGGCAGCCGACGGCATTGCTTGTCGCCAGCATGCCTCCAGCCGATCCAGCCGTGCACATCAGAAGGGATTCTGGATCCATCCTGCTCTACTTGAGATGGTCTGGCATGGCTCCCAGATGCATGGCCTGCTCGAACCGGGTGAATTGCCGACGTGGCGCCGGTGTGATCTGCTTGTGCCGCGACCTGGCTTCCGCCAACAGCGTCTCGGGCCGTTAGGTCGCTAGGCTTGCTTTGCGCAAGCCCTTGCGTCTCGTCTCGCGCTGCCTCAGAAGCTTGAGCCCTGTGCGCACTGTCAGTCGTGCTCCTGTCATACGCGCCCTTGCCGTGCTGCAAGCCCATAAGGCCATAAGGGTTCCGCATCGGTTCCGGAGAGGCTGAGGGAAATCTTCCAGACTTGTGCTGCAAGTGCTTGAGCCTGCGACGCCAGAGAAGCCCTTCAGTTGCAAAACCGCCTTGGGCTGTCGGGGCTCTTGGCATGTCAGGTCAAAAAGAGCAGCGGTCACCTGGTTGCCCAGAATATTAAGACCAGCACGCTTGGCGCTTCCGGCCAAGAGCTCCGGTAGCACGTTGATCTTTCGAGATCTTGCGTGGAAGCTTGAGCCATTCACCTAGTGCTAGTCGTGCTCCTGTCATACACACCCTTGCCGTGCCAGAATGCCGTAAGGGTTCCGCATCGGTTCCGAGGCTAAGGGAGGTCTTCCAGACCTGTGCCGCAAGTGCTTGAGCTTCAGACGCCAGAGCAGCCGTTCTGTTGCATCTGACTGTTGGGGCTCTTGGTATGGCAGGTGCAAAAGAGCAGCGGTAGCTGGAAGATCTCGCGCCGCGTGGAGTGATCTTGCGGCTTTCGTTGTCTGGAACGGTCAGGGGCACAGTTTCAGCTCTCTTCCAGAAGCTGTGGCGACCGACAGCATTGCCGGCCTCCAGTTGTACCCCAGGCTTTCTGGATGTGTTCTGCATTCCTGAGATGGCCCTGCATGGCTCCCAGATGCACCGGCTCAAGCCGGGCCATTTGCAGGCATGACGCTTTTGTGTCGCTGATGGTCCGCGTGGGCCACGCGTGGACTTCCGCCTCTTGCCGGTAGGCTTGTTTTGCGCAAGCCCTCGCAGCTCAGAAGATTGAGGCATGTGCGATGTGCCAGTCGTGCTCCTGTCATACGACCCACCCGCAGGTTCATGTGACGCCACCAAGGAGGCGCTTGAGTTGCAAAGTGCAATGTGGCTGCTGGGTCGGTGGGTCGTGGATGACACGCCTGGCCCGCAATTTCACACTGTCACTTTCGTCCCACAGCTGCTTTTGTTAGGACTTCGGTGTTCGGCCGTGTGGATACGTCGGTCCTTGGCCCGCATGCCTAGTGACCATGGAGCAGCGCCGATTGGCTTCAAGTCATCCCAAGGGGATGATGGTGCATTTAGCATCGTGTCACCGCGCATGGGAACGCCGGCCGGGGTGGGCAATGTAGCATCCTGCCAGCGGCCAGCCGGAGGACCGCTGGCGCAGTTCAAGAACCAAGATTGGATTGGCATGCCGTTTTGAAACAGAACCCGTTGCGCTCCAGAAGGGGCCACATCCTCAACCATGCCACCATTGCGTGGGCGTTGCTACAGCTGCTGCAGAGAAGCGGTGGCCAATGGTGCTGAACAGGAAGGAGCCCCGGCCAGCAAATTCAGCAGGCAGAACCATGTGCATTCCCGAGGAGGATCACCTGCTGCTTGAGAGGGCCCATAAAACGAGGAGTTGCCCCAGGCGGCTCGTTAACCATTTTGTGCTGAGGGAGAGGCATAAAGCACCGCCTTCATGCAGCTGTTTTGAGCTCAAGTACGCCCTCGGCGTGTGCTGGGTGCGCTGTGCATTCCTATTGCGCGGCAGTCCGTGGCCTTGCTTGCGGTGAGCGCCTCCGAGACTGAGGCGGCTCTCCTCTCCCGTGTCGACCGTCTTCCTGCAGCTTCTCGATGCTTCTCGGATGCTCACCTTGAGCGACGCCTTCGAGGCGTCAACTCAGGTTAACCCCTCGTCACGTCCGAGTCCTCACCGAGCTCGGCGGGTCGGTGCTCCGTTGATGCGGAGGCGCTAGTAGTAGATGTGGTGGTCCGGCTCTGGAGTGGCCACGTTCTCGTGAGTGTGCAGCGTAACGTTCAGGACGGCGCTGTGCGTCTCCTCTGACCGCGGGAGGAGACGGGCCTCAAGAGCGGAGATGGCCTCGTCTGGGCCAGGTCGGAGGGAAGTTGGAGGCACGCCCCGTAATGCCTCCTGTCCTTGGACGCCACAAAGTGCTGCGGGCGCCGTGCTGGACCACTTGGAGTTGGATGCCAGTCAGGTGCACAACAGCATCGCGGATGTGGTGGGGTGCTTCCTCGAGGACAAGGCGCGCTTTTTGGCAATATGGGCTTCTCGCTGTAGGACTTCCGGGCCCAAGGCAATCTCCCTTCTGGCCCATCCCGCCCGTTCATCTCCTTCTCGCGCTCAGGTTTGCGCCAGCAAAGGCTCGTGAAACCCAGGGATTCCCTTTAACGCCTCTGAAGTGCGAAGCTTCCGCGTCGGGACAACATGTGGCAGCCAAGGAAATTAAGCCGCCCAAGATGAACTGCCCGCAGAACGGCGGCGCACGGCATTGCACAGTTGTTGCGAGCTCATCGTCAATCACGTTGGCGCTTCGAGCGGCCCCTGCCGCTCGGCGCGCATGTGCCCCGCCGTCTCAAGCCCCACCAAGCTGGGCGAGGAGGATGTCCCACCGGCCGCTCCGCATGGCACAGGCCAGCGCCGTGTTTCCATCGTGCGGTCTTCTGCGCTCTTCTCCTCTCTTTTCTGGCTCTAGACCCCGTGTTCCCGAGCGAGGCCTTGTGGCCATGGACGCTCGCGAGTCCGCGAGGCTCGTGCCCCTGACGTGCGAAAAAAGACTGCGAGCATACCTCAGCGGGAGCCAAAGCAACGCGGGAGCTCATTGACAGGCCGGGTTACGCAGTCTCTTCATCTCCAATCGCCTCTCCAATTGCCTGGAAGAAATACGTATGCGTCTGACATCCGATCTTTGACAGGATTATTGTAAAAAAATGTCGCAAGCATCAAAGCCACTCCCGTTCAAAGAAAACACAGTGCTTCTGTGGGAAGTTCGTTCTCAAATGGTCGCTGCGCTACAAATGCTGCAAGGAGCAGATTCCACTCACACCAGCTTGCCAGAACACATGTCACCCAGCGTCCGAACATTCTAAACCCCAATGTGGACGCTGCACATCGTTCTCAATGCGTGAAAGCAACACTGCACATCGTTCTCAGCGCGTGAAAGCACAAAACTCACGGTACCTGACGGGCCGAGGGCGAAACGGCATTAAGACAAACGAAGCCGCAGAAGACCCGCGGCCTGCATTCTCAGATTGTTGGACTGCATCCTCCCCAACAGGCATGGCTGTTGAGACCACCATTGCCAAGCTTTAATTTAGACCTCAGGAACGGCTGCGAATCCCTCTTGCTTTTGTGAGACTGGAATGGGGGGGGGCTACATGGCCAAAAGGCATTTTAGTTTAGTTCACTTGTATAGATCTAATCTCTACTCAGACTAGCCGGGAAGGGGGGTTGAGGAGGCCAAAATTGCTTGGCGACCCGGTCCCCCAGCCCAGTGCCCGGCCTGCAGCGGGCTCTGTAAGGGTCCAGGCGAGTGAGTCTCCCAGCGCAGGCCAACTTCTGGGGCTACATGAACCCGTTTCAGTTTACACGAAGCCATTTAAGTACACATGTAGCCTGAGCACACAGACGCAAGGGGGATGGCTGCGAGCTCTCTGGAATTACTTGTCCCTGCTCATGCTGTGGGTCACAAACAGGGGGTTCCCCCTACGGCCGCCTTGCGGCGTAGAACGCTCAACACTGTCGGGCAAGACATGGTGGTTTAATCGTGACGCGGGTTGTTCAGGCGTTTTCACAAGTAACATCGTCCACAGCTGTATACAAGGATCAGCGGCTGGTGGTGAGAGAATGCTGTGTCATTTCCCCCCCTTCGGCCTGCTTTGGGCTCGAAGCAGGGTTTTTTAGGGCTAAGCAGAGCTTGGATGTCTGGGCGTTGAATCTTGGAACGAAATCAGGCAAAAAAGTCGCAACTGCCCAATTCTCATGGTGTGTGCCTTGAGGTCAACGCTCGCCAGAGCCACGAGAATGAAATCGTGGGAAATTTGCAGGAGCTGCGCAAAAATGCCAGGTGCCAAAGTCTGGGGTGTGAAGTTTGCAAGTGCTGGGCGTCGCGAAGGTCTTGCGTAAGCTCCGGTTTCGCGTAGGTGGGGGGGACTCGTGGGCCAGCCCCACACTTTTGCTGGGCCTGGTGCAGGCCTCCTTCTTGCACATTGCTTGAGTCTCATTTTGGCAAGCTGCGAAATTTGCGAGCTGCAAGGAAAGGCTGATCTTTGGCTTGGGTCAGCTTGTGTGTGCCAGGGCCAGGGCAGCACGGGGCCGGCAAAAGCAATATCTGGCTAATTTGCACCAAATCAAGGAGTCGGTGAGCCCTGAGCATCTGTAGGCCACATCCTATCTTTCTTGCGGTCTGGAAGCTCTGCTCTAGAAAGTGGCCTCTCGCTTCATCAGCCTGTAGCCGGCGCCCGCTTGCGTCTGTCAAGCTCTGCAGCCTGTGGTTCTGCGCCCTACTGCCGTAGTAGTCTTTCAAAAACTCCTTTGGCCTGCCAACCAGAAGTGCTGGCTTGGCCGCATGTACGGCATCCGTCTTATGCTACCTAGAAGGGTCTCCAAACCTATGCGAAACAATCTGTATCCACGTAGCCTGCAGAGATAGCTGGCGAAGATGGTTCATGTGTTCGGGTTATTTTCTGTCCCGGACAGACTTCAGCAGCTTCAGCGCCGCCTGTCACATGGTTCGGATACCATGTGGCCATGAGGGGCAAACGCAAGAAAGAAGATCGGACGCACCCAACGGGCGCCGGCCTCCCTTCAGCAACTTCCGTACAAGTCCAAGCTAGGAATCCAGGGTTGTGTTGGATTGCACATGCACAATGCAAGTGTAGGGCCTAAAGTCAAAACGCGAGAGGGCTTATATTCACGCAGGAACAGCAAAGACAAGAAGCTCTATCTACATCGACTCCCAGTGTACAAGGGGAATCGCAGGCAGCGCTCTTTTTTTGCAGGCGGCGCGGCGACATCCGAAAGCAAAGCTGGGGCCTAGGCAAATGCAGGTTCGCCACAGTTAGCCCAGCCAGAGGCTTTGTTCCCACCCCTCCTCAGG